ATATAAAACTATCTTCTGCAGTTCCATCGATCCAAATCAAGGTCTGAACCTGTATAAGGCTATTCAGGGCGGTTATGTGGTCAAACCACGCGATGAGGCCAGCAACAAGGCACAGGGTCCGTCCCAGGATGAAATCGAGCGCATTGAGAAAATGCTCATGGAGAATGCGAACCGGCCAAAGCTGGCGGGAACGGGGTCCAACAGCTTAGGCAGCTCGACACGGTGATTATCTATAATAATGATTGTTTTTTTTTCACTTTTTCTATAATTTTTAATTTTTTCCGCAGCTATCCCGGTTTTAATCGAGGCGCCAATGACAAGGAGCGCCGCAAGTCCGCTGGTGACGAGGATGTGCTCAGGCAGATGAACATCTATGTGCGGACGCGAACCAGCTCTGGTAAACAGCTGACTGACTTTGAGATCCTTGAACAAGTTCCTGTTAAAAATTTAGACACGGGAGAGAATTTGCCGCTGTCCGAAATGCGTTCACCACCAGTGCCTGAGGGATGGAACCCGCTCTCGCTGCACATCCTAAAACTGACCTCCCACCTGGAGGCAATCCAGAAGGAGTCTGACGAGGAGAGTGTGATTGGTATACCGGCAAGTATCGAGGGTCAGCAACCCGACGAAGAGGAGCTGGAAACGGAGGATGGCAGTCGGCTGAAAAAGAAGACGGCCCGGATTAAACGCTTCTTTGGCACCACAATGCGGAAAACGGTGGACAAGGCCAAGTCGATTGCGTCCGAGGTGTCGCATGCGCGGCACAAAGAGGATGTGGCTGATATTGTTGATGCCATGAATCCCGAGCAGAATATCAAAATCAAGGCTTCATCGTCCAACAAAGGTCCCTACGAGTTTACCAAACTTCAGCATGTTCAGGATTTGAGTGGCGAAGATACAAGTGCTGTGTGGTGTATGAAATTCAGTTCCTGCGGACGACTTTTAGCCACTGCTGGGCAAGACAAGGTGCTAAGGATTTGGGTTCTCAAAGACGCCTATCCGTTCTTCCAGGTAATAATAAGTTAAGTTACCATAATTATACAATTTTGTAATGCCTATCATCTTGTTTTAGGATATGCGCAACAAATACAATGCTGACCAAAAATCCTCGCCTACGCCCTCGCAAGAGTCTCTTGTCTCGCAGCATTCAGCGGAAGAAGCCATTGCGATGGCCACAGCCGCCGAAAAATGCACGGGCCCCTTTATGCCGAAACCGTTCTGCACCTACAATGGACACACCTCCGATCTACTGGACGTCAGCTGGTCAAAGAATTACTTTATTCTGTCAAGCAGCATGGACAAGACTGTGCGGCTCTGGCACATATCCAGAAAGGAGTGCCTTTGCTGCTTCCAGCATATCGATTTTGTCACCGCTATTGCGTTTCATCCACGCGATGATCGCTACTTTTTAAGTGGCAGCCTCGATGGCAAGCTAAGGCTGTGGAATATACCCGACAAGAAGGTCGCTCTGTGGAATGAGGTAGATGGCCAGACGAAGCTTATAACGGCTGCCAACTTCTGCCAGAACGGACAGTTTGCTGTGGTGGGGAGCTACGATGGCCGGTGCATATTTTACAACACGGATCAGCTGAAATACCACACGCAGATCCATGTGCGCTCCACCAGGGGTAAGAATCGCATTGGCCGCAAGATCAGTGGCATTGAACCGATGCCCGGAGAGGACAAGATTCTAGTCACCTCCAACGACAGCCGCGTGCGCCTTTATGATTTGCGGGACTTGAACTTGTCCTGCAAATACAAGGGCTACTTGAATGTGTCCTCGCAAATTAAGGGTTCGTTTAGCCACGATGGAAAGTACATTATTGCCGGATCCGAGAATCAATGCATCTACATATGGAAAACAAACCATGACTACTCGAAACTCAGTTCGGTTGGTGATATTAAAACTTTTGTTTAAATTTAAATTATATTGCTTCCATTGGTACCTTCAGGTTCGACGGGATCGCAGCGATTTCTGGGAAGGCATTAAAGCACACAATGCTACGGTCAATTGTGCCATATTCGCGCCACACCCAGAGGCTATCATTAAGCCCGAACCGGATGAAATCTCGAATGAGAAGGTGCGTGATAATCCATCCGAGTCCAATTCTCCAGATTATGGTATTTTTTTTCTAATGAACATGTTCCTCATTGCAGTTGGCCCACAACCAGCCGGATCCACTAGTCGAGCAGCACAAAAAGGGATGTGGTTATGTGTTGGTCAGCGCCGATTTCAATGGCGCCATTAAGGTCTTTATCAACAAGACGAAGCCGAAACACAGCAGTCTACCCTACACGGCCATTGCGGATTAGTCTATAGGTAGCAGATGAGAGAAATAGAAGAGTAAAAGTAAAATATTATTTTATTTTTGTATTTGTGACATTTTATATCGTTAGTAACTAGCGCCATCGCTTATTTAAATGGTAAATCCGTAATTACTAATTTCTGTCTGTCCCCAAACCCTATTTTATTACCATTGTAAAAGTTGTTAACAATTGCTGCTGGCGCGAACTGTTTAATCTTACGCAAAATATGTTATGTATTTTTAACGCTGAGTGTGTGAATATGTGTATAGATATTTGTTTAACAAGTTGATTAATTCAAAAGTCAATTGTATATTGTTATGCCCTTGTAAGGTGAATTTTGACTCCACAGAAGCTTTGGTTTTGATATTCTCGATAATTATTGAATCTGTCCGCGTGTCCACAAGTCACCACTCTGATAAATAATCTAGTTTAAAATCAACTACTGGCCAACCTCCAAGGGTACAATCGACTCGGTACGCCGAATCGAAAATAAGTTATTTTTACGAACTAAACCTAACCAACCTATTATAATTAACTTTTAAACAGCATATATTTTGTGTAAAGTAAAACGTGCAAACAGGACATAAACTGTAACTTTAATTCTGCTAACGAATTGCTTATGATGGAAAGGGGTATGGTTTTGAAGTGCTTCGGGATTAGAGTATGCTTAAACCATTCCCTCTGCTATTTAACAACAGCTTAACCTTCATATTTGGGGCTTCCTAAGGTGTGTGCTAGTAAAAAGTACAAAAGTAAGCAATGAAGGTTGTAACTCGATATTAGCAAGAACTCTGCAGACATTTGTAAATCTAAGGTATTATAATTGCGGGAAGGGTTGAAATATGCAGTGCATGGTGTGAGAGTATATGAAATGCAAGAGACGTTTGACTTCTGTTGATAAATTTTTTTTTTTGGTTTTGCATCTCACTTTAGTTAGGCTGACCGTCTACTCACTCAATAATAAATGCGACAGTTTTAAATGGCATTTCCCCCAAAAGCGACAGTCTGCTAAAATAAATACATTGCTTTGTGGACCCATCAATTACATACTGACTTGCTGTGGTACTATTGTGTAGGTCCTTTTATTAAGCAGTGATATGGAAAAAAATCACTCAAAAGAGAACTACAATTAGAGCTATAACTTAAACTCGCAATGTGCAGGTTTATATGTTACATACTTACAAAGCGAATTACATCTGCAAAATCGTTGTGTTTGCATATATATGTACATACATAGGGTGGACCTGAGTTGAATAGTAGATTATTCCAAATTAAATTGGTTCTTTAGCTAAAGAACATTTGTATAATTATAGAGTTGTCATTTATATTTATTGACAACAAAAAGTGAAACCTCTTGTGGGCCTTCTTAAAACGGTTTCTGATAAAAAATTGTATGCGCTTTTTTATTAAAGTAATGACAGTATACATTATCTTTTTTGTGTTATTTGTAAGCCATTTTGTCTTTCTTTAAAACAAAGTCTTCGTAGGGCTTCAAAATTCGATTAATGTTCTCTTAAAGAAACATGTCGTATGAGTAATATATTGCGAATGAGTAATAAAATTACAAAATTTTGAGATTTTAAGTTTTCCTATAAATCTTTAATGTAAAAAAAAGATTTGATTTCCTACTTTGGCATCTGTAAGTCCACCCTACGGCACATTCCCCGAGTACTTGGACATGCAATCAATAAAGATTTTATTTTGGGAGTTGGGGTGGCGGGTGTTTTGTCGCGATGCGGCAACAACAGCTGTTGCAACGCCAGACGACCCCCCAAAAAAACGAACAGCAGCAGCAGCCAGACGCCGGCAAATGGCGAACGGCAAACGGCGGACCTCATCATCAGCATACACCCGTTTCAAGAAGGCAAGGCAATCAATGCACTTCTGGCCATGTGCCAAGTTTCTCTTCGGTAAAATCCGCCAGTCGAGACGAGAGTCAGTCGAAAGAGCGAAACCAGAAGTGTATAAGAGTAGGTTTGGGTTTGGGCTCGGTCTCGGTCTCGGTTGAGAAGTTGTAGTTAAAATAAAGTTCAACTCGTTTTGTTTTTAACTTCTCGAAACTCGGACTATTCGGACTTTATTTTCGGAACTACATAACTTACAGAAGTAAGTAAGTACATCTATTGCCTGCATTTTGTTGCCGTATAAAATTTATTTATTGTTTTATTTAGCTACATATTTACTATGTTAAATTTAAATATATAAAAATATATTTAATTATTTGTTTAAAAGAAATATATTTGATATGAAATAAAATAGAAGATTAACTAATTTTTGTTTTCGATAGTTATTCCTTAATAAACTTGAAATTACAATGTTTAACATATTAACTCAAATTGATAGAATTAATTTTGTTTATAAACAAAAACATTTTTAGATAACCCGAAAAACAGAGATGTTTTGTTACATCTTGATCAAAAGTCTGGATATGGTAAATATTTTAAATAAAGCTGTACATTTTTATTTTTTTTTATAAGAGATTTAGAGTAGCTTCAAGTCTCCATACAACATGAACGAATCATTGAAGTGCAGACTTTTCGAGTTTTGCCGCGTCACTCGTTTATCCAAAGCACCCACACTGCCGCACTCTCACACACCCATAAACACACACACAGTCGGCCGTGGAGCAACAACAATATTGAGCAAGGTGCGCTTAACTGGCCGCTCTTTCGATTCGTTTTTTCTCCGTTTCAGTTTATTTCTGGCTCTCGTGCAAAGCGCAACGTATAGCGGACATATCGCATATAGTATCCGTATCGGTTCAAATCGGGACAACTTTGTCTTTGCTGCGTGTGTGTGTGTGTGTGTATGTGTGTGCCTGAGTGTGTGTTTGTGTTTTCGATGCAATGGTTGTACCTATTTGAAGCGCAAAATGCAATATTTACTATTTGACAAACGCAGATGAATCACAAGGCGGCACAGAACAAGTCATTAGAATTCCCCGAGATAATTTCATTTATTGAATAATTTCAAGAGGAACTGATCTATAAAATCCCACTTCCTACGACCGTGCCTTTAAAATCGGCTCAGTGATTTATGTGTAGGTGTGTGGGTGCAGTGCATAAATAATATACAATACATAAAATTTAAACAAATAAAGGCTGTTAAAAGATCGTAAACTCGAGATCCAGCAAGTGCCGAAATCAGTGCTAAAGTGAAATTTCTTTGTACAAACAAACAAAACCGTTAATTGCCAACGCCATTCTTTTAAAGTCCACTTTTGTAAAGTGTGTTCGTGTGTGTGTGGTTGTATATTTTAAGTGCCTATGTTATTTATTTCTGTTGTTTATAGTTTTTTATAGCTTATTCATATGTTAGTTTGTATATTTTATGGCCTGACATTCTTATCCATTATAATGATGAACTAAGCCGTTGAGCTTATTTTAATTGGTTTAACTAGCTTCAGACATTATAATTTTCATCATTTAAAGAGAAGGTCTACCAACAAAAATCCTTTCACTTTAAGGCCAAAAAGAACCCAACAAGTTGAAGGCATTTCCCACTGTGATAGAGCTGTTAGATCGTTTATGAGGTGCAGGCCTCACAATTCATTGTTCATTAATAATGAACAATTAAAGTGGCTTGGCATTCGTAGGCACCCAAAGATTCCATGGCCTAAACGAAAGACACACAAACCAAAATAAACGGAACCCTTTCACTTTAAAATCCACAGAACCCCAAAGATCGAGCGTGCAAATAAAGCGACGAAAACGAGTTTCGCAAAAGAGCAGAAGCAGAGCCGAGCCAAGCGGCCATATTCCATATCGAATAACCGACCAATAAAGTGTTACTTGGCTAAATCCAACTAGCTCCGTTGCAGCGACGCGGTGGCCTATATTCAAAATAGATCAGAGATCGTCGGCAGCTGCATCACAAAGGCTGGAGGAGATGAGGCGGCGATGAGGAGAGGACATCGCCATGTGAGAAGAGCCAAACTAGTTTCCCATTTGCGCGCTTATGCTAAGTAATAATAATAAATAAGCGCTCAGTCGTTGTTCGCCGTTCGAGAAGTGACCTAAAAATACTGGTTTCGAGTGCGGTTTGGCGTGAGAATAGCAACGACTAACTGGCAATGGCCACAACCGCCGGATCGCCAGCCGTGGTGGTGAAGCGGCCCGGACCGCCAGTGCCACCCAGGCCCAAAGCAGCCCAAACCCAATCGGCGGCCAATGGAGCCCCACCGATCATCCAGAAGAAGCCCACCTTCGTGAGCCAACTGAGTGCCGTGGGTCGCACTCTGGTCTACAAATCTCCGACTGTAAATCTGGCCAAGAAACAGGCCCAAACCCAGACGCCCACGACGGCGCTAGTAGCTCCTCCTCCTCCGGTTAAGCCCCTTAAACTGCGTAAGGCCCCCGATGTGCCAACTGCCAAACCGCGGGAGGCTATTACCTCAGTGGTCACGGTCAATCGTCACAACTCGATAAGCGTGATCGGGGGTTCCCCGCAAACCACGCCCCGCAAGGACACCCGCTTGAGCCTGGGCAAGGTGGATTTCGAGCGGGCGGGTCTTCAGCCGGCCAGCCAGCCTCTACCCAGACCCCGCAAGATAGTCCAACTGCCCGTGGCCACTCTGGATGTGGAGGATATACCAGTGGCAGCCAGCAACCCATCTACTGGCCTCTTCAGAAGATCCAAAACCACACTAGATGGCTGTCAGAAGGAGGCGGCACCAGCTCCACACAATGGAGGATTCCTGGCCGGCCGAACTGTGGAGATCAAGAACAATCTGAAGAACGCCGCAGAGCGACTCTTCTCGGAAATAATCATCAATCAGGGCCAGAAGCAGACCGCCACCGATACCACCATTATAACCAAGCACGAGGCCTTGAAGCAGGAGTCCGATGTTCTGACCATCCAGGCCACGGGCAACTGCATGAGGATCAATGTGAGTGGGGGCCAGGGCCAGACCAGCACCATGAAGAGCTCGATCAGCGTGGGCAACACGCCGCAGAAGAAGCAGGCCTTCCACGAGATGCTCATCTCGGAGCTGGCTGCCATGAGGAACAAGTCCTGTTCCCTGGAGCAGCTGCCCACCAGCAAATCCCTTTCGCCACCGATAACATCCACTCCTAAGAGTGTTCTATCGCGCCGGCGTTATAACTCCATCGATGATGCCGACACCGAGGACGTGGATGCGGACAATGTGGAGGATGCCGATGGGGATGTCGACGAGGAGGATACACTAACCTATGCGGTGAATAAATCGCTAAAGGAGAACGCCGGCCAGGAGGGTGTGTCCTTGAGGAAGCGCTGTCCATCGGGCTGCTCCACGGATTCATCGCCCTACGGCACGGAGCGATCCCAACGCATCCGCACCTCGGATTGGATCGAGGTGGGCGACAATGGCACCGCGGTGACTCTGACCAGCTGCCACATCAGCCTCGAGGATTCGGGCATGGAGGATGAGGAGCGGCTGGACGACATGTCCTCGGGAGTGGGCGACAGTTGGGACAGCGTCAAGGAAGCGGAGACCGAGAAGCGTTCTCGCAATGGAAAACGGTGAGTCTTAAAAAACGCTATGTTAATAATTTGAATTTTTTAAGCTTAAATAATGCTTTTAACTTAGTACGACTTTGGTACTTTAAATACAAGAAAACTCTTAAGATTTTAAAAATATTATCATCGTTTTACAGGTTTGATTTATTATGAATGTTAATATATCTAAAATAAGATTTTCAATAATTACAATTATTATTTAAAAGTATCGCTGTCATAAAACAAAATTTTATTTAGCGAATTAAAACCTATTATATTTTGCTATAATAATACTATAGCTTTTCAATTACTAATGGATTGAAAATTTATGAAAGGGAGTTAATGTCCATTAGCGCCACAATAAAAACATTTATTGTTTTTGCCTATTTATTTATTGCTAATGAATATGCAAATTCGCATTAGGTAAAGGAGAAGAAATGGAAGACATATAATGCTCTAGCTTTATGGGAGATCGGTTTGGAGGTCGTAACAGTTTTGAACTGAATATGACTTTGGCACACCATATCGAATGGTCGGCATTTGCCTATCTGGATCTCGTTATTGAGCTACCGCAATTAGTTCACCGAGTTTCGCTGGGCTCCATTGACATGGTTTTGATCGACCGTGCGCCTCCCACGGAATCCTCTTCATCTTCATCATCATCATCATCTTCACGTGCAACTGGTATATATTTGGACTGGGACTATGCCTCCATTGTCTCTACCATAGCTCGCATCGCACACTTTCCGAGTGAGATCTCTCACAGAAGCGGGCTTGATGGTTTACATTAATTTATCTGTGCTGACATCATTTCGAATGTGGTTTTGTTGCATGTTGCACATTGCAGATTGCACATTGCATGTGCGAGCTTTTGGGTTCGCAATTGCCGCAAGTAGTCGCCGCAAAGGCTTGCGATATTAACAATTTAGGTTTACTTGTTAGTATTTTGAGCAGCAAAAACAGCAGAATCGAAGTGGCCAAAAACCCGTTTTGAGGCGCTCTTTTACGACTCCAAAGATTGGGATTTTAGCGGGAACGTGTAAGGGTACGGGTACACACAATGGGCCTGTGTTTATATTAACATATAAAAATACTTATATGTATTCCGCTTGCAGTACGTGTTTGTCGCGGCGAAAAGTGATTATCGTGACTCACAGTGCTTGGCATTTGCGCCATCGCACACACGACCAAGATACTTCATATATCGTGCATATATGTATATTCCAATATTTGCTTATTCACACGAAGTATAGCTTTCATTGGCAGGCCATCAGAATGGCCGATAGAAGCTGGCTTTACACCGTCAATAAATCACGAGTTAATAGTCTCTAATCAAGTGGGTTTCTTGTTAGAAAGCTGATAGTGTTCGACTGCATAAAAATCAGTTTCAGACTTACATTTTAATAGATATTAACTTGTAGCATAGGATTGAAACCCTCTTTGACATAAAGAAAATAAAAAGTAGTCATTTAATAAGTTTACTTACTAACTAACTACCAAAATAATGGTTGAAATAAAGTTTAATTTAATTTTGGTGGATACAAGACTATATTTCCATAAAAGGAACTTGTATTATTCATGAAATATGCATAAGATGCGGAGAAAAACTTAAAATCTGTTCATGCATTACATATGTAATTGCGTTAAAATAATTTTGAAATAACTTGCTCTGACTCTCTTTTCTCATGCAATCATTTTGTGCCGATAATAATGTATTTCAATTTATCTATTACTCACTCAATCAATGCATATTTAAACGAACATTGTCGAGAAGTCATTTCCTACAGCGAAATGTAACTGGCAAATTGCATCTTTCAAATGCCTGAACGTGTAGATTGGGTCTTATGCATATGAGGTGATTCAGAGATAAGTGCAGTCGCACATATATATATAAGTACATCTATATCTATATCTATATATATTTCCATGGCATATCGGCTGTGGCTAACTGTTGCAACCTCGACGCAAGCGTTATAAAATAAATTCAATCACACGGCGAAAGCAACATTGCATCCAGTTGTTGCTGCTTCGATTTCAATTTGCATAATGGTTGGTTGCCGTTATCAAGAATGGTTTATGTTTACGTTTACCGTTTCCTCGTACTTCTATATATAGATTGCTGGTACTTTGGTTTACAAGTTTGAGTAAAAGTCGTAAAACTTTTATAAAGGCATTTCCGGGAATTTATTTCTATGTTATTGCACACAAAAATTTCATTCACTCATTTTATTGTAGTTTATTGAAGTTTAAAGAACTTACCTACAAAGTTTTTCTTTGGAAACCGCGCTTAATTGTCATTTATAAGCAATTATTAAAAGCAAAATGGAATTGGATTGTTTGCATGTGGTAATGTCTTGAATAACGACGATTGCAACTTGATTATTGCTTCGCATTACTTGTTGTTACCAATCATTTTCCAACATAATTTTCTGAGAATTGCAAGGCGAATGAAAGCCAAACACAAAATGCAGATCGTGATTTACATATCTTCGAAATTTAATGTAAATGCATGCCGTTTTTGAAACCCATTATAGAAACGGTAGGTTTTTTTTTTATTGACTGGTACCTGCGTTCGATTTAAGAGAGATTTTGTTCGGTCAAAAGTTCATTTATATTAAACAAGGGGCAAGGTGATTAGCAGACCAAACATGAAAGCTTTCACCGAAATTTTTATAGTTATCAACATATACGGGTAAATAAGTTTACATTCCATACAGCATTTATAAACATTTATTTGTTGAATAAAGCGATTGAAGGTTTATAAACCTTTCTAAATGGTTACTCTGTCTTTTGAATTACATATACAGTATAATATACTATACTGCATAGACTGGAAATAAGCCAAAAACTGGGCACAGAAACACCTTCGACTACGATTAAAATCATGGCCGCTTCGGAGGCTTGACGGCTGTCAGCCACTCAGTAGTTTCAGGTGGCGGAGTTGTAATTTCTGTGTTTGCCAAAGATATACAAGTCAGGTTTTTGAGGCTGTTACGAGTGTGAGAACCGTTAAAGTACGACCAGTGACTCGACAAAGCCCTCAACTCGGCCTAACTGACTGACTTTCTGGCATACGCGTACGTGTACGAGTATTTCTGCGTAATATGCTTCTGTTTCACTTGGCTAGCAGCTAAATATCCCAAGATGATGATGATGATGATGCGACAGATACCCAAAGTTCAACTACCCCTTTGTTCTCTCTCCCCAGGAAAGTATCAGGTCAATGGATCTTAAGCTGTCCCCTCTAAAGTACAACCTTTCGAAAAGAAACTTCTGGAAAAGATCAAGTCAATTAATTGCATGATTAGTGATGTGTTTACCACTTGTACCAGAAATGAATGCCCAAATGAGTGTTACTAGTTTACAAGGTGAGGAATACAGACCAAACCAACTTTGCCAAAAAGTGGCCAAAATACCCGAAGACACTATAAACTTGATTTTAACGGAAAACAAAACTCGCGGAAAAGCAGCCTGGACCTGGAAGCCAAAAGTGGATGAAGTTTGTGGACTCTACTCCACTTCGCCTACGAGTGTGGCTTACATAAACCGAAAACTTTGAGCACACATTTATTTGTATGCTCCGTACAGTTTATAATGAAATTTTGCAGCACAAGCTAATGATATAATCTAGGCTTTGCAACAGGAAGTAGAGGTGTTAGATTTAAGGGTTTTATTATATTTATTACTTTTAAAACTAAGGCAGTGGCCCTGAATAACCAGATGTTTATGCACTTGAGTATTGGTTACACAAAGCCTAATTTTACTTACTTTTCGATCGAACTTCATATGATTTTGGCGTTCAGAGCTCGTTTCTCATTTAATTTGCCCCCGCTCTGCATTTGTTTTACCCTTATTTTTTTTTTAAATTTTTTAATGCCAACAACTCCACGCAGATGTCTGGCCAAAAATAGCAGCCTGAGCCAAGCTGGCGCAGATTTGTAGATTTGTATCTCAAGTGCGCGAGTATTGCCCAAGTTTCCTGTTCCGTTCGGTGGTCAAGTGGATGGATTTATTCGTTTGTGGTTGCCAAGCTGCACACTGAACATTTTACTTTCACATAAGGAAATTTTAATGGCACTTATGTATTTTTCATATGGGTGTTTTTATTTTTACGCCTAGGTAAAAAATGTTTAGACAAATCGATTTTGGAACCACTTAAAGTTTTGATAGGCAGACTTTATAGTTGTCTTTGACTAACATGTTCCAATTTTAAAATCTAAATTTAATAACAACATTTTATTTAAAGAAACTTTTGATAGCGAGAATTCAAGGTTTATAGACTAATGCGTCCATTTAAATTTTTTCTCTCTTACAAATTTGATTGTTGATCTTAATTGGTATGGCTCGATTGTTTTAAAAGGCAATTAATCATCAAAGTCCCTCTTTCGAATTGTTACTTGTGATTTTTTAATGGGATCAATAGCGTGTCTTGCATATTTTTGGTATTCTCGAAAATGTCCCGCTCGCATTGCGGTGCTTTCGCTTTTGAGGCTCCGGCAAACAAAGTCTCAGCAGTGGTCTTATGCCGACCGATATCATGCTATATGCGGACCGAACATAGCTATGATGAACAATCTGCATAAATTAAGCCATTCGATGAGCTATTTGTAATTTGTAAGGCGGTGTAAGGTGGCTATTGGCCGGCTTTGGCTTCGTTCTACTAATCAGGAAACCGAAATCAAAATTTCGCTTTTTGTTGGATTCGAAAGAGAAACGCGCGACTAATCGTATGTCGCACAACACAATTTATTTGGGTAACTAAACCGCTCTAGTCGCTCGCTCATTTGCATACTATTGGTATATTTGTTTAGAAACTCTTCGGGCAGAGGCGAAATAAAAGTTAGAAAATAGAAATTTATGGGCTCTGCGGTGAGTAGTTGGTGGGGTATTTTGAATGAAAGCGAAAACGCTTCGATATGAGCGATTTTGTGATGGTTTCTTGTTTTTTTTTTTGTTTGGGAGTGGCTCACGTAAAAGGGCGACAATACGTGAGTAACTGGCGATAATAACTCCCACTCTCCCAAGACTATGGTACTATCCAACTCAGCAACGTCTCACTTAATTTGCACCGGACTCTTCGGCTTCGGCTGTCTTCTGCGTAGAAAGACAATGGAAAACGATGCCTTATTAGAATGCGTGAGAAAGTTACTGTGAGAAACTGGAACCCGATTGTGGCGCCAATTCCCAACTTGAGGCGGCGTTATTAGTCTTTACCGTGCCCTCATTAAATGGCTGAGAAAGAGTCTCCGTCTTAAAGAACTGACCCACAGATTTCTACGCAGCCATTTAAATTCCCCTTTTTTATCACCTTCTCAGGCAACTTGCCACTTGAGTGCCATTTGTTTTGCCAAGCATTTAGCCAAGGAAAGCTCATAAATGTGTGGTGAAATTTTTGGGTCAACTATTGGTATTATGATCACGTAGCCTGTCGAGAAATCGCCATGGCGCTAATATATATATATATATTGCATTGTTCTGCTGAGACATCCTGCAATGTGCGTGCTCCGATTCGCCACCTGCGCAATTGTCTGTATAATTCGCCCATTCCCCATTCGATGCACTTCTTCTGTGGGTCACAGCGGATGTCGTCGGCAATGCGTGGATCTGATTCTACCCGGTTTATATATAGACTGCCGCATTCCGCACGCTCCCAATTCGCTTTGGTCTCTCTGGCCGAGCAAGGCTAAGACTGAACAAAAAAAAAAGACAAAAAAACACAAAAAAACAACAAGCGTTGTTGGGGTCCGAAATAAGACAAATTTGACGGCTGCATCACTTGCCATCATGTTCGGATATTTCTGAATGGGAATGGGCACAATTCCTCTGCGCCAGAATCTCAGCTATTCTCTGTTATTGCCGGCTATACGGATTGCCCTAAGGTCTCGTTGAAGAGCTGCCTGATTACTATGTTTCGTACATGATGTACTACAGCGGCGCGAGCGTGTTATTTTGTTATGTCTAAAAATATCTGGAAATCCGCTGGTGACAGGGGCGCTACAGGGTGCTGCAAGGCTGGGGATCTTATGGATCATCTATGAAGATTTTACGACGGTGTTCAAGAAGGTTCCAAAAAGAGGTAGGGGAGATTTCATAACAACATTACAGATCTAAAGATTAAAACCATTTTAGTGCCCTTTAAATTTGATCGATACGTTTTTTGGTACTAAAGATTTTAGTTTAATTTCAAACTTAAGTTTATTCTTAAGTGTTTTGTTGATTACTTTAAAGATGTTCAGTAAAGTCAATCAGTATTTAGCAAATTATATGTTGTAGCTTAATAATTGTGATATTCTCTTCCTGAAGATAATACCCATTACATTTAATGGGCATGTATAAAATGGTTTAATTTCTAATTTAATTTCTTACCTTTGACTACAAATATTAAATGCCTAGTAAAGTTAATAAAAAACTTTGAAATAAATCAAAGATGGAATAATGCCCCTTTAGTACACATTAAAATTAATGGGTATTTAAAAAATGGTTCCGATAGTAAAACTATAATGTCTTGCCTAAATTGAGTCTAGTAATCACGGTGAATAGTAAACAATTTAAAATATATGATAAAGAATCGCTTAAATATTGCCTTGTAATCCCAAAATAAAGTTAAACAAAAGATATTTGCTTGAAAAAGATATAGATGCCATTGAGCTTGTCAAAACCATAACCAAATATTCAATAGAAAAATCTGTTTACGATAATCTTCAAGTTGTTAAATCCAATAATAAATGAAAGTAAACAATTCCCACTTTTCGAGTCCATATACACCCTGTTTGTCATTTTATTTTTTTATTAAATAAATTTGCTCATTTCTTATATATTTTTATTTTTGTCTCGATTCCCAATTCTCACTCTCGTGAGTGCTCACCGATCGCGTGGCATTCGTGTCTCTGTTTTGCTGTTTTGCTGTTTTGGGGCTCCTTGGGGCTCTCTCTTGGGGGATTTGGGTGATTTGGGTGATCCAACGTGGCCGAAAGTGGCAGCATTTAATTTTTAGTTGCACGCGAATTTCGCAGCGAAACAAACAATATCCACGCCAAACGGAACTAGGAAACATAGATTATATGTTCATTTTTCCCATACTGTTTGTACAAATCGTAATTTGTGAGTACGCGCTGAATCGCAGACCCTTTTCATGACAATGTTTACGCAGCTGTGTGAATTCTTCAGATAAAAATGACAGATTAGCGAACCAAATTAGACATGCTGCGAATAGTAAAAATAATATCTTTTCCGCTGCCTCTGCTTCGCAAAATAAATACAAGAAAAAATCCAAAGATTTCGTGTTGATTTGTGTATTGTTTTAAAAAAAAAATGTTGCCACAGTGTTTTTCCAATGTGTTATTACTTCACAACATCGGCTATTTGAAAAGTAACAACTTGCGGATTCGTATGATATACATGTGTTTTCATTAACCGACATGTGAGACATTTCAGATAAAGACATCATTTACGTTTGTATAAAATCATTTTCGTTGACCTCCAGCCTTGCCCTGCGCAGAAAATTGCTTTTCCCAATGTTTTTGTGAAAATCTCATGACGTAATATCAGTTCAGTAGAAAATCAAAATAAATTTATGATTATGATCAGTTGTTAAATTCTTTGTTTTAATACTGGTTGAAAGAATGCACGTTTCTCTAAATATTCTATTTAATTATGCATCACGAAGGGATGGATATACATAAAGCTTCAAACATCTGCCGACAAATTGAATTTGCATATTCAAAATAGTTTGACGTGTGGGTCGAAATAAGATGAAAGGTGTTGATTATGGCTATGAAAATAGCCGGTGAGCCCTATAGATCTAATATAGAGCCAGCCGAACTTTATTAAGCTAAACGACCTTTTATAAAAAGCCCACCATAAATGTTATGACAAGTTGATTACACAACGTGTTTGAACTAGTACAAATTACTATCTACATATAAATACATTTTAAAAATATTAGAATAGAAGATGTCTGTATATCGAAGACAAGCACAAAATATGAATTGCTGTGAAAAATTTACAATTTTCATATCGATTATTTGTTTACAGCAAACTTAAGTCGCCATTAAGACTAAATGAAGTCACAAAACTAAATTACCTCTTGCATTGACCACGTTTTTGTTTCTGTATTATGGCCTTTGATGCAACTGACTGAACAGACAGTTTAACAAATTTTTTGAACTCGTTTGTTGCTAGCATTCTAAAGCCATAAGTTGATGGCCTTCGTGTCTGGTTTCTTTTACGAATGGAGTTGTGCTTGCATTATGTACATAACTTTATATTTTTCGCATACCTGGCCAAGTTCTCGTGTATCTTTATACATGTGAATGCCTGTGCTAATATTACAGATTGAGATTGAAATGCCATTCTTTTTATATCAGAGAATTGCGAACTGTCTGCGCTTAGCCTATAATTTATAAATTCTTTGTTCTGCTTAAGTCAAGAGATAAAAAAGTCAGAAAGAATTTAAAATGTTGTTAGTTTTATCTGCTTAGCCAACAACTGATAATACACTGATAATACCAATCACCTTTTGCGCTGCTTTGTTTGATGTTCCTGTGCTTTCTGTTTGATTATCTGTTGACATAATGGTATATATATTATATATAATATTTCTTAGAATCTACATTGCAATATGTCGACAATAAAAATCTTTGCAGCTTATGTCATTAGCTTCTTGTTAGAAATAACACAAATAAGCCAAAACATTTGCTGTGCCTAACCAACATCTGATAAAACCCCAGCTGAAAGAACCCATCACCTCATCCATCCACTGTTCTGTGTTCTGTATTCCGTTGCTGTGTTCTGTTCTCTGTTCAAACTAAGGAAATGCGTTAAGACTTAGAAATCGATCGGCTTTACGCTCCAATATGAATTCTAAACGATCCACCTATCTTATCCGCAATGGAAACTTTGCAGCTAATGTCATAGGTCGTTTCAAGCGCCATCTCATAAAGTCACCGAAAATGTCCGAGGACCTGGACGAGCTTTTCCTGTCGCCGATTCCGGCGCCCTCGGCCGTGGAACTGCAACAGTGCATCCTGTTTGGGTTCCGGCGCCGCCTCCATCCCGCCCAGATTTTCGAGGAGTGCCGCAATGCCTTCGGGCCCTTCTGCCCCAGTGCCGAGTACGTGGCCAGGTGGTATCAGCGTTTCCAGGACGGATTCTTTAACTTGGACGAGAAGGATGACGAGGAGCTGAGGATCGGGCGAGGTGAAACCCCAACCACCTGCAGTGACTACGAGGATGAGAGTGATTTTGGTGAGGCGGTGACGGTTTTGCCCCTGGTTCTAAACGAAATGAGCGATCGAAATGAGGAGGATAATGATGATGAGGATTTTGATAAGGAGAGTGATGATGGTCTAGATGGTCATGTGATTGGTTATTGGCAAGGTTATGGCTATTTGGGTGGCAAGCAAAGGTATAGTTGGGTTGGAAATAAATTGTATGTACTGTCTCTAGATTGCGCTACTTCATATGACTAACTTCTGTCTTCTATTATCTTATACTTGCAGTGGAAATTCGGCTTGCGAGCTGCCACCGCTGCCAAAATCGCTGATTGGCTTCAATAAACTACTGTGCTCCGATTCGGGACTCCTGAGTGATGTGGAGGGAAATGCCAACAGCAGTGAGATCAGCCAAAAACCAAACGAAAGTGTCGTCCAGGACAGCAATGAGAATGCCATCGACAAGTCACTGCCCGCATCGCCGAACGGAAATACGGCAATACCAGCAATAGCGGCGAAATCCGAAGCGAAATCCCCCAGCTTATCCGCCAAAGGAAACCCCCAAGCAGTCGAAGCAGGCAGCACTCTGGATGCACAAATTGCGACGCTGCGGAAGGAAATGGTAAGATCTCAATCATATTTTATTGCACTCATAATTGTAAATGTAAACTAAACCAGCATTGGTTGAGATAGAAGAGCATAGGTTCAAGATATGATTTTAAGTGGTTTTTAAGCGGACATGATGCTGAAGATCTTTTAAACAAGTGTCTTTAAGACTTTACTTCAATATCACACATAATTTTAAATTGGTTTGTTTTTTGCTTTCTTTATAATATAAATCAATTTTTTATATAGAAACCCAAATTAATAAAAATACATTAAAGTGGATTTCAAGCAGACATGCCTTATTAAGATCTTAATTCAATACCACAAACAATTCTAAATTGGTTATTATTTAGATAGGAATTTAGGTTTGTTTATATTTTGTAATAAAATAAATACCTATAAAACCATTTATATGAAAATACACTTCAAGTGTAAGTGTAAGCAGGAAAGATATTGTTGCTCTATTAATCTTAAGACATTAGAACATACTTTTATATCACACATAATTTTTAATGGGTTATTCTGTAGTCAGGACTTCAAGTTTGATTATGTTCTTCTTTTAAAGATAAATATTTAAAGCTCTACCTTTTAAGACGACTTTTAAAAAGGGCACCTTTTGTTTCACCATACTCGTTCTGAAATGAACTTGTCTTAAATATTTCCCATGACTCAGTTTTAAAATAAATGATTTCAAAATATTTGCAATTTAATCGCCCCGCTTAGCGAGCAAAACCAGTTCTCTGACGTACAAAGTTATTTTTATTTGAATGTTGTCACTCTTGTGCCGCAATCTAACACACTTCTTAAGGGTAAGAGAGCTGCATTTGGAAGTGAACTTTATTGACCTGCCTTGGTAAACTTTAGCTCAGCCGCCTAATACCAAACTTCTGCGAGTGGTGGGCAAAGTCTATGTTGGCCAAACCTTTCACATTTAATTTTGCTAGCTGGCAGCAGCATTTGTTCAATACTTATAGCCTATAGTATTATGGCCGTAAGAACCTGTTTAATACTCGCTTAGGCGTAGGTGTAAATACCCCAGTAAGCCTTGAGTTAGGAGCGGCCATTTTCTGTATAGTATTGTCTCGGATCAAATCAAAACCAAACCAAACCAAACCAAAGCAAAGTCTTCTGAATAAAAACGCTGACTTTTTCGTGCTGCTCCGATTTAGACGTCGATCTGTGGCGGTGGTGAACAATTGAAAATAAATACTAAATTGTGCACCATTTAAAGCATTTTGCGCAATTTGCATGTCTGCTGTTGTGCAATATGGCTATTGAGATTTGGCCAAGTCTTGGGCTCAAATGGCACTATTTGTGGGCCACATTTCCCGTGTAATATTGACATTACTATTATTATTATTATTCGTTTAACGCATTTCATATGAGTAGTTCTATTAGCTGTTACATTAAAGTTTCCTTCAGTTCGCCAACGCAGGCCCAATGACACTTTAATTGGTCATTGTATTTGCCCAACCATTTATTATCGTGTGTTATTTCTGCGAGGCATTTAAATTTATTCGTTGCCACAATAGCGATTTGTTTATCTAACTCTACCGGGGTTTAGTCATTTTCTGGCCAAGTTGGGCCAAAAACTTGTCGAAATGCCATTAGGGGGAAGATAAGCCCCGGTTGTTTAGACAACATTGAAAAGAAAACACTAGTTTCTTGGAAAAATAGATTTCGATCAATAGGGAAGTGTTTTTTTATTTATTTATTTTTTAAACTAATTAATGGTTAGGGTATCCGTTTGCTGACCTATCTGAACTATCTCTCCTTGGTTTTCGCAAATGTTTCGGTCGGTTGATTAACGATTCAAGCTCCGATCGTTCAGTTCGGTGGGTGTGTAAGCCAGTAAGTATGGGTATGGGTATGGGCATAAGTCCGGTGTGTGAATGTGTTTTGCAATTATGTTAGTTGGCCGCTTTTGCTTTCGAATGGCGAGCCGGCAAAAGGCAGATATTGAGTGGTTAGCCTTCTTGGTGAACCCAAGATATCGATATGGATATGCATTGTGCTCAATCACGTCTATTTATGTGCACTGTATTTGATATAAAGCCGCTTTTACTCACTCTATTTCGAACACGAATTGAAAGTAAATATTTGCTGAAGGTCAGTGCGGTAGTTGGTTGCTATTATGTTATTAGATCAGCTTTCAGTTGAGGGCACAATGGGTTTTTGACTTGCCACCTAAAAGGCGATTATCCATTCTAACCACATAAATAATAATAATTTCAGAAAAGATTTGTTATTACTTTAGGCTAGTTTATTATTTTTATTTGAAAGGGTAGTATTGCTTTTATCCCAAACAATAACCACTGACTTTGAAAAACTTTCTAACTGAAATGCAATTATATCTGGGCTTAGTTTTTTTCTACCATCTCTTGAAGTGCAGAACCCATAAAAGCAGAAACCTTGCCTCCAGATTAATAGATGATTGTCAAGTCAAATTAGGCTCAATTGTTAAGCTCGCCATTCCCATCAGTGTTTGCCATCAGCGGCACCATCTCTAATGTGTATGGGTACGCCGGCGATGAAAATGAAGTAATAAACCTGGTTAATGCAATACAACGCATCGCATCGCATTGGGGGGAAATAAAAAGCACCGGGTAATGCCGAGCCACAATGGGAGAAAACAGGAGTAAGACTAATCAGCGCATGCGCAGCCATTAAGCCAGCCAATCCAGCAAGTTGGTAAGTTGGTAAGTTGGCAACTTGGCATCTTGGCAAGCGGGCAAGTAAGCAACAAAGCGAGTCCGCTTCAGCTAATTTAAGTTGCCTGGTGTTTGGCTGTGTTGTTGTTGCTGTTTTCCCAGATACCTCGGTTATGGCAGCAAATTAAATTTATGAACGAAAAAAAAGGCAGCAGCGGCCGCAGCTAAAGTATAGTAACTAAAGAGCCAGCGGACAGCGGACAGTTTGTGAGAAGAAATGCATCAATGCATGAAATGGATTTTTACGGCTTACATAAAATGGCCTTGAACGCGCCGCCCGGCATTCTTTCTCCAGCTCTTGAGATCGTCGGCTGCCGATTAAGCCCGTCTTGGCCAAGAAAGACCCCCATTTGCGGCTAATCGCTTCTCACTTGTTCCACTTTATTTGGCACATCCTATGCGCACCGAGCTCAGTTTATCAGACCGCGAACATGACACGCCAACCTCTTGCCGAGACTTAAAAAAGAGATATATAGTATGTGGGTTCTGCAATCCGTCTATTGCTTCATTTGCCTACCTCTCGAGTTAATTAAATCTCTTGGGGATATAAAAGGGTGAATAAAAGCAATGAATAAAAGCAGTGAATAAAAGCCATGCAGCGTAATTTGTTTGATACACTCGGTTTTAGAAAGCATTAACATTAAATCCATTTCAAAAACAATTTACTATTACAAATATTACAATGGCTAACAAAATATTTCTTATCTCTAAAATTGTTATGTGTTTATGATAGATTTGACATATGCTTTTTGCTATCTTTTTAGTTTGGATATTTTAGAGAAACTTTTTACCTGTAAGGTAGAAACAGATAAAAAACACTTAAAAAGATAAATCATTGATATATGCATAAACGTACGATTCGTTTCCCTATGCTAATTTTAAAATGCGTATACCAAAAGTGATTGTGGCAAATGGCAAGACATCTGGATTGCCTTTCTTTCTACAAATAATTGCTGAAATTCCCGGCTTGTTTTCATTCCTTCCCGTTTCCTGATCTTCCGCATTTTTAGCAAAGGTGCCGCCGTTCAGCTGCAGAGTTCACGCATCAGTGCAGCAATGTTTGATGTAAACTGAATGGCTTCCCGGCTAAAGATAGAACGCGCCACTATTTATCTTGGATCTTGGGCAGATCCATATATATATATAAATATATATACATATATAAACCTATTCAGCGAGAGAGGGCAGTGGCAGCCTTGTCTGGCATTTGCAGCGTTCATTGCCATTTGGCGCTGTTGCATTTAAGAAATACTTTTAGGGCTTCTGCTTGTGTCAAGCCTCCTATTACCACGGGGCATGTAATATAAGCACTTCGCACAACCCTAAGCAATTTTAGCGCAAAGAGCTTAGGGCTAATTAAATTGTCAACCGTATTGATTTGATTTATGACAGAAGTGCATAAAAATAAAACTAATACTGAATCAGATTTGAAATATCATTTAATAAATGAAACTGCAATTGACAAAAAAATGTCTCTGAAAATATAACAATAAACTGGAGTATCGTAAATTGAATTCCATAGGCTCTTAACTCTTGTAAAAACTTTAAATCTTTATTTAATAGATATATATATCATTTACGATTATATATATATTAAGTAGAAATTTGCTTAAAGTGGTTGATTTCCCTAATTGTTGACCCACATTTGCTAGCAGTCTGATTTGCACTTGCTGGTCAAGCCAACTAATGGTATTAGCACAATTCTATGTGGATCAACTTCCCACGGATAACCCTGCAAGTATGTTAATTTGCAACTAATTCACATTCGACCCAAGGCGACGCCCCCGCCAAATGCGGCATTAATCTGGCAAAAACTGGCACACACTTAACGTGGCACACAGCAAATGGTAAAGAGAAAAACCGCAGATAGGCTGTTTTTTACTGCAGAACACGTAGAGATACTTCCTGATTGTTGCGAAAGTTGAGGAAAAGCGAAAAATTAGCAGTTGCAGAAGTATCGAGTGTTGAAGAAGAAACCATTATTGGAAAATTTCTAACCGTATTCTAGTCGGAAGTAAAGAAAATTGAGTTATGCGGTTTTTATAAACCAAAGTTCGCAACCGCAAAGGGAAAGCTTTCCCGTTAATTGATGGTCTACAATATATATATAAATATTTAAAAATCACCTAAGTCATGGTATAATTTATTGAAAAATTCATGAATTTGTGGACTTCCATGTTATTTAAATACGATCTACTTAATTAATAGCATGCAGTTTTAAATCATTTTAATTTGCTTCTGCATCCAATCTGAATGCATAAGCACCCAGGTGGGAGTTAGTTGAAGCGAAAACGCAGGCTTGAGCGGATTTGGCTAATACCACGATGCTGCCGTGGTTGCAGAAAGTTTTTCTTTTGCTGCTTTTCTTTTCGCGCGATATTATGCCGCGATATTAATTGACAAATGAGATTTTTCCTTCCTACTGGACAGCGACAGGGGAACTTTCATTTTGACCACAAGCGTCATGTTGGCGAAAATACAGGCCAAGGCTTTAGGAGGACATGAATATTTGGGATTGCTCATGACCAGCCAAGCCAGACGATATATATTTCGGATAAGACAATCTAAATCTATAAAATGTAAAGTAACTATTTTACATTGATCAATCTATGGATTAAACGAGCAGTAAATATAAAAGTTCGATGAGCTGTGTTTTTCATTTTGTTTAAGTTTAATTTACTACAACACTTTACAGTATAAATATAAGTTATATATCTAAAAAAATTTTAACAAAATTTAAAGTAGCTAAAGTACGCTGATCCTCAAAGTAAAATAAATCCAATGAGAGTCTGGATCTGAAACTGTATTTTTCGTTGTATTTAAGTTAAATTTACTGCATCATTTTGTAGTATATATAAAACTTTGTTAAATTAAATTTAAAGTAACTATTACAGTAACTTTGAAAGTTCCTTCAGCCCTAATTTAAAATGAAATCAAAAAAGATGATGGATTTAAAATTTTACTTAACAATTTATTTAAATGTTATACAACGTTGTTTAATTAATAGAGCTGTCTATTAAGAATAAGTATTTATTTCAATCAACCCATTTATTATAGTTTATAATATATTCCCCTTTTTAATTCCAGAACGGACTGCGTCAACTAGATCTCTCGTTGTTGTCACAACTGTGGGTGCTTAACGAATCGATCCAGGAGTTCCGCGCCCTGATCGAGGATCAGGAGAACGAGGACGAGGACGACGAGGTGGACAATGGCAACGAGGTGGACGAGGAGGGCAACAGCCGGATATCCTCGTCCGTGGAATCGGTGCGGTACGAGGGCGGTGCGGATGCCAGGGCGAAGCATCTGGGAACCATACCAAAGGTCATCACGACACAGCCGAAGGTGCTGCGGGATACGCTGGCCAGTGGCAAGGACCAGAAGCCGGTGCCCAGGATGCGGAGTGCCCCGCCGCCGCCACCACCCGTTGTCCTGCAGTCCGCCTCCGTGGAGCGAAAGCCGCCGGCACCTTCACGGCCCACATGATGTTACCTCTCGGACTTCCTCGCCGGAGTCAGGATGGTCATGTGCAAGGCGATCGTGAGCGATGTGCCCGTGCCCGCCTCAACCACGTCCTCACCCCTCGAAGGAGGAGGAGGAGCTGGGGTTTCCGCCTTTAACCGGGGCGTGGATAGCTTGTCAAACCCGAAGAGCTGCTTGGGCAATCAAAGTGGCCTGCTCCAAGCTTAGTTTAAGTTGATATAACCGATAAATAGGGCTTACGAGCGATTTACGAGCGAACTGATCTAAATTCTTGGGTGAACTAGCAGTTCGAATTGCCCTGAAAAAAATCCTGACACGAAGCCTAAGTTATCTGCTGCTTACCTCAATATAGGAAGACCCAACATAATATAACATAATTGGTAGTAATCGTAAGACCAGCCTCTATGTTTAGGAGTCCTTTGTGATCTTCAGTTGTAAGTTTATTGTACATTTTTCTCTTGTGGTTTGGGCTTGATGGGTTCCCCGATAACTCTTGTTTTTGTTTAATAGCCTTACTCCCTAAGCCTAGCTGTCAAATCATGCCCTGGATCGCTCTTGATCCTGCGGCTATGTTACACCATGCATTTGACCAGTAACATTTGTATATAGCAATTTTCCTGGCTAGCTGCTGAACATTTTATAAACCTAACGAAAAGTATAAAGAATAAAAAACATGAAAAAAAAGCGTGGTGTATTTATAAAACTTGGGGTTTGGATTTTGGGGATTTTGGGTTTTTTTTAGGCCAGTCTCACGCCATCCAGGCCCACCTGAATGCAGGGAAAATCGTAGCTTACGATCTGATTGCTGGCATAGTTGGTATAGATGGTGGGACAGGCCTTGACCGCGACTCCTGCCATCTTGAAATTTATTTTCAAGCACATGTCCAGGGAAACCATCGAGACCACGGGTAGGCAATATGTGGGCGGTTTCGTGGTGCTAATCGAAAACTTGGCAACTGAATTTCCATCCATTGTAGCCCCCAAATCAAGGGATCCACTGGTTAAGCCAATCTTGACGGTGAGGCAAACTAAAAGTTACATAATGAAGCAGACTTAATTTAAATATTGAAATACCACTTACGAGTACTGGTTTGATTCATTAGATTGACCGTCACACCCTGGCAACAGCTGCAGGACATCGTCAAGGAGCACTGGCAAACCTGACTCGTTGCCGGCAAGGATATTAGTCCTAGATCCAATCCTGTGCCAGCTTCGGCAATCTTTACATGACTTAAAGAGACTACAATGGTCAAAAATCCTATCAATATGGTGTGGGAGTGGGAAATGACCATTCTTCTGCCTCTAAAAAATATGAATAACTGTCCAGCAGTATATTTAAGCTGTCACTTTTTGTCAACAGTTCTTGAAAAGCGGCACCTTAAATATTAATTGCTTATAATATAAAATTTCGCAATTTAATTAGTTTTTCGAAAGGGTCATTTAACTCGTAATGACTATTTAGGGGAATTTATGGTAGGTTCAAAAGTCAATAAATTGTGTGAATATTTGTAAAACAATCACTTTTTTAATAATTTCATCACTTTTAATAGGTTTTTTTTGTTAAATTTGAATCGAATTAAATAACTTTAACAAATACCTACACCAAGAGACGCCCCCTATCGGCGAAATTTGCCAAACATGTAGAGTTCATGTAGATAAGTTAAATAATCGTATAGTTCAGCTTTTTGTCATTCACATTTTTGAATATTCTCAGGAAACCGTTAAAATCATACAAAAGCAGAACCTTATTAATAAATTAATTAAATATTAAATTAAATGTAAAATTAAAACACTTCTATAGAAAGTAAAACTAGCTTTTAAATATTTAAACTGGTTCTTTTTTTAATTTGATTAACAAAAGTTCATACGATATTCCGTCAAATAATGATTAGCTTTTTCGCATACCCGCACCAAATTTGTTTTACGAGTTATGCAGATAACTTGATTCCTGCTCTATTATATATATTATTCCCAACTCCGACATTTAAGTGTGGAATCGTCGCAACCGGTCTTCTCTATTAGTGGGGGCAACTATGCGCATTCAAATGTCTATGCATTTCCTAAAGTTTATAAATTTAGGTGCGCGACGCTTAGAATGTTCTAGTATACATCGGTAAATTCAGCACACATCAAGATGGTGTCCACAAAATTGGTATGAAATTCCTGATAAGTAAATGTATTTACTTAACAAATTATTTTGTATGTATGCAATTGTTACATATTTTTTAGCTACTCTTCACTGCCCTACTGACCATTATGGCCACTGGTGGATCGGCACAGGGCTTTCAGGACCTATTTCTTCAAGCCACAAATACTGCGTTACAATCATTTGAAAACTTTGTTGGATTTGTAAAAACAGAGTTCTACTCCTTGGTTCCCACGAAGGAGGGATACCATTTTAAGTAAGTGTTTTTAAGTTCTAACAAGGTTTTGGGATTAAATTAACACATTTTCAGATTGGAGGAGCCCAATGGCAGCAAACGCGAGGAAATCGGTATGTTCCTGTATCCCGGCACGGACAAACAGGAACTGGTGGTGATGGGTTCCTATTCGTCGTATGATGAAAAGACCGATACCGATTCGGTTACTATGTATACTGCCGATAGAAATGGTAACAAAGCCCGCTACGAAGTTAAGAACCGACGACTGAGTGCTTTGGCGTGCAAGAGTGCCTGCGGCTAAAAAAAACAATCTGAACTGTGAATAAAGATTGGTAAACTTCTTTGATTGTTTGATTTTTGAATTTTATTCTGTAAATATATATTTTTAAAAACTATCTGTACATGCAAAACATTATACTTTGTTCAATTAACTCACGATGAATGACAAATAAAAGGGCAAATAAGCACATTTTTAAACGATCTTAAAATAACAATTGCTAGTTTTTTTCACACAGCTGTGCAAATTTGGATTACGAGATTTGTAGATTAGTTAATTCCCGCTTTTCATGTTTTATGGCATTTAGGTGGGGGATTCAATGAGACCGGTTTTAACTTTATCTGTACGAGCTTTAAAAAATCTATGCATTTTCTAGATTTTAAAAATTAAGGTGTGTTGCGCTATGGATGCTTCAGTTTAAATTGGTAAATAAAATATGTTTAGATTGAAGTAAAACTTTGGAATGGCTAATGAGCTAATTGGGTAGACTGTTAATAAAGAATAAGTAACAAGCTTTGTGTATATATAGAATTGCATACTTTTGGGCAATGAGCTTTAACTCGGCTTGAAAAAGTTAACAACCCCATTTTTTAACTAACTTGGTGTTTAATGCAATATTTAATAATCCTTGAGTAACTCCTTGTGAATTTAATTTTATTAAATTTTTTATATATTTTTTAAATGGGCAGTGATTATATTTAATTTATGTATATTTATTAATAAATGAAAAGATAATATATATAAGGTTCTATCTAGAGCACTCATTTAGAAAACAATACTACTTCAAAATTTCCTGGTACAAAAATTTAACACCTTTATAATATACTTTTTACGGTTAATTGGCTATTTAAGAACTTTTTATTAAAGTGGTGCTGTCCAGAGCGTTGAACTTCATCTTGACGTTTAGATTAATGGCTACAAAGCTGCTATCTGAGTTTAAGTTTCATTTAATTGCCAACCAGGAACGAAGAAAAAATTTATCAATGAATTTGACGCGGTTTCTGAAAAGGAGGTAACACATAATGAGTAAATAATGATTAACTAAATTAATTACAGCTTATTACTCATCATATTAAAGAATCATGTAAAGTACCGTGAAAACCCTATGACAAAAAAAAACCTGATTCATTCAAAGAAAAAACAATTGTTGGCAATGAGCAGTAGAGGTGGGGCAACACATACCAGAGCAGCATCCTATAGAAAGTGAAATCACTTCAACTCCATAAACCGAAATAAACTAGTTTTGGAGCGTTCAAAGTAATTTTTTTAATTTGGCATCTAAAAAATATGCAAATATCCATTTTATTAAACACTAGTTTTGCTAGCTTAAAACCAAGGATAACCACTTTATGATAAGCTATCGAAAAATGGTCTTGCATCTGTTTTGGACAGCAGGAACTTTTGTGTGCTAAACAGAAGTTTCGATTCCTGCACTGAAAGTTCTTCCCAGAACAACCAAAACAAAACATAATGGATGTAAGGCGTTGGCGTTTCTTTCGGTATTTAAGTGGAGAATCAACCTGCGACCGGTTTTACTCAATAGTGGCTGCTACTAAGTAACAAAAAACATATGACTTATCCGCTGAGTGTGAGCTTGGCGTCGCGAGCTTGAAAGATCTATGCAGATCTTAGCCTTTATATATTAGGTGGGCGCACATCGGATGCTTTAGTATAGCTACGTGAGTTCAGCGCGCATCAACATGGCCTCAGCGAAATTGGTAAGCAGTTGTTCAGGGCGGAACCCGATACCGATACCTATAGCGATACCAATACCGATCCCCAATCCAAACCCGACACCTATGACTTGGTAATGACCAAGGGGCCGGCAATTACATTGGCATGTGAAGTGTGTGAATAATCCAAATAATGGCTATCAATGCATTGATGCAGATATTGATGCAGCTGTGCTAATAGACCGGTCAGTTGCAAATGTTGTTTGATTGACACAGAGACGTTTAATTTTGCTTGTAAATTGCTGAAATTACAAAGTTTATTATCTAATTCCAACTACTGTTTCAAAGGGGCTAAATTTTAAAATAACGTTTTTTTTTTTTAATATGACCTTGATTTATATGTGTCCAAGAAAAATAGCCTTCTTATACAATCATAAAATTTAAGATTTAAAATACTTAAAAAACACTGCTAGCTACAATCCATAAAAAATACATAAATTATAATTTAGTACATATGCGAATTTTGGCGATGGCATGCAGTAAACCAGTTTGTGTTCAACACATCATTTAACAAGATGGCATTAAAATTATTAACTTTTTTATTTGCTTTCGTCTGCAGCTACTTTTCAGTGCCTTGCTGGCCATAATGGCCGCCAGCAGCTCGGCGGGCCTTTTGGATACCTTCTTTCCCACCATTATGACGGAGTTCTACAATCAGGCGCCCACCAAGGAGGGCTACCGCTTTAAGTAAGTAATCTCAGTTATAGACAGAGAGAGACTAGAGATTAAACATGCCTTCGAATTGCAGAATAGATGATCCCAATGGCAGCCAACGCGAGGAAATGGGTGTGATCATGAATCCCGGCACACCCGAAGAGGAATTGGTGGTGATGGGTACCTACTCCACATACGATGAAAAGACTGATACCGACACTGTGACCATGTATACCGCCGACAAGGATGGTTACAAGGCTCGTTACCAAATCAAGAACCGCAAACTGAGCCCTGGAGCCCTGAAGTCCGCTGCTGGATAAGGATTAATTAGTTTAGAATTGTAAACAAAGAGTCAAAAATATATTTTCTACTGCCGAAACGAGTTGTGTATGCTGTGTGGCGTCTTCTACGAATTTCCATTTGCTGCTGGCCAGATCAAGATCAAGTTTACTCGTTTCAATATCAGTAGACCGCACTCTGGATTGACGAGTTTTCTATTGCGTAATACTTTAGTTATGACCTTTAAAAAGTCTTTACGCTCGACAAATTAGCGCATTCTATAGTAATGATGGACCTGGCACCCGAAACAAGTTATAAGAATCTTGGAGGCATTGACAATACACATTTGGTGGGTGCTTCTCTTCTTTATGTGCAAAGACTTAAAGTTAGACAAGTCAAGTGACGGCTGTTAAAAGTTAATAAGCACCTACAGCTCAAATTTATGGCCACATTTGACAGGCTTAATTCATAGCATGTGTATAATCAAATTCTATTTTTGGTGAATCCAGAGGAGAACAATTAATAGTCAATATCTAGACTGCTTCCTGGAATCATTTAGACCAACAAACTTGTTTCGAATGTTAAATAATAATTTGAGGTACGAGGTAATAATGATGTATTTTACGGTGATTTTTCTTAAGCCCACATAGAAAACCTTGTCCCATTGTATGACGTATTTGGATTATTTTGCGGCGAAATCAATTTCAGAAACAAGTATACCAAAAAATGTATGTGCGAAGTTACCAGGTACATCTTCATAATTATTATTGATTAATCAATTGTATAGTAGTCGACTGTACCAAAAAAAAAAATACAATGATGCAATTATAAAAATGAAGGCCGTTGACCATTATTCACAGAAGTCGTTGAAGCCATCAAATTTACATCTTTAGGAAACCTTTATAAATTACTTTAAAATTATTATTAATTAATCAACTGTGTAACAGGGTACACGAAAAAAAACCAAACTCTTTAAAGCCCGATTTACTATGAACCATTTATTATTTAATAATTAATCATAAGTAACAACTAATGGGTGTTTGCTTACAACAAAAAGGAGGAAAATAATAAGATTAAATAAATATGTAATAAAATTTAAGCTGGTACTTAAATTTATCTATAAGCAGTTAAGAATCAAATCATAATTTATACAAAAACTTATTAAAAAAGCCGGTATAAGCTACTTGCTAATTATTAATAATTAATCAAGCTTTAACCATTTTGTAAACTCGCAAGTTTATAAAAAACTTTTATTCATGTAATGATATGAAGGTCAGTGTATGAATTTTCACAGAATTCTTTGCCTCGACAATTAGATTTTTTACTATTAAATCTCAGGGAAGAGCTTTAAGATGGTAAACTGGTAAATGGTAAGCAAAAATTGTAAATTAATACCATTTATTTTGGTTCTATTTAACGAAACATTGACATTTTACATTTATAAAGCTAACTAATAAAAATGTGTCAATTATTATTTAATAATAATATGTATTTAATTTATGAAGCCAATTAAATGTTGTTAATTATGTATGAATTATTATTTACTAGGATAGGGAAATATATATATATGTATAATAAAATTAAACCTGTTATAAAGTTTAACTGTTTAAATTTGTTAATAAGGTATGCATATATGATAATTAAATATATGCAATATTAAAAAACCAAAGACCGTGATAATGTTTTACAAATTACTGCACTTTTTGGCATATCAGGCAGCTTTTGTATTCACTTTAAAATAGCTTTTGTAAATCCAAATTGGGACCATGAAAAAACAATGTAACATTTAGTAACTAATGTTGTCCCAAAAAGCCATGAAAAGTTTGGTGACTAAGTCAGACTTAGCGGCATTCTGTTGAAAGCTTTCCATTGTTTACGAAAAGCGGGTGTTTGCGTTGGCGCGCTTTTCCGATATCTGCCTGTTGCCGCTGAAATTCTCGTTGCCCCAGGTAACTGACCAGGCATAAAGCGGCCCAAACAGAGAGCGGGTTATAACAATGTCACCCATCCGCACCACCAAAAGCCAAAGCCCCGTGTATACGTATGCTTGGATTACAATGGAGCGTTTAGTTCCCGGTGGACGTTCGACGGTGCCAGTGACGTGACTCTGAATCTGAATCTGAATCAGCTTTTCTATATAGCTCGGCACTTGAACATTTTCCCTCATCAAAACCGATTCTTAGACTCGCGGAAAGGGAAATGCGGAACGAAGTGAAAACACCCGAAAGTGACAGAAACGTTCATAAATAATCCAGTGAAAATGAAAGCAAATCATACGATTCTGCTTATGCTTTTATTTTTGGCCATCCAGCACAAATGTAGAGCTACGCAAAAGTCGCAGCTTGGCCAGCCGCTTATACAATTAAGTCACGGTGAGTTGAGCATCCAGCGAGTGAAATTTTTGTGTCATATTATCTAGAGGTTTAGGGTCTGCCCACTAGAATTTATACGGTGCAAGTATTTTGACCTTTAACGCTTCCCTTGCTTTACGCATTATTATGAATTTAGGAATTTCTGGCTGAAAGCATTAACACAATACTATACACCGTTGACCTAAGCAAAAATTTGGGACAATCAATATGAGTTAATTGCAAAACCGAAGGGAAAAGAGGACTGACCCAGGTGATTCGACCTGCCAAATCAAGGCAGGTGTATGGCTAATTGCGTGGCCAGCACGCAAGCAAATTGTCAAGTTCCTGTCTTTGGTGTTTTCGGTAACGAAAGTGCTAATCGATAAGGCTGTGTTATTGTTGTCTAAAATGGGAGATGGGGGTTATGTATTAACCAATGCACATCAAAGGACTTTAAGCTTGAGCATAATTACTGCTGCGGTACAACTGCATTGATTGTAGGAAATATGTTGCCATTAGCGCAATTGATCAAACAAACTTGAAAGCCTGTTGTCAAATAAGGGGTACAAAAATCAAAAACCAATAGGGTAAATAACAATTGATGAAAAAATGATTTAGCAACTTTGGGGTATAGTTTTACCAACTACTTATTAAAATTTTCTTATTAACTTAAAATATTAATATTAAAATCCTTTTGCTTAGGTACTAAATCAGGTAATACATATTTATTATTGCCAGAAAGCATTGTTTACTTTCTATGGAAACGGGGTGAAAGTTTAAGAAACTGTTCAAGTATAATAAAACCATGACATTTCCAGACAACTCCGATGATGACTATCCAGAAATAAAGGACGAAATTCATTTGGAGGACTTTTTCTGGACAGGTTCGGGTGATGGCCCACCAGATTTTCTGAAGAAGGTTCACACGGGGATTACCAAGGGCAAGGATGTGATTGTCAAGACCGAAACAGTAGTGGCCACGGTCTATGTGGATGGAAATAATGTAAGTTAAGGCGGGTGTTCAACCCTAATAAATATATTGACAGAAGATTTATGTCTAGGAAATTGACATACCCATTTGCCTGGACTGCAAACCAGATGATGGAGGTGGCACTTGGGATATGGGTGGTCCGGGAATGCCACCGCTGAACTACTCTGCCACGGATCGTCGTTATTGGCTGCTTACGGTGATGTCCGGTTTCTATACAGCAAAGGATAACCCCACTTTAGAGGATAAGCTGGCTCGCCTATATCGGCTAGCTTTTACCAGGTAAAAATAATATAAATAAATAAATATAATATGTCTTTTTAGTTTGAGGGTTTTAAAGTATGACATTACCTTTTTTATTTTATTTAATTCCAAGTAATCATACAATACTTAGTCACGAAGTACCCTTGTATGCTATCACCAATAACAATCACCAAAGGCCTAAATAAAATGTACTGCTATCATTTAATCAACAGGCAACAAACCCGTCATCTGGGCATAAATGGAGCCCAGCAGATCGATGGTGTCAATGTACCAGCTCCCCGAGAGCGTCGGAAGTCTTTTACCCCATCGACGAGACCCGAAACCACGACGGGATCACCGGCAGACGACGTGGAAATACTGGACATGCAGGATGACGACGAGCACTACATCAAGAGCGTGAGGAGACTGGGCGAAGACACCGAGTGGGCCAGCCACTCGGAGGAGGAGCAGTCCGAGGAGCTACCTCCAATGGGTGCCACACCCTCGACGACCAGCACTGAAACGATTGATTATGGGGCATACGTTACTCTGATCCCCTGGGAACTCATACAGCAGAGTGGGAAATCGGAAAAGTTGCGGGAAATGCACGAAACTCTGTTGACTAAACAACCGCTGGTGCAGCAACAACAGCAAAAACAACGGCAGGAGCAACAAATGGGGCAGGAGCAGCCCCAAAGCCAACCGCTTTATAGGGACGAGCACGTCAGAGTTGTCATACACAACCTAACGCAAATTAGCGAGGCTGATGTGCAAAAGTGGAGCACCAACACCAATGGGTTCGGTACCATGGAGGAGCACAACTACGTCAACCTCAAATTGTAAGTGCCTGCCGAACTTGTTATTATATTATGAGTTTGATTAACCCATAAAGTGCACTCACAGAAAATATTATTTTCAAGGGGTTAATAACTGTTGAAATTTTGATGCCAAGTTAGTAACTTGGAAGTAAGAATACCACTATGATCTAAGGGGCTACTATATAGGTTTTATATTCATAATTGTTTTCATGCATATAATTTCTTAGTTACAAACAGTTTAACACATTTTAAAGTTTATGTGTTAATTGGCTTAAGTTATTTATAAAAAAAATACTCAATTAACTTAAATATCAATTTATAAAATCAAATGGTAAAAAAAAACTAAACCTTTTATTTTTAGTTTTTTCCTTCTTTGTGACATAATCGTTAACGCTCAGAAAAACAGAAAATAAAGTAAAAACGAGACCTTTAACATTTGCTACTTAAAATCTGCTAATTATATATTTTAGCAGCAATGATCGCCCGATAGCCAACCAAACGGAGCTGATTTACACTGTCTTGGTGAATGGTAGACCAGTTTTGGCCACAACAGCTGCCAAAGACATGGAACTGGTCAGTGAATCCGAGGCCGTTAAGACTTTTGGACAGGCTGTTTATATGAAATCGGAACGTAAGTTTTGCCATCTCCAGGCAAACTTAGATACGTATTAATCCATTTTATATAGCCTACATTAGGGAGCCCACGGCCACCGCCTTGGCACCTGTGCCACGAAGTGGACAGGCTGGATTTTTCAACTCGGTGAAAAACAATGTGGCTTTGGTCGTAATCAGTAGTTTAGCCATACTGCTACTCCTGTTGCTCCTAGTGGCGGTTCTACTATTGGGACGAACACGTTCCAGACAGAGAGAACTGAGTGCAGTCAACAGGTAAGTCTATCAAAATACTATTAAAAGTTGCAATATTTTGTAAACTTTTTGATTATCCATTGCAGAAACTCCTCCCGCAACGAATTGCTTTCCGAGGGTCAATCGATTCGTCCTACCACCAGTGAGAGGACCGAAGGAGAACCAAGTCCAGCACATTCCCATTCTAGAGAAGCTGGTGTGCGAAACTTCTCCTACGAACGTGAGCCACGCATAAGTTTTCCAGCTCCGCCGCAGGAGAACCGATCCCGTCGCGGTTCCATATCCTCGTCGACGGACAACACTTCCGACTCCTCGGTCTACTGTCCCATCAATCCGCCCAGTGCCGATGTGCAAAGGATACTGGATGACAAGGCAGCGCGTTTATTTGACGCTCATAAGAGGCGTCATCAGTACGATCGAGCTGAGGGTCACGAGGAAACAGTCTATACATCGGTGGTGTCAGAAAAGAAGGGTGACAAGAGCAGGCATAAATCGCGGAGGCGTTATCTGAACGAGAATCGAGTGGGCTCCCTGGAAACGAGTCCGGTTCAGGGCTCCCTGGCGGGTCACTCCTCTGCGGAGGAATCGCCAGAAGTCCTGCGCCGGAGCTACGAGAATTTCCAAAGGAACGAGGCTTTCAATCCCCACAACAACTATCACCGAAACAAGCTGTTAACTCAGAAAACCGGAAGAGGAGTTTCCGCCGAGGCGATTAACAGCGAGATGATACGGAATCTGCAGCCATCTGATAAGAGTGATACCGCGAGTGTGGGATCCTTCCTATCGATGGCCTCTGTGAGGGCCTTTCCGAAGAGTACTCTGCCGGAGCCACTGAACCGCGTGCTCGATCCCGTGTTCGTCACCTACTACGACAATGTGAATGCAGTGGCGCCGCCGCACAATTCCACGCGATCCCTGAGATCGCACAAGTCGCAGGGCAGCAAGGACACCACCATAGCCACCATAGCCACCATAGCCAGCTTTCCCAGTCCCAAGGCACCGCCGCCATCGGTTAGGAATGTGCGTTCCGCCTCGCACAGCGATAATCCGGATCCGGGTGTAGTGGGTCCCGTGGTCTGGGAGCGGCACAAGAAGAAGCAGTCACAGGGTGAGGCGGGCGGAGAAACGACAAAAAAGAATAAGAATAAGAATAATAATAATAATAATAACAATGATAACGATGACGACGAGGACGATGGCGACGTTCGATTTGGGGCCAAGTCGCGTTACTAGGACAACCTGTAGTCGTTGATTTTGTAATTGTTATTGCTAGCACCAATCCTGATAACCCGATAACCAAAAACCAAAACCAAAGTAGCTAACTAACAGCATAGAGACCTACCCGCAAACCCACTTAACACTTGTACTCAACCTCTCCCATCGATCTTCCCCAGAGGCCCTGACCTACGCGGACTATAATCCCAGTCCGCTGCACAATCCGTCGGCCATACGCAACCACTACGAGGGGCTCCTGGAGGGGGCCCTGCAAATGTACTCCAGCCAGGACGACATACCCATGCCCTTGCCCACCCAGAACTTCACGAACAACCGGCGGGTGACGAAGCGCGAGCATAGGGGTTCATCTGCGGGCTTGCCCAGGTGAGGTTTGACTGCCAGTACATTATCCATCTCTTTACTTATAATATAACCCTCCAGCTTTCATCCTTCGGGAGGGTCCAAAACCATAGCCGAACGTCCGGCCACAGCCCAGCCGGAAAAGACCTCCAAGTCGGCCCACTCCACGCAGCCACCTTCGCCCACTTACAGTGCCTGGGGCGGAGGTAGTGTGTACAGCTCCCATTCCACCCTGAATCGGCCCTTGAGCGCAGGTCCTTTTCAAAGGACAGAGCCCAGATTGGAGGCAACCCAATCGGCAAGTGGAACTGCCCCCCTTATCGAGGCCATACAAACCGAGCTGCGAAAGTTCAAGCAACAGCAGGAGTAGAGCCTCAAATTAATGATCTTAACTCTGTCATGGCAATGAAAAATATCATTCATATCTGTACCAAAAATGTTTGCAATTCATTTAGAATAAACTTTTCTTAATACTCTAAATATAGAAAAACTCCTTGTGCAGGTTAAGCTGTGACTTTTATTATATTTACATATTCGAAATGGCAAGAACAACACACAAAGACATTAATTACAAGCTCTCACCAGCCCTTAGTTCATAATATATTTGACCGAAAACCATATTTGTTGTGTACCAGTTACAATATTCAATTAGAAGCATTCTCTTTGATATACAAAAGTGTGTTTACGACATTAAGAGTGTAAAAAAGATGTCTTCTTCAAGGTCGGAGTGTATGTGGGTCCAGCCTAGTTGAATTCCTTCTGTCCCTTGGTGCTGTCCGCAAAGGATTTGGCATCCACACTGCGCTTGCCGAGCCGGGGGCCGAACCACAATCCCGACGAGGCACTGGGTCCTGTGCGCTTGTCCAGCACCTGTTGCAGGGCCAGGAGGTGGGCCCACTTGCGCAGCTCGGCATCGCCGCGACCCACGCGCGGGAAGGCCACCAGACCGCTGGCCCGCTTCTGGAAGTCCGCCTCTGAAATGGTACGTCCCCGGGGCGTTTAGGCAATTACCTATCCGGCCGCAACGACTTACCATTATAATCCTCCTGGGAGGCATCTCCGTAAATGCCGTCGAGGACTCCGGCTTCGAATCCGTCGCGCAGACTGTTGGCCAGAGTGGGATCTCCGCGGCCGACGCGCGGAAAGGCATACAGCCCCATATTGGCACCTCGCCGATTCTTGTCGTGGTCCATCTCTGAATGGAGTGTTTATGGATTGCGATTAGTTCTATAACTGGCATACTTATACTTTAAAATCACCAATGAATAAGTTATTTTCGTACCCTAACCGCCAAAATAACAGCAGCGTATAAATATTATTTTGGATAATAACTTTTAATCTTTAACAATACAAATTGAGCAATTAAAAAGATTTTTTCTTTAATATTTTAAACGTGTTAAGTTCAATTTTCTTTAATTTTGATTTCGGTACATATTTTTAAAAAATTTGAGAAAGATTATCCATTTAAACTCTGAATTATTTGGTTATTTATTTTGTTGCTCTTATTATTTTGGCAGTTAGGCGATGTTTGATTTAGATTCAATGATTTAAATATCATGCTTAAAAGGTTTTTAAATAGATTGAAAAAAACTAGCAAAATAGAAATCGGTCAACAAAATTTCTTTGTAGGAACAAATATATGGTGAAAATGATGAAAAAGTAAAAATAACTCCACACTGGTTTACCTTTTTCTCGTAAAGGTGCTGCAAAATATATTTCAAAATTAATTATAAAGCCTTTTACTGTTACACTCTTAAATTTAATGCCTTTAAAATATTTTCGTAAAACAAAAAAGTCACTCCTAGAATCCTTAACATAAGAACTTCTTTATTATTTTCCACTCACCTGCTGCAGTGAATTCAGCGAGTAGGAAAAACACTAAAACTGCGCTGACCAACATTGATTTCATGTTTAAAATACTGTTTAAAACGAAACACTAGAAAGTTAAAATATGTACTTCGATCTGATGCTTTCTTTAGAACGGTCGCTGGTTTTCTGATGGTCCAGGTCGAAGTCCACGTTCTTTTATAGGCCAAAAAACGGACAGGCAAACAAATTGCCGGAGACCAACGGGGCGGCTGATGAATGTTGCACGCGCTGTGGGGATGCAAAATAGATGTTGCTAGCAACAGGTGGCCCTTGGCAACATGTTGCAGAACACTTGTTTTTGAGACTCGTTTATTGTTCACACAAACAAAAGGCCTTAAATATCTATAGCTGCTATTGAATCGGTCGAAACTGCATTCCGGCGATGGCTTACAGCCAGCCGGAGATCATGCGACCAGTGACAGTGGATTTTCCTCGTTCTCCGCCGGCTGCTGCACTGCTTTGACCCACCTTGATCGCCGGTTTCAGAGGAGCTGCTCCTGGCTTCTTGTCCTTGTCGTCGGCTGCTGGTTTCTTGTCCTTCTCATCGGTCGCCTTCTTATCCTTGTCATCGGTTGGTTTCTTGTCCTTGTCGTCACCCGGCTTCTTGTCTTTGTCGTCGCCAGGCTTCTTGTCCTTATCATCACCTGGTTTCTTATCCTTGTCATCGCCTGGTTTCTTATCCTTATCCTTGGCATCTTCGGTTTTCTTGGCATCTTCTCCAGACTTGGAGTCTCCTGGTTTTTGGGGCTGCTCCTGGCCGCTCTTCTTGTCGTCCGGCTTGGCGGCTCCGTTGGTGGCTTTGGTGCCCTCCGGAGCTGTAGCTGCTCCCGTCTTTAATTTGGCATCCGGCTTGGCATCCGCTGGCGCTGAGGGAGCTGCACTTTTGGCAGCTCCAGCTCCAGCTGCCGGCTTGCTGGACTCGCTCTTGGAAGACTCCTCTTTCTTGACCGCTGCCTCGGGCTTTGCCGGTTCTCCGGACTTCGGAGCTATTGGCTTGGTGTCTGCTGGCTTGGTTGGCGGTGCCGGAGCATCCTTCTTTTGTTGGTCACCGGGCTTGTTTGCCGATTGGGGCTTGGGAGCCCCAGCTCCTGGAGCTGGTTTCTGATCCCCGGGCTTTGGACCTCCTGGTGGCGGCTTGGAGTCTTTGGGCGGCTGCTGTTTATCCTTATCCTTGTCATCACCAGCTTTCTTCACTGTACCGGCTTTGCCATCCTTGTTATCAGATTTTTCATCCACATTCTTGACGGAAGCTCGCAATGCAGCTGCAGCCATCATAGAAGACCCTCCTCCTCCTCCACCTGTGCCACTGGTCATGAGTTTTTTGGACTACAATTTGATAAAATATTAGTCAATACAAAAGGGAAATATATAATTTGATCGAACTTTACCCCAGAGGCATCCAGAGGTTTCTTCTCCGCCTCGCCATTTGGATCGCCATTGTCGTCGGCCAAGGAAACCTCATCAGCAGCCATCTTCTTTCGCATGAACTTGACATAGGCCACTCTCGTTGCCCTGGTCACCTCACCCAAGTTGGGATTAAATTCTGGAAGGAGTTGAAAACAACTTTTACATGGGAAACTATTTTTAAATGTGTCTTATATTTGTTATTTTTCATTTCAAAAGTTGGAATCCAGTATAATTACTTATTGTAATCCCTGATTTATGTATATTAATTTAAAAGATAAGTATGTTATATGTAAGATCTTACCAATCAACTGGGTCTGGTCCATCTGCAGACCCTCATTGGCCGTCTCAATGATCTTTCTCCTCAAACTACGCTGGCTATGGCGCTGCATGGATGATCGCTTAGAGCCAATAGGATCAGAGGCAAAGGTATTCTTTCTTGCAATGGCATTCCAGTCCTTGTCTCTATAAATCACCAATGATTAGTATCATAGAAGAGCTTAGTGGTCATTTAAATATACCCCTTCTGGGTCTTCTTTCTGCCGATGACCTTGGCCAGCGACGAGAAGATGTCCCGTCCACTCTCACTTTCGTTCATTTCCTGCTTCAGATTCTCCACAAAGCCAATCTGGAAGTCCTTGAGGATGCGGCGTTCCATTACCTTTCCCTTGGTGGTTCGGGCCACTCCTGCGAAAGGGGATTATATTTACTTTTTTGTTGGCAACATTAAATTTATTGATACAACAGGGGAGCTAGTAAAGCACTAGCATTGCTATGATAAAAATTGGCACAGATATTAATATATAAACTTAGCTTTCTTAAAAAAATTCGATTTAAGAATATGTCTGAAGGTACTTCAAAATACTTTAAGTACAATTTAGAAAAGGGATATATATGATTTTTAGAGATAAAGATGCTAAATAAATTAAAAAGTATGCATTATTTAAATGATAATTGGTTAAGTCTTAAGATGATTATTAGTTGATGATTATGCATTATTTTATTAATAGTATGTATGCATTTTTAAGATATTATTCATTTTTAACAAATCTCTCCAACTATGTAAGTAAATAGTTTAAATATGGGTACGACTCCCTTACCCTGGGATTTCTTCTCAATGTCGGGTACCTCCCAACTGTTGTTCGTGAAAATCTCCAGCAGCTCGAAACGCAAGGAGCTGATGTCCTGGCGCACCTCGATGATATCATCCTCGGTAATACCGTAATCGTCCCGCCGCCTCTGCTCCGCCGTAATGTACCGCCTGACCAGCAGCTTCATCACTTTGTCATGCAGGGTCTGTGCCCGCTCCATGGACTTGCGCTATAAGTTCGAATAGGAAATAAGGAGTGTGGAGCGTGAAAGGGGGTTGAAGGACACGGAAGAGGTTGAATTAGCAGTGCCGTTGACGCACACTAAGCTCTGCATGGGCTTGATTGAAAATGATTTTGCCAAAGATTTGTATTGATTGTCCCGCCTCTCACTGTGACTCTAGCAAAAAATTCTTGCAGGTTGAACAAAATTTAAAATCTGCATAATGTAGATTGGTGTTTTAGTTTTTAAATTTTTTGAAATAATAACTCAAGTTAAAATAATAATGTAAGAAAAGGTGACAATTTCTATTCAAAAAACATTTATTTTCTATGATTATTTTTCTTTCCTAGATAGTTTTGATTAAATTCATTGACCGTCTGCCCTTAATTTAAAGGCTATTAATGGCTAAGTGACAAGGTTACTAGTAACTTTTTTTTTAAGTGTGATTTAAAGGGTACATGCTTACCATAAAGCTCTTGGTTCGCGATGGCCGCTTTCGCCCCAGAGTTTTTCGCAACATCTTCATGTTGGGACAGAGGTTGAATGGCGGTGGAATGGTGCCACCGTCCTCGAAGTAGCTCATCCAAAGCTGGGAGCGGGCGAACTTCCACTCGGTATCTGCCCGTTCCGAGATAATTTGGTACGAGTTGGACATCATGGCAATGAGCATGTTGAGGAGCACAATGATATTGATCACCGAATAGGAGCCGAACATCAGGAGGGCCCAGAATCGGGTGAAACTCTTGATTCCGGCCAGATCGAATGAGACCAGATCCACCAGGCCAAAGGAAGCCCAGAAAAGGGATTGCGATGTCTCAAATAAGCTGAAAAAATCGCATAGGAATTACTAAATATTTTTAACCCTTTGCATCCAAAACTATTAATACAAAACAGGACAACCTACTTGGAAAATCTTCGCCAAATGGTACAAGCCTTCTCCTGGTCATCAAAATCAGCCACATCCGGATGCAGATGATAGCACTTGTTCTTCTCCAGTTCAGCATAGTACCACAGCAATTGATTTAGACCACAGCCAAAGGCGAACAACACAAGTGTGTAGATAAAGAAGAACTTTATAATGTCGATTATCATGCGCCCCAGTGAAACTTGCAGCGGTCCCAAATGGGGATTGATCGAAAAGATGTGGACAAGTTTCAGATACGAGAAGACCATTCCGGCAGCAAAGGCACCCTCCGATAAAAGCATGGGATCAAAGGGATGCCAGTGCTCACGTGGGAAGTAGGGATCTATGCCACGGAACCAAAGATCGCGCTAATACAAATGTAAAATCTTAATGAGATATATGAAAGTTATTAATAGGAAAAACTCACATGAACTATTACCCAAGCGGTGGCTCTACAAAGAATCCACGTCACGTAGAACATATTGGATATGTAGTCGACTATGTTCCACAGATCCATGATATACTCAAACAAGCCATCCGAATACAGGCACTTAAGTTCCTCAAATATCAGAGCCATAATGTAGGTTATGATGGCCAGTTCAATGGGACCTGGTAGGGAGCCTCGTTCGTGTTTGCGCCAATCCTCCAGCATGGTCAGCATCCAGGGAAAAGCGAGGAGTTCGAAGGTGATTTGCACCACCCTCAAAGAGGCGGCACCCAAAAGCACTGTGGATGGGGGATAAATATATAGACGGAGGAGTGCAAAGGCCCCACTTTACCCACTCAAAAAGAACATGTAGGAGCAGGAGTGTGTGATGAACTTGACAAAGGGCTTGCGCATGAACTTGGCTCCCTCGGAGTCCGGAGCCAGGATGTACTTCAAGCTGTAGATGGGAAAGCTGCAGCCCAGCTTCACCACATCCAACAGCTGCTGGGAGGCCTGTTTGCGCCGGAATCCAGGCAGTCCATCATACCAAATGGCGGCCAATAACTGCTGGACATTCGGATGCGCCACAAACTATCAGGGAAATTCAAAAAATATTAAATTAAGTTTGAGGAATTTCTTTTAAATACGATAGATTCAACAATACCGACTTTAGGCCCTTGACCAGAGATTGAAAAACAAACAAATGTTCACAAATAAATTAAGAATAAAATCGTTTAGAGGTTGACCATTTAAAAATGGGAGTTCAATAATTCATGTTGTTTTTAGAACGGTGGGTCTTAATTTTACTTAAAAATAAATTTTTTTATTATTATTATTTTTTAATTTGGTTAAAGGAAACCCACAGCCAAAAGACTGACTGTTAAGTGCAGCTAATTACCTTTAAGTATAAATCTAGTTGAATTTGAAAAACAAATATCTCAATTTGCCATTTTTTTTTTTTGCAAGGGGTTACATTATAATTTTTTTTAAATTCGATGGAAATTGCATGGCGGTTCCAACGAGAGAAGTTAGTACAAATTTTGAGCATTATTTTACGGAGTTTTGATACAAGGCTATATTTTAGAATATTAAATTTAAGACGAACCCACCGTCTTTTGCTTATATCGTATGGCCAGCTTCAATCGCTCTAGGGTCTGCCGCTGGCCGAGGCACCAGATGTCGTGGGACGGCTCGTGGTTGTAGTTGAGCATCACCTCCAGCTCCATGGATGTGCGTGCGTGGTCCAGGAGCGAGGTGCCGAAGTCCTGCACATTCTGACGCATCTCCTGTTGGGCAAACACAAACACAAAAAGGCTCGCATTCGCATTGGCACTAGCCCCACCGCTTACATTGTCTACCGTACCGTGTATTCGGCACGAAACTCCGATTCCATCGCCTGCAGCCGCTTGAGTTCCCAGGACAGTTGGAAGGCGGTCAGTACAGGGTCCCTGGAACTGAGCGCAATCAGCGAACTGGCCGACAGCGCCCGGTACGCGTTGATCCTCGACTGCGAGTGGCGCAGGGAGTCCGACGTCTGCGAGGTCACACACTCATCGCAGCCGCACCTGCGAGAAAATCAAAATTAGGTTAAAAATTTAGCATCTGATGGATTCGAGAAAGCTGGCCAAACTACACTTAGAAATCCATATTCCTTGTGATTAGGAAATAATTGTGTTCCTAAATTTATATGGTAGGCTCAATTTTAATGCCATGTTTAATCGATTTTTCCTTAAATTAAGGAGTTTAAGTGTAGCTAGTTTTATCATAGTCAGATTGTTAAAGGAATATTTAAGCCAGCCATGAGCTCAAGGAGTTTTGTCTAAAGTTTAAACCAAACCATAACAAATAGACGAATTACTTTTAAAATCGAATTTAATTACACAGTGGAGTATCTGAAAAATACATAGATGGCAAACCTTAGGTCCCAGCTAAAGGATATTAAACTCGGAAGAGGAAAAAGCATGCGAAATACCAGAAACCCTGGCATAACATTCCTTTCCCAAAAACACCCTTACACCCTGTATGAATATGGCACAATAATTTGCACGTCGTTAGACAAAATTATGAGTGCAAAACGAGGTGCAACATACTATAAGTGATTTAGCAAACAATGGAACGTGCCGCTCAAAGGACGAAGGGGCTCACCCATCACTTCATCACCTTATCACTACAGCACTACTTACTTGACGTCGTGCGGCATGGGCAGCGTGGCACCGCGATCCAGGAGTATTTTGAGTATCTCATAGTTATTGCGGTGGGCGGCCAGGATAAGGGGCGTGATGTCCACGGTGAAGGTGGACTTGGAGCGGTCCACCGCCTCCCAGCTCTGCCAAAGGATCAGAAATGAGCAAACGCGAAAAGGGTGTGATATAGAATACGGCCTACATAGGGCTGTCCCTCCTTGTGGTTGGTCTCCTCCCACTGCAGCAGCTCCTCCACGGCCTCGACATACTCCTCGGAAATGGCATGGAGCAGGGCGTCGCCCACCTCGATGTTGTTCTCCAGCAGCAGGACCATCAGGTCGAAGTTCTCGTTCTCGATGGCCGAGATCAGGGCTGAGCGGTTCATGGGATCCGTACAGTTGATGTTGAACTTGTCCGTGCCCATATATTCCTCGAGAAGCCTTCAAGGACCAAGGAAATCACGGAAATTACTCGAAATCAGATCGAAAGGACCTTCACTCTCACTTCTTGACACCCGGTAGGTCGCCCCGCTCGCAGGCCAATATAAAATTCTTCTCCACATCACTGAGTACGTACTCCTCGGCCATCATCAGATCGTAGTCCAGGCGCGAGCCCAATGCCTTTTCGGCATCCGACTCCGTGTTGCTACCCATTTCGCCCAATTTTTGGTGTCAGGACACTCCAATTAATTCACATTTCACACTCGACTTCGAACCAGTTGCACTTTTGGGCTCCTTTAAGGAGCAAACCTTTGCCGTAATCCTTTCGCGCACTGTATCCTTTTAGTGTTCCATCGCTGCGATGTTTAGTCTCCAATTAGCCGCGTTGCACTGCCCAGAAGTGGCAGCCACTAGTCGCTATATTCCACTAATTACATTAGTGCCTGGCTAAAACTCGGTCAATGTGTTGTCGGTTCGCGAGTCAATGGGCCCATTTGACCACACTTGGTAGTTGTGGGGCTGCATTCCCGGGAGGCAGCAACCGATTTCAGCGATTTTAGTATACCATTACCATACCATACCATACCCAATCTATTGCCCATTTCCACCTGCACGGCACGTGATGAGTGTGCAGCGCATTATTTTCGATTTTCGAAGCCCTAGCAACGACATCTAACCGCTTTGATGCCTAAAAATCTATAGGGTGCAGTGGGTTTTGGAAAATGTGTAAAAAGCATTATGGTTATTTATAGGCAGAAAACAACAAATGGGCAAAAATAATGACTGAGTTAACTAAAATCCTTTTGGATGTGGTGGGATGACATTGATTGGATTTGATTCTTCATGGCTGTAATAGGATTTCTAAATGGAATAAAATATAAAATTGCATATGGTAGTTATGGTTACATAAGCCAGGGCCTTAAGTAAATTTAATTTTTGTAAATTACATTTTTGGCTGGTGTTTTCAGTTATAGTTTGGTGGGATGAGACTTATAAGTACTGGTTATTTAATATGTTTAAATTGATACCAGACTTGATTTTGCAACTTGGTTGACATGTCTTAAGAAAATATTTAAATAAATTGTACCGTTTAAATATAAATTTAGTCACAAAACCATTAAAGGGCTTATCATAGTTTTGACTAGCTTAAATCTTTCTCACCTTGACTGCCATTTGTGGCTCAAAAGCTATTTTAAATCGGACATTGTCGCGCTAACAACCGGTAAAAACAGCGAAAAGGCAAGCTTTAAAGCTCTTGCTTTACCAAGAGACCAAAGAAAACCCACCACACTTGTACTTTACAGTCAGAATTTACAGAAATGAATACGTTTTGAAAACCATTCCCCACTGGGTCAATGATTCTCACTTCGTGATTGATTAATATTGATTAATCCGAGCCGGGGACATCTGAGAACTCCCTGAGATTCGAACTCGTCCTTGGCATCTGGCAATCTTGAACCTTGAATGTTGAGCATTGAATGTTGAATGTTGCCTACTTCAGGGCGCTTGCAGGGCTGTTTGTATGTCAATGCACTTGGATTTAAATGCCAGCTCCTGGGCAAAGCATAAAAAAAATGCAAAAAGAAAAAAAAAAAAGCAAAGGAACAAACCCACTTCCAAGGAACGCCCTTTGAGATGTGTGTTCGAAAGGTGGGGTTCAATGGGGCTCCGGCCGGAATGGCATCGTACGTACGTGTTCAAGTTGTACGGCTTTTTCAGCGGGGGCAATGCACTCCGCCCGCAATTCTCCAAAGGGAAAGGTAATGGGGAGCCAGGAATTTCGAAATTAAAGCCACAGCTGCAAATTAATTACTGAGCATAGCTGGCAGTACGTGAGCTGATATAATAGCTTTCAGCAATATTTATTTGCTGTCATTATAAAATTATGAAATACCCAACTAAGGTCATTATCACAAGTGATTATTTTCAGTGCACAACACTGCTGCACTCAATGATACATTGGCCTCCCACACAACTCCTGCCTTATTTAGCTCTACAAGAGCCCTTGTGAGTTATGTGCACAATTTTCTGCGGCACGAGAAAAAGGGAAAGAGCTCATTTGACTGGCTTTCTGTAGCAGGTTGCACTTTCACTGTCTCCGCAACGGAAACGTCAAGATCTGTATTTTATAGGAACCTTAAGCAAACATTCTTTCTATGAACAAAAATATAGTTCAAACTCATAAAAAGTCTTGAGACTTAATACTGATTTGCTTTATGGTAGCAGATAAGATAGTTCTGTGGCTTCAGCCAAAAAGTTGAGTAAATAAAATGTGTTTACTAAGATAGTGATTTTATGAATTGAATTCGGTCAATAGTATTTGAAATTAAATTTATTATATTGTCAACTAATTTGGCAAATCATTGAAAAAACTGATAACGTGACGCTAAATTTGCGTTGTTTAATTTTGGTTTACACTTGAGAGAAACACCTGGTGTAACTGAATGTATAAGTGTTAATCTATATACTAGGTAAATTATGATTACTACCGCTCTTTTAGCGAGATAACACCATTGTCGTTTGTATAAAAAGGCGTCGTGTTTTAAGTAGAAGCATAAGTTGAAAGACTTGGTCAAGATGAAACTGTTCGTATTCCTGGCCTTGGCCGTGGCCGCAGCTACGGCTGTCCCGGCTCCCTCGCAGAAGCTGACCCCGGTGCCCATGAAGGACATCCAGGGTCGCATCACCAACGGCTACCCGGCCTACGAGGGCAAGGTGCCCTACATCGTGGGTCTGCTCTTCAGCGGCAACGGAGGCAACTGGTGGTGCGGTGGCTCGATCATCGGCAACACCTGGGTGCTGACCGCCGCCCACTGCACCAACGGAGCCAGCGGAGTGACCATCAACTACGGAGCCAGCATCCGCACCCAGCCCCAGTACTCCCACTGGGTGGGCAGCGGCAACATCGTGCAGCACCACCACTACAACAGCGGCAACCTGCACAACGACATCTCCCTGATCCGCACCCCGCACGTCGACTTCTGGCACCTGGTCAACAAGGTGGAGCTGCCCAGCTACAACGACCGCTACCAGGACTACGCCGGCTGGTGGGCCGTGGCCTCCGGCTGGGGCGGCACCTACGACGGCAGCCCACTCCCCGACTGGCTACAGGCCGTCGACGTCCAGATCTTGTCCCAGGGTGACTGCAGCCGCACCTGGTCCCTCCACGACAACATGATCTGCATCAACACCGCCGGCGGCAAGTCCACCTGCGGAGGCGACTCCGGTGGCCCCCTGGTCACGCACGAGGGCAACCGCCTGGTCGGAGTGACCTCCTTCGGCTCCGCCGCCGGCTGCCAGTCCGGAGCTCCCGCCGTCTTCAGCCGAGTGACTGGATACCTGGACTGGATCCGCGACAACACCGGCATCTCCTACTAAGCACTTACCCAGTTTTAATGGGGTCTCTACAATAAATGATTAAAGCATAACAATACATTCGAGTTTTCAATTGGGACTTCTGTGGTCAACCATAGATTGTCTTTTTAAATTCCACTTTCTAATGACAAGGAACATCATTGCTTTAAGAGCAAAGGAAATAAATGTTTACAAAATGTATTCGAAGCCGTTTTATAACAAAAAGTGTGTTTAATCCCTTTAAAAAAAAAATTACTCTGTGCATTTATGTTTTCTGAAAATACTTATTGGGACTAGTTAAAATTCTATTGGTTTCTTAAAATATTCTTGGTTCAAATCTAGAGAGATGGGAGTATACAGACACGGATAATAATCAGGACATATTTTGCATGTAATTTGCATACAATTTTCAAATGATTGGGTGATCCTTTTTTATTTTGTGCAATTTTTATGGGGAAGGGTGAGATAAGGGTGGACCAGATATGTGTTGCAAGTAATATGCATCGGATAATTTGATTAGATTTTTATACAACGTGTGCTGCATTGGTGGGTTGTTGTCTAATTTGATTTGATTTGATTTCAGCCAGTGTTTTGTGCCCGGTATGCGTTGCTCAAATTCAAGCGAATGCAATTTTATTTCGTGAATGAATTTTATTTTTGTTATCGCTTCGACCATTTCCAATTACAATTTTTTCCCCATTTTTAATTTTTCGCTGTTGATTTGCAAATGCCTGTGGCCATCACATAGTCATCAATTGCCACAGGTGCCACTCAGTCCAGGACTCAAAATTAAAATATTGTTATGCTTTAATCGTTTATTGTAGAGACCCCTATAAAACTGGGTAAGTGCTTAGTAGGAGATGCCGGTGTTGTCGCGGATCCAGTCCAGGTATCCAGTCACTCGGCTGAAGACGGCGGGAGCTCCGGACTGGCAGCCGGCGGCGGAGCCGAAGGAGGTCACTCCGACCAGGCGGTTGCCCTCGTGCGTGACCAGGGGGCCCCCGGAGTCGCCTCCGCAGGTGGACTTGCCGCCGGCGGTGTTGATGCAGATCATGTTGTCGTGGAGGGACCAGGTGCGGCTGCAGTCACCCTGGGACAAGATCTGGACGTCGACGGCCTGTAGCCAGTCGGGGAGTGGGCTGCCGTCGTAGGTGCCGCCCCAGCCGGAGGCCACGGCCCACCAGCCGGCGTAGTCCTGGTAGCGGTCGTTGTAGCTGGGCAGCTCCACCTTGTTGACCAGGTGCCAGAAGTCGACGTGCGGGGTGCGGATCAGGGAGATGTCGTTGTGCAGGTTGCCGCTGTTGTAGTGGTGGTGCTGCACGATGTTGCCGCTGCCCACCCAGTGGGAGTACTGGGGCTGGGTTCGGATGCTGGCTCCGTAGTTGATGGTCACTCCGCTGGCTCCGTTGGTGCAGTGGGCGGCGGTCAGCACCCAGGTGTTGCCGATGATCGAGCCACCGCACCACCAGTTGCCTCCGTTGCCGCTGAAGAGCAGACCCACGATGTAGGGCACCTTGCCCTCGTAGGCCGGGTAGCCGTTGGTGATGCGACCCTGGATGTCCTTCATGGGCACCGGGGTCAGCTTCTGCGAGGGAGCCGGGACAGCCGTAGCTGCGGCCACGGCCAAGGCCAGGAACACGAACAGTTTCATCTCGACCAAGTCTTTCAACTTATGGCTTTTTCTAAAACGCGACGTCTTTTTATACAAAAGGTAAGGGTGTTATCTTGCTACAAGAGCGCTTCTAATCATATGTAAAACTCGGGGGCAGTAAATTGTGAGCCAGTTATCATCGCGACCAGTCTATCCGGCTGATAAGACCGCCAGAAGTGGCTTCCTTGCTGAAATATGGCCCACTTTTGAAGTGGATTGACGTGTGCCTAATTTGCAATTTTTTTAGGTGTCAATTATATTTCAAGATACCTACATTTAATAATAAAGGAACTTAAGAACTGGAGGTTCAGAATCCATCTTTTATTTTTATGACTTTATTTGCTTTTAATTTTCCTTGTCAAGTAAGAAATGCTTGTGATTTTATGTTTTCTCAGGAATCTAATCAGAATAAAATATTTGAATATATTATAATTTTAAAAACCAAATTGATATATATAATATATATACAAGTATTAATATATTTTTTTGAACGAACTTGATACTCTGTTTAACTTTAGAATTTCTTAGCATGAGGAAAAACAAAGAAAATTAAAATTTATGAAAGGAATTATTGTTGTATTACAGTGATAGAGTTTCCCCAAAGCTAAGCATGGTTCTTAGTCTCATGAGCTAGATCCTGCAAAACTCCTCACTAATTTTGTTTTAGTTTTTTCCTCTTGCCATAGAAAAATAAACAAAAAGCCAGCATATAAAAGCGATTAAAGGCTTTATTTCGAACTCTCGCAATGTAATTGTCAAATTAATAACTGAACTTTTGTGGGTTTTTCTTTACAAAGCATTTAATAATAAATTCCAGTCTCCTCCTTGATCCATTCCAAGTACTTGGTGACTCGAGTGAAGCCAGCGGGACCTCCAACCTGGCATCCGTAGTCGGAGACGAAGGACGTGATTCCGACCAGCTTATCGCCCTCCTTTGTGACCAGAGGACCGCCGGAGTCTCCCTGACAGGTGGCCTTTCCGTCCGGAGTCTCCACGCAGATGGTGTTCTCGGAGGCGGTTTCGGTTCCGTAGTAGGCCTGGCACTCCGCCACGGAGATCACCTTCAAATCCACCACCCGGAGCTCCTCCACGACATTGCTGCCATCGTAAATGGCGCCCCATCCGGAGGCCTGAACCCAGCTGTTCTCGTAGGAGTTGTAACGCTCATCCAGACTGGGCAGTTCGATTTTGTTGACCAGACTGTAGAAGTCCACGTGGGGTGTCCTGATCAGAGCCAAGTCATGGTCGAGTCCCACATATCCAGGGTACATGATTAAGTTCTCACTGCTGACAGTGTGCCGGAAGGCGGGCTCATTGTAGTTGATGGCTCCGTAGTACAGTGAGGCTTCGTCGGCACTGTTGGTATTCAGGATTGTAATTTCAAATTAATAACATATATATTTATTTTCTTTCAAAACCTACCCTGCGACACAGTGGGCGGCAGTGAGCACCCATGTATTGCCTATAATAGAGCCCCCGCACCACCACCAGTTTCCGTTGCTATTCAAGCTGACTCCCACGATGTAGGGAACCTGTCCCTCGGCGGCCACGTTTCCGTTCGTGATGCGACCCTCGATGCTGCGATGCTCGACCTTGAGATCTCGGGGGTGGACAGCAGTGTGGGGTACAGTGAATCCAGCGCAGACCCCCAAAAGGGAAGTCAATAACAGTACGAATGCCTTCATTTTGGTTTACTAAAAAGCCTCCATGGTGGTCATAGTTTTATATAGCTTCTTTATCGATGCAAATATAAAGTGTTAAATCTTATCAAGCATGAGTTACTGCCACATGCCAATGTATCAATAAATTAAATTAATTTATATTAGCAATACTTTGACTAAATGACTGATGGAATGAACTCAAGGCAAGATGTACTTAAAAGCCAAGTAAACAAAGGGGTTGATTTAAATAAAAAATACTATGGGTATGACAGACATATATTTTAACCATTTAGTTTTGTTTTTATTATAATATGTGTCACAGCTATTCAAATAAATTGCAAACGACAATGACAACTATACAAACTTGGCTGAAAGGGGACAACTTCAAAGCCACTTAAGCCCTCCGCCATAGAAATTGTCATCGAGGGTCATGTGATATCCTTGAAGTAAGACAGGAAATAGGGAAACTGAAAAGAAAATACGATTATGGCAATTAAAAGGGGAAGTCCACTTTCGGTTAAGTTCCGGAGCAGTTTTCTTTAAAGTGAGGCGACTGTGTGAAATCCAATATAAGTTCTGAGGAAAGCCACAAGCGGAGTGGGTGGATGTGGACCTGTCCGCTCATTATAAATCCATTGGGAATGTTTATGCTTGCATTCTCCGTGCTTCTACTTGACCGTCGTACATCCACAAATGTGCAACATCTCCGGGCAGGAAACTCACCACAGTTCGGAGAGCTATTAAAGGCGACCCCCCAACGAAGCATGAGTCAGTTCCCGACTCGGCGTTTAACCATAAGGACCCCTTCGCAAGGATAACGCGACAGGACGCCACGAACACACGGACAACCAATAATTTAATTATAAGTAAGCGCGGGCTATTTGGATAAAACATTCGCTCGTACAAATTGTTTCCTACTGATAGTGCAAAACAAAAAGTGCAGGCAGTAATTAATTAAGTGCATGTGCACAATATCCTGAAAGTACAAAAGCGGATACATTTTACCTTTAGACGACTAAGTGAGTGAGTGAATGTTCGCAAAAGCGTTTTAAAGTATTTTGTTGGCTTTACGTGTTCGATGCCCATAACAACTGGGTGCTTGATTACCTTTAAGGTGGGGCGATTAAGTCACGCTCTTGGCAAATCATCGACATCATCATGCGAATTTTATTCTTCGGGAGCAATGACTTGGCGGCTTGATTGCGGAAGCATTCATTTATTACAAAATGGAACAATAAAGTCTTTCGATTATTTTTTTTTAATTGTTAATAGAATCATACTATAATTTATATATTTTTAGGCCAAAATAAAACACTTCAGAACAGTATATTACAGTTTTAAAAATTGTATACGACTGTTTGAAGGGAATTTGCCTTTAATAAAATTACAAAAATCACACTTTATTAATTTTCTTGCAAAATTGGAGTACAAATAAAAAAAAATAGTTGCTTTCTGTTTTTGATATAGTACATAACTTTTTTTCCATACAATTTTATTAAGGTTTAAATAAAATAAATAAGTTTAAAAAGACTCTTTTGTCGGCTAGTTTTCGGTAAGAACATAAAATTTGATTTTGGATATTCTTATAAATTTTTACTGTCGGTTACTAACAGCAATGCCATAATTTCAGCCCCATCATACCACCAAAAGTACAATAGAAAAACATGAAAATGTTCCAGCCCAGCATTAAAAGAGATATCCAATTGTCTAGAAGTGATTAGGCGAAATAGCGTGACCCCAAGCAATTATCCCCAAAAGGATCGACAGGATGCACCAGGTACTTAGCTACGAGACGGCAGTGCGGGCTAACAGCTCCCGCGAGTTCCGTGAATACGTCTCAAAACGCACTTGTGCTTCCCTGGTCCTAACGATTGCCTTCTTCATGCTGATAACGGGTGAGCATCCTCAAGCAGGCAGCAAATCAAAGGACATTCACTAACGAGTCCCACTTGTGCGTCCCAATTTGGCAGGATACTTGCTGGGCAATTTCGTGTCCGAGCGCAAGTACCACATACGTCAGATGACAAAGGGCGTAGTTAAGGGTGCGGAGGACGACAGATCCGTGAGGCTGAACAGCGCGGAGTATGCCAGCCTGCAGGAGCTGCAAACATATCAGAAGGCCAAGGGACAGCTGCTGAAGTCCGCCCAGGTGCTCGACAAGCTTCAGCAGCAGGACGAGAGCGAACGGTACCTGGCCACCTCGCTGAACACGGAGATCTTCAACAAGTACATATCCTGCACCCAGGACATACCGCCCAACACGAACATAGCGGCCAGCCAGTTCACCGAGCAGCTAATCGACAATACGGCGGCCAGGCAGCGCCACTGCATGCGGATCATTCAGGTGGTCATCGACAACCACCTGGCCAACAGCCAGCTCTAAGCTGCAGACCCGGACTTCTGGGACCAGTTTACGAAATTCATTACTTATGTATGTGCTTTTAGGTGTGCTCAATGTGTGTGTGTTCCCAGCTAATTAGAAATAAACTTTTTTATACATGTCTGCATTTAAATCAAAAGTTGTAAATATATGTTGAATACAGGAAATCAATTTCTGGTACAACCCTAGTTATATTTTACTAAAAAAAAAAATGATTTCAAATTTAATATTTCAGGTTTTATTTACTGTCATCAGCCGATAATTGTAGTTTAATGGCGATATACTTATGGTATCATATAAATATGTTTAAAACAAATATTAATAATTTTTTCAATCGTTCAGTTGTGCAGAATGCATTTAAAAGTTATAAATGTAAGTTGAAAACAGAAAATCCTTTCTAGGGAGTACATATACCCTAATTGTGTTATTCAAAAAAACAAAATTTCAAATTTACTAGTTTAGACAAAATATTTAAATTAATGGTGTGGTATATTTAATGACTGTAATTTAATTTGTTGAGTTATATGGACGATACTTTGAATTTGCACCTTTAATGGGTAGGAAATGTCCAGCACTGTTGAAAACCCACTCTTCCAGCGAAATAACATCATCATCGGAGAATAGCAGAAATAAATATTTAAGAGTAGCGCCCAAGAAGAAGGTCCTTTGCACATCATCCGGTTCCACCGATCGGTTATTAACATCCATAATACCAGTAAATCCATTCGGTGTGCGGCAGTATTGCTCTACAGCCATCACGACCTCTCGGCCCCAAATGCGATACTTGGGATCATGGGTTAGTCGCCAGAGCACCAAGTAGCTCTCGACCACTTCCGGCCGTAGCATATAGAAGTTCCTCTGAAGGGGCTCTATTTCGTTCTGGGCTTCTTCCGTGAAGGCAAAGGCTTCCGGACCCAAACGGGTAGTTGATTCCCAAAACCTATCGTGGCACGTATCCACTATGCCAACTCCCATCTCGGCATACTTCTCCCAGTGCTTCATTAGTGTTTGTGCTGCTCCCAGGACAAATAGGGCACCAGCAAAACAATCTGACTGTTTCATCCGATGGGTCAAAATACCATTTCTCATATCCGACACATAAGTTATGTCCTCGGGACTTATGACAACCAAATTTTGCGCTACAGCCAGCAGAGCATCTTTGAATAAATCTGCACTCTGATGATCAGCTTTACCCGATTGCATATATGACTTTAGCAGGCAATCATAAAATCGGTTCATTGAGCAGTTGTGGTTTTCCCATTTTCCATATTTTGTGCAAAAGGCATTGGGATAGAGGCCATTGGGTTTGTCAACAGTGGCCAACATCTGCCGAACTCCCTCCACCCGATCCTTGTAAACTGAAGAGCCAGTGATTTCGCTGAGGTAGAAGAACTCCAAGTGGAGAGCTCCGAATTCCGAAACACGAGACACGTCATCGAGATACCTAGTGAGGGTGCTGCCCTCCTTTGGAACAACGAGTCTTCTGGGAATTCCAGTGGCAGTGTCGAAGGCAGGTAGGATCTTATCTGCAATATGGACAGCCTTGTCCTTGTAAAGGAGATCACCAGTGAGGGAGTAGAGTGTTAGCATGGGTGCCAGCAGTCTGGACGTTAGTTCAAAAACGGACAACGCTTCGTCGACACGATCCAAACTGAATGACTTTTCGATCCAATCCCGTGACCGCTTTACTTCTTTCATCAGGCCCATTACATGCAGCGTGTCCAAGCTTTCCACTATAGTAGCACCGAGTTTATACGTTCCGAAATCACTGCCCACATGGACCCTACGCGAAATCGGACGGAATTCGTTAGTGCCCCACACGACGCGGGCGTAATTTCGCCAGGCGTGCAGCATCATCTCCTTGATCTTAAGTCGCATCTTGGCAGGATTTCCATCATCTGGATCTTCAGCTTTTATGAATATATCTTTTACCGCTTTATTTTCCTGAGACTGCCTTAATAATGCACTGCACTGAATTAAGGTGAAAAGTATTACGCCGATTGTAAAAATCCCGGTAGCAACAATACGGATTCTTGATGTCGTGTTTGCCGTATACCATTTATAATGCGCTCGTCTAATAGCGAAATAAAAGAAATACATTTTGAAACTAAGTTAGACTGTGTTGCGTTTTGAGTAAAGTGAGATCGACATTTGAGAAACTAATTAAGCTGACCCGAACTACTGGACTTTTCTTCTGGACACTTGTTTAAACATTTGAGTTCCCTTTTGTTCCACCCTGCACTTTAAGCTACAGTACTCTACAGACTGCATTTGTACCTCTAGGAAACAAAATTACTATATTATTTAAACAATATTGTCAGTTTTTAAGACAAGAAACACTTTTAAGCTGGTTTATATAAATACTTTTTAAATATTTTAGCTCGAATATTAACAAGATCTGTTAAACATCTACTGTGTAGATATAATATTGCGCATTTGCCGAATGGCCGTCACCAGACGCGGCTCGCATCCACTGCTGAGGGTCAGGTACTGATCTGGAGCAGCCTTCAGTAGCGTGAGGATTTGCGACAGCTGCAGGTTGATGGACAAGCCGAGTTCCTCGAGAACGTTGGAGAGGTACTCAATATCTACACCAAGCTGAGTGGCCGAAGCGGCGGGTAGCGACTTAATTTGTAGAATCTGCGCCTGGTACAAAACGCAGCACTGCTCCACGACGAGAGACAAGAGGACGTCGGCACAGGGAATGGCTTGCGTATACTTAATGTTGCACACCTCCAGGGCCTGCTTCAGCAAAGTGGAAGGCGACAGCAGCAAAGGTTCCAGGTGCTGGGGCAAGGTGAGCAGGTACTGACCAATCTGTGTGATGCTCTCCTGCGGAGCAAAGCTGAACGAGGGCATGTCAATACCCGACGCGGCGTGATCCTGCACAGGCGGACGAATGTGTGCCAAGTGCGTCTCAATGGGTTGCAGTAATATATTAAGAGTTATGTCATGTGTATCGGCGAAGTGACCCTTTAACGTGGCATAAATCTGCGGAAAGATACCAAGGCTATCGGTGGCTTCCGACTTCTTTTGCTGATAGTCAGCTATGCTGTTCAACAGCTGGGTGCGTGCTGCATGATCGCAGGTCTGAAATATGGTTATGGGCCCACGGTTGGATGGCTTAGTCAGCTTGTTGGACAAGATGACCATGCGTGTGTGCAAATCCTGTTCGAATTGGTGCAGCTGAACTTGAAAGTCGGCCAGGCATTGTAACTGCGACATGGTGTACTGCAACAGAGACCAGTTTTCACTCTGAGCCGCATAGCTGCTGGATCCCAGACTGAGTCCAATCTGTCGCTGGATGCGTCCAAAGTTCTCCAGCTGCCGCTTGAAGATGCCGTTCAGTAGAGTAATAAGTTTGCACAGAGCTAGATCACTGGTTATAGAGGCACAACGTTCGCAGGCCTCTTTCAACCACTCGTAAAGTTTTCGGGTACTCTCCTCCAGATGACGAACACCATCGCTGGGAGTAGCCTGGTTGGAAGTCAGACGATCAACCTATTGGGTATTATAATTAATTAGCAAGTTTAACAATAAGATAAACGATGGCTTACCTGCGTTGATAGTTGGGTCTCCTCCAATCGCGGATATTGTTGAATAAACTTATGGAAATACTCGAAAATAGCCTCGCCCAGGATGCGATGCAACTCCTCGGACAATGTAATGTGGGACTGCTCCAGCAAAGAGTTCAAATGCAGCACGAAACTGTGGTTAACCTGGGCGAACAAGGCCAGCATCTCCAATCGTTCATTGGAAGTCTTTAAAAGCTGCAGGATATGGGCATCCCGGGTGGGTTGCAGAGCCGGCAGAAGTTCGGCAATCACCAAAAATGGCTGCGAAGAGTCCTCTCCGAAGAGATTGAAGCACCACTTGACCTGGCGTTGGCAGTGCTCCAGCAGCTGATCGTAGTAAAGAGTGAGAAACTGCTGCTGTTGCGGCTGGGATTCCGTGCCCTGCAACTCCAAAGTTTGCTTCCACTGCTGCTGCCAGAAGTTTTTTTGGACAGCTCGATAATATTGCTGCAATTGTGGCAGCCGCTGAATGCTGGTGAAGATCTGGACATAGTACTGGGCTTGCTCGGAGTTGCCCTCGGCAAAGCACTGGACCACACTGGGCGAGGCCAGAGCCTCCAGGCGATTCTTGAAGTCCTCCACTTGGGTCTGGCGTTCTGCATGTCCTGGCAGTTGTTCCTGGGCGTGCAGAGATTTTTGAAGGGCGATCAACTTTTCGCAAACTCCCTGGAAAGTAATTATGAACTTAAGGATTCTGTTTGTATGTTTTGGTACTTCACACCTTAAGATCATTGCGCTCGAAACCATCCTCCAGTTCGGCCAGGAGGTTTCCCCAGCCATCCGACTCCTGCAGCGACTCCTTGGCCACCTGAAGCTTCTGGCTTTTGGTGTTCAGCCGCTCCAAGGTGGCCATGCACTCGCCGGTTTCACTTTGCACCGCTGCCACTTCCAAACGCATGGCACTCATCTTCTCCTGCAATCCGCGCACCTCCCCTTGCAGTGCAGCCGATTCCTTGGCGATCCTTGGCATGCTGGCCACCACTTGCCGGCTGGACTCCTCCACAGCATTGTTTACCTGGAAGTTGAGGATATTTGTATAGAAAACACCGCTGGTAAAAGATGACGCGCCCACGTACGTTGAATATGTACAGCTGCAGCTTGGCCACGTAGCTCCGGATGAAGGCCGAGGCGGCGTCGCTGTCATCCCGTCCATTCTCCTCCACAAACTTCTTGTAGTTGGCGTTTATCCACTCCGCAGGACTAAAATTGGGTCCCGAAAGAGCCGAAACATCCATGGTGACGTTGATTGTAGACAGTGTGACCGTTCCACGGAAGGAAAATATGCCGCAGTGTTTGAAGACTCAGATATAGTTCCGCAGCGAATGTGAAAATACGGATGCGGATACTTATAAACTCGCGGAGGAAATTGTGTTCTACTCTCAGAATTATTTTTTAGTGCGGATTTTTTAGTGTACCGTTTATGCATTTAAATTTTAAACAATGAAACAATACTAAATAAAACGGTAATTATACGTCGAAAAATTCATTATTATTCCAAAGGACCTGCGAAATAGATTAAACTTTTACGGATCTGTCTTGATATCGCTAACTAAGTAAAAATATATATATTGTATGCTAAATTTATATTAATATAACAAACGACCCCTGAAAGTTAATCATTGCGGATGTGGTGCGGATATCTCACTCTGACACTAAGCGATGCGCTATGGTATTTTCAAAGCCAATCAAGGTGGGCACACTGAAAAAGAATATTTTCCGTAGCAGTTTTTGGAATTAATGTACGTTTATTTAGTTTGTAAAACATGTCACTTGGCAATGCCGATCCTTGGCACTTGAGTAACACAACAATTGAGCAAGGGAGCACGGATTCCGCGGAGAACAGCGATAGTTTTGAGGATAACTTCACGCCACCGCCCACAGGCAAAGAGGGCAACGCCGAAAAGGACGCAAAAATTAACGAAGGACATGAGCCGCTGCCGGATTCCAGCGACTATCTGAAGTTACTAGGTGGGACAAGGACTAGGAAACTGAAATCACCTATTAAATAACGTACATTTCAGAACGGAAGCTGGCCCGGGTGCAAAAGGGCAACAAACTGCTAGATAACCTGCGCGACAAGCGGGAGGATTGCATGCGGGGATTACTCTCCTCCGAGGGAGTGCCCATTTCCATATTCGAGCAGTTCCTCGAGCTAGACGCCCCCATCGAGAGTGGGCGACTCCACCGGCACCTGCTGCCCGTTCAGGCCGTGAACGTTGGTGAAACTGTGTGCATAGTAAACCACGACGCACTGCAGCAAACGGCGGAGGAAGAGGAGGATCAGCCACCGGCTGAACACTAACCAAATCACAATGGACTCCACGTTCGGCAAGGTCTTCATGTTCCTCACGGATCTCGCCTGGAAGAGTCGCCTCACTATTCCCGTCCTGGTCACCACTGTATTTCTCGTTATGGACATCCGCCTGCAGATCGAGATCAACATTCAGTCCGGGCAGTTTGTGAGTGTTGCTGTCATCCATGAAATTTGAACTTAAAAACCTTTTTCTGCCATATGTCTACAAATTTGTTAGCAATTTGTGTTATGTCTGTTGGTAGAATTCATTTTAAAAGGTTTTCAAATTAAATGTCTTATTAAATCGTTAGTCAAAGTTGGTGTGTCCTGATTATTGATAAATATTTTGTGAATTAAATAAAACATTATTTTTTGCAGAACGCCAGTGATCTGGAGGATGCGGAGGATGGCCTCAACGATCAGTTCGGTGGGCACGACCACGGAACTGACGACGAGAGCGGCAGTGATAGCTACACGGATGAGGAGTACAACAGCGAGTACACCAACGATGATGGCAACAACAGCGAAACGTCCCACTACAGCTTGGACATTTACGATCCTTGGGGGTCAGAAGACGAAGTCGACGCAAATTATTCGCGGGAGATGCAGTTCTAACCCACAATCTATAAATTTTAGCCGTAAGCGGGAGTAACTAGCTTTATTTTATGTACATATTCTCAGTAATATCGGAGCCCTATTTATCCATTTCATGCAGTCATAATTAAACAATCGTAGTTAAGTGCAATTTCTTTATTGTCCAATTACATGTAGAGTTTGATTAATTCGTCGCTCACGGCGGAGGGCGTTAATCTTCCCAGATCGGTGAAGAGCAGCGTTATGTAGGCAGGAGGCGTATAGTCGACCAGTGGGTGCACTTTGCTCACATCGTTCAGGTGTTTGCGGGAGTACTACAAGGAAATAGAAGCCCTTAACTTGTGTTAAATTTAATGTGTGTGGTAACCTACTTTATATTCATTTGGTAAATCCCGCTGATTAAGTGGATATAGACGACTGAACTTGAAGCTCTCAGCCAGGACGTAGAAAGGTTTTTTCATCTCACGGGCACACAAACCCATGGTGTAGGTGCCGATTCGGTTGATAATGCCGCCACTTTCCACCACAGCTTCAGCGCCCACCATCACAAAGTCCACAGACTCCATTACATAGCCAGTGGCGGAGTCCAGGATCAGAGTGCAGTCTATACCAGCGGCATGTAGGTCCTTAACCATCTCCTCTCTAGAAATATGTCATATTTATAATTGAAACTTGCTAAGAAAAATAACCAAAATATACCCAGAGTTTCCTGTGCCTCCCTGCGTCACGTAGACGTGAAAGGACTTCTTGTTCTGGGAGGCTGTTATTAAAGCCTTGAGGACAACTCGAGATCTGGAGTGTGTCAGTATGCGGCAGCCATCCGTGATGAACCTCTGGGCCTGCTGGGCAATAACCTTAAGTAGATATATAAAACAAAAGTTGATAAATTATGCAGGGACTTTGTTTTTTATGCCAACCTGCCGCGAGTTGAGCAGCTTGGTGAGAAAGATTTTGCCGCGATTCAACATAATCTTGCGGCACTCCTCCATGTCCTTGTCGTCCAGACTGAGGGTGATGAACCGGCAGAAGAGCTCTCCGGCGGAAACAATGGCTGCAATGGACAGATCCGTATTTCGCATGGCGGCCACCGCTTCCCTCATGGTTGTGTGCAGAATATGAATGGTGCCAACTGGTGGATGCAGAGGATAGGTTAAGCACAAATTACCCAATAGGAATTCCCAGCCCACATACACTGTTTCTTTTCCAGGATCATGAGCAGTGTCCTGATGGCCGCAATGCCTGAGGACAGATCCTTGTCCTCCTCCAGTAGTTGCAGAAAGTATTTGACCACATCTGAGAGTGAAATTTGATAATGAGCATATAGCAAAGGTTTTACTATATATTAAGCTCACCAAAATCCTGTCCATTTTCCGTAATTTGCGGCATTTTGATGAAATTGCTAAGAATCTGCTGCACGTTAGACGTCAACAAAATAAACAGCTGTTTTTGGTTACTTGAAGACCCAACTACACGTTGCGATTTTTATGTTGCAGCACCTTTGCACACTGACATTGCCGCTCGCCTTCCAACACTGCGTGCCGGGGCTGAAACGTAAACAATCAAAAATTTTATGCCGATATTTGTTTTGTTAAATATATTCGGCCCACAATCGTAACAAAATCCACAGCATGTAAATTCAAGTAAATCGCCGGCGACGCAGTAAATGAAGAGTTCCATTTGAGTCAGCAGACAGCAGAGCACGGGAATCGAGGCCAGAGCCTGCGGATCGCCACACCATGTTCAAACTGGAGTCCTACATCACTCCAATTCTTCTGAGCTACGTGGCCAAGTACGTGAAAAACTTTCGCGATGAGGATGCCCAGGTTTCGCTGTGGGAGGGCGAGGTCAGTTTCCAGAATCTGGACCTGCGCCTGGAGGTGCTCGAGGAGGAGCTCAATCTGCCGGTGGAACTGGTCTCTGGGCACATCCACGAGCTGAGCATCCAGGTGCCGTGGACAAAGCTCATGTCCGAGCCGGTGAAGATCGTCATAAACACCATTGAGTTCGTGGCCAAGTTGCCGGACAGCGAGAGCAAGCAGCGCCGGGCCTCCTTTCAGCGGGAGCAGCGCCGGAAATCCAAGCGGGAGTCGGTGGAGCAGCCGGATCAGCAGCCCAAGAGTCCCGCAGCGGGCAGCTCCTCTAGTGTGGTCAACAAGATCATAAACAACATCAGCCTGCAGTGCCACAACATCATCTTGAAGTACGTGGAGGACGACATTGTGGTCTCCATGAATGTGCAGACCCTGAACTTTAGTTCGGCCGGTGAGGACTGGAAGCCCACCATGGTGGACATTCATCCGGTGTCCGTGGTCATGCGCAAGCTGCTGCAGGTCTCCGATCTGACCATCTGCCTGGACAAGCGGAATACCGCCGGCCGGATTGAGGTGTGCCAGGAGCCGGTGCTCTATCGTTGCACCCTGGAGTGCCGAGTGCTCCGCAAATACAACGCCAATACGGTGAGCACCACGAGCACCACACGCATCGGAGTCTTTACCAAGGCTCTGGACATAAATGTGTCATCTCTGCAATTCCCCATGGTGATGCGATTGGTCAAAATGCTGCTCGAACTGAAGCCAACCGAACTGGAGGAGGATCCTCAGAATCCGGAAGACCAGGAGGCAGTGGCCGAGGGAAACGACGGAGAGCAGAGTGCGGAGCCCGCTGGTCAGAGCATGTTTTGGTGGGCCTGGAACCTGCTGCCCAGTTTCGACAATGAGGCGGCTTCTTCCTCCTGCGACGCTCCTACTGGCCACGCCTTCGATATGGGCATTTACGCCGAGGAGCTGAATTTCCAGTTTAAGAACTCGGAGTACTTCACCGATCAGAGCATGGGCGGCATCAAGCGAATACGGTATACGCCAATCCTGCGGATCAGTTTGGGCGGACTCTATTACGAACGGACTCAGTTGAAGGAGTGCGACTGGGCCAATGTCAAGGCCGGCCTCTCCAGCATTTGCATGGAACCGTTGGGCGTTTACCGAAGCGAGGATCCCGTTGACCGTAACCTGATCCATACCCAGGAAGTAAGTATAACTTGGATTTATCGGCGCTTAGTACTTATCCGAATTTCCACAGTTTTCAGATGAGCGCTCATTCATCGACAAGAGTCTGTTCGACGAGAACTACATGTTCGCCGATCGCTCCTGGTGCAGCTACAACTACGAGGACTACGTGGCCAGGAACACGGATGAGTACATGCTGTTCCGCAGCCCTGTGCTGGCATTCGACATAATCGAGTACCGGGTGCCGAAGCCAAGCAGCCATCCCGCGGCGGATGGCCAGCTCAGGGACCTAGGACTTCGGATCCAGTATCGCTTACTGTCCGCCGGAATCACCTTCCACTTTTCGCAGTCCTTTGTGCAGGTTAAAAATGTAATTAGCGATTTAATCCGTCCTTACGATTACCCGGGATATCATTCAGAATCGGTGAATAATGAGGCCGGAACAGGCAGTGTCCCCGAGCAGGAGAACAAGAATGCCGATATGACCATACCGGATTTGGAGTATCTGATGGGGCTGGTGCCCACCTGCAACTACAAAATCGAACTCCGTAACTTAGTGCTTCAGTTGTATCCCCGTCAGCAGCAGGAGGCGGCTTCTGCGATGAATCACCACCAACTGACGACCACGGTGAAGCAATCCCTGTTGCCATATCTTCAGCTGAAGATTTCCCTAGTCGAGGGCACAATGTGTGGCCCAGTGAACCCGCTTCGTCTGGTTCAACTGATTAGCCATCTTGAGGAGAAACCCCGGGAGGTGGTCAATGCCTGCTACAACTGCTATAACTTTAATGTGAAAAACTTAACGCTGATGATCCTGAATACCACTCCGGACGGTGACAGGGCCAGGCTTTTAAACATTCCACGCATGCAGGTGAACTGGAACCGCCTGCTTGCACCTCAACTCTGGCGCCAAAATGAAGCTGCCCTAGAGACGGCAGAAATCAAATCGGAGATCATAACTTTAGAGTTCTCTAAGCGGGAGCTTATACTGACCAAGCGCTTAATCCCCTTAATCACAAGCTTTAACGGCTCAGAGCTCTGCGATCTGGCCCACATTGTGGCCCATGCCAACGCCCATTCGGATGTCATCAAGCTGCAGAGCTTGGGCACCAAACTAAGCTTGAGTTACCACAAGTATCACACGCATTTGGCTGCCGTGGGCTCTCTTCAAGGTATCCAAACCGATGCCGTCCACACCAAGATGAATGCCCGGAATGTGATTCTATCCACTTCCAAGAATGCAAACAACAAGTGGCTGGAGGTGCAGCTACAGCTTCCTCTGGAGGAGGCCAATACAAAGCAGGAAAAGATGCCGGGAACAGTGTTGTGCCTTTGGCTGGACCCATTCCGCATCACTACGGACATCTACTTACTGCAGTTTCTCAACTTTTCGGATCACAGTGTCAAGCAAAAAGCAAAAGAGAAGGGTTTGTAGCTTGTCAGCCTTATCATATTACCTAATTACAACTATTTACCTTTATTTGCAGAAGTAGAAACGGATTCAGAGTCTGTTTTGCAGTCGGAACCACCTGTAACACAATCAGTATCGAATTATTCCACAATGTCTGCCTCAGCAATGGCCTTGAATGATCTTCAGCCTCGTCGAATCAGCAGGAACGCAAGTCGAAAGATCTCTGTTCCCGAGGAGACAGTGCATCTGAGTTCGGAAAGGGATGAGAGGCACACCCAGGCAGAGCCTGTTAGTATACCCGTCATCAGTAAACCGCAGCCAAGTACCTTCGATTCTATGGATCTAGTCAAGCGACTTACCAACATGGTGGTGCTGGTTGAAATCGCCCAGGCCAAGATTGACGTGTGTGAAGTAATGATGAGAAAAACGCCTGCCGAGACGGATGTGGAGTATACCTCTATTCGGCTGCCACACGTAAAAGTAAAATCGGGCAACAGCGAGGCCGTTCAGCGTGGAAACATCCGAGCTGTAGTTTCGGTGGCCAGCAAAGCAGAGTTATTTAACTGGGTCTTCGACCTAAGCGAATTCAATGTGTGCTACCGCAGAGCAAGTGTCACCGAGATGATTGTGGCACCAGTAAGGACTACAATAACTTTAGCCCTGTCTCACAAGACATCCGAAAAAAGCGAGACGAGAAAAGTCGAGGGAAAATCTGACCAAGAGAAGAAGGCCGAACAAAACACCTACTCCATAAATGTGCATGTGGATATGTCGGAGATCAATATATTTGCCCAGCGGGTAAGAACTCTTTCCGAATATTTGGATTAACAAATTATTAAAATTACAATTTTTCAAGGTGAAATTATTGCATGAACACTGCATGATTATTTCCAAGATGAAGAGCTCGCTTTGCCCTGACGAACCTCCATCTAAGTGGCAGGTAGCAAAAACAGCTCCTAGACTGGAAGTTTACACTGGCAGTGCACAAACCTACCCGGTGATAAAAGAGTTCTTGGAGCTGGATCCCAACTTTGAAGCACCTCAAGTAAAAAGTGGTAAGAAAAAACACACAGAAGTATTAAATTTATTTTACAATATATTCAATTCCCTAAGCTCCCAATAGTACGATTCTATTCTTCTGCCAATGGACTATTCCCAGAATATGTTTTGAAATGGAAAACTCCAACGACTCCCAGCACAGTAAAATCGTTTTGATTCTGGAGGATCTACTCCTGAATATTGATAGGCAAAATGACTTTACCAAGATTACCACCAAAATCGAAAACTTTGGGCTCAACTATTATGAGAAAAAGCATGAATGGGAAAAGATAGAAGACTTTCACATCAAAATGCTGGGCGATAGCACGAACTTGCCATTGATCAGTGTGGTGATAACGACAGTGAGCCTTCAAGATCTCTATGCGAAAATTGGGGCGAGAAACCCGCATAACAAGCAGCACACCATCTCTGAGGTCCTGATCGAAGTGCAGCCGATCGAAATGGTGCTGGACTTGGACCAAATAACTGCGTTTATGGTTCCAATTTGCGAGGTCCTTGAAATTATGGGAAGTTCTGACTCAAAGCAGCCAGCAAGCACGGCCTGTTCACCTGTTGCCAGCCAGGTAACAACGGTTCGAGACCTGCCAATGGTGCATTTAAACAGCAAGGGCATCTATGTGTACCTTCCATTGTCCACAAACAGGAAGAGTTGCAGTGTGTTACTATTAAGGGTAAGCTATCAGCCATTTATATGCACTTTACAAAACTAATAAGTATGTATTTTACAGATTGAGAGCATACAACTAACTCCTAGTCTGGAAAATCCGCTAGTTCGGCAGCTCGTGCGCCCAGATATCTACCAAAAAGCCGCAGAGCTGAACATGCTTAATACCCCGGGAGCTCTGGTAGAAGATCGTCAGTATGAGCTGAGTGTAAGAAAGCTATCATTATCCACCGGAAACTGGAAACAAACCCAGAAGTACCGCATTGAAAAGAGCTTGGCCAGCAAACATGACAACCCCGCCTTCGAGTGGAACAACCAAAGTCAATCCACCGAACTGGATCACATGGAGATATTTAAGGACTTCGACTTCATAATGATTTATGCACCGGCCATAAGCTACGATCGATTTCTAGTCTGTGGACAAAGTGTGGAGTATAATTGCGCAACCGATTTTGTGGCTTCTCTGAACACTCACCAAATCAGCTTGATCAGCTGCATTATAGTACGTTTACAGCGGCTTAATTGTATAATCGATCAGGTCTGTGTGAATAATGCAGCGATGCCCAAAACGAGATCACACAAAACACTTGGCGAAGTGTCCACATTCAACAGCGCAGACAACTCGGTGTATTTTTTACCGGATACGAAACCACTTAAAACTGGACAAAAACCTTCTAAACAGCTGCCAAATGCCAAGCAAAATTACCCGAATCTAAATTCAAGTTTTGTGGATGCAAGAGCCAGCAGTGATATATTTTACGGATCGTGCCAAAGCGATTCCGGAATTCACTTGGGCAGCCGGGTGAAAGGAAATCGCCAATCGAGTGGCTTGAGTTATCCCCAGAGCGTATCCTTTGTGGCTGGAACATTCGTGCTAAGGATCTACGATGTGTTGGCCCTAGAGGAGCTGGAAAGACCGGTCATGAAACCACTTTTTTTGGTGACTATATCCCAGCCCAGCTTTATGTCCACCCAGAATCTAAAGGCTTCGGTAACCCAAGCCTCGATTTTTAATGTTAACATAGGCGTAGCCACTGCCGATTCGGAAGGAAAAGAGGATTTGGAACAATTTAACGAGTCCGTTTTTGACACACTTCCTGGTCAACTTGGCAGCTCTGGAATTCCTCCTCCTTTGCTCACGATCAAGACCCAGTACGATCGTCTCAATCAAAAGGAAGTCGATGTGGAATTACGTAAACCCATTCTGCTGAGAATGTGTGAGGCTAGCATCAAGCATCTGGCCAGCGATGTCATCCGTGTGTACTCCGTTCTCCACGAGACTCCCTGCTTTGCCGTGCGCAGCCAGCGCCCTGTACCCGAAGGATCTCAACTCCACCAGATGAAGTCGAACTGCTACAATGCGGATCGGTTGCACTTATCCTGTGATCGCATCACTATAAAGTTCTACGATGAGGTGCGGACCTACAAATGCAGTTTCGTTTGCCTCGATCTCAGCACTCGCATCAAGTTCAGCACTCGTCCTCAGAAGGCCGTCATTAGATCCACTCTGGGATCCGTGTATGTGCAGTCCGGCGGAAAGATGCTGCTGCATCCTTTGCTGATGCGTTTGTCGGCAGATTTGGTTAGTGAGCCATGGTGCGATGAGCTGCTGATCAATGCCACACTCAAGCTCAATTTCCTGCACATCGATGCGGGTGTTCTTAGCATACTGCAATTGCAAAAGGCCCGTGATGGAATGAACCGGATACGCGAATACGCTGATCAGGAGTGGCAGCAGTTTCTGCACCGCCGTCCCGTTTTGGGCACCCCCGAAGAGGTCTCACCCTGCGACCTGATCAAGTGCACGCCATCAAACGAGTCCATAGAGCGGCTAAAACGCCCCCTGAAGTCGAATGCGGAGTTCTACCAGGATGACCTCAGGTGAGGATTCTAACAGGGTTTATGCAGTTTATGCACTTTACTGATCAGTGTATTTTATATTCAAGAGCGGGCGCCTTTCAGTTTGTGTATCTTAACTCGGAGTCCGTACTGCCAATGCCCTACCAGGTGCAAATCATCAAGAAAAACTATGGCATCATATGCTGGCGATATCCGCAACCGCGCCAAATGACCAGCATACTCATCTATCCAGTGCCCATGGCAGTAAGTGCATGTACATAAGATTTGTTCAATTTACTAATGCTTTCTCGAACGAAAAAGGTAAGCAGCCCCATACATATCAGGTGTCGCATGGAGTACTTCAGCGAGACCCATGAAACATTCCTGCATTACTGCGATTTCCTGCTTTCGGAGACCTCCACCAAACAACTGACGCCCCCAGATCGTCCTATATGTGCCACTATCTGGAGGGTGGTTATACTGCAATCGCTGATCTCTGTGAATGGGGCTTGCTTTGAGGGAAGTGAGGATGAAGATCTATCGGTGGGTTTTCCATTCCCAGATAAAATAATTAATGGCCTAATGTTAAATTAAACTTTTAGATCGAGTACATCCAAGCGGACTTTAAAGTGGATGAAAATAACGATTTCATATTGCATCCCAAAGTTCTGGTGGGTTGTATGCGCATCGACACAGTATTCCGGGCGGAAAGAGTGCCCAAGCTGCAGTTGTTGCTCTGCTGCCAGGACATCGAGCTGAACTTCCTGAACCAGCCGGAGAGCTCTGGAGAGCTGCCACAACAGCTTAAGAAGTACAACCTCAAGCAGACCAGTAACATCAGCCAAACTTTTCTCACACTGCATGTGGAGGACCTGCAAATGCACTCGACTATTTATTCCCGGAAGGATTTTAGTTTGCAGACCGAACTGCGCACTCGGGTAAAGTGCTTGGACTATGGCTTCCTAAATATGCTGGATATCGTGGAGCCAATGAAATTCACAAGCTATGTAAGACTGACCGATTGCCCGCGCTCTTCGGTGCAGGCCAATTTCCTGGTGGACAAGCTTCGGCTCAACTGCGGACCCTATGTGATTCACACATTGCTGAGTTCCAAACACCACTGGCAGGAGGTTTTGCAGCAGAGGGAGATGCGACACGCCCTAATGCCCAAATGCGTTATAGTTAACCGGATACAGGCACCCATAAGCTTCGGTCAAACCGGCACAGTTGAGAAAGTCTCTGTGGCCCCTGGCGAAATGCAGCTCTATCACTTCCGAAGCTGTCATCACAAGCAAGAACTTACGTTCTTCATCACGAATCCTGAGACCCGTCTGGTTGAGACGAGTGATTCGGTGCACATAGCCCTGAAGTTCGAGGACGACCAGAAGGTTTATCACCTGCGCGTGGGAGAATTCTGTATTACTCTCAAGCTGGGCAAACTTTCCGCCACTCAGATTTATATTCTCGTCAAGGGACAAATAGAACTGATTAGCATGGTACCTTTCAATATGATCACAGAGTTTCGGGAGGAGGATAAAAGCTACGACGACAACAATGCGCCGGAACATCTCCTGTTGTCTAAAGAAAGATCATCGTACTACCAAAATGTAAAGCGTAATGCAGACATCAATATGCGGTATGTTGGATAATTGAATGAATTTAGTTTAAAATCCCAATAACGTAATGTAATTTCATAGGCTAAAGCTAAGCGCTGGACTTGGAAGGGGGCGCACTGGTGATATCCCTCTGAAAACCAATAACAATTTGCCTTGGCTGGTCAAGGTGCCCACGCAATCAGCGCAGCAATTCATCAGCGTTTGGGTTCGGATCTTGCGCGAGGACATTGTGATGGAAAACCCGGATGGCGACTTTCAGCCCCAGAAGATACTGATCTGCATTTGGCCCATCTTTGAGATATGCAATATGCTGAGTTGTGAGATTCAGGCGAATGAAAATACAACCGGAGAGAGCTCCACTATTGACGCCAAGGGCGGCAGATGGGCTCTAAACACTGCGACCACTCATGCCACAGAGCACACAGTTGGCTTCACATTTCCGTAAGTCCATAGAACAGTCTTCATCGAACCAATTTTAATGTTATATGCTTTTCTAGGGGTGCCTTACGAGGCTCTTCCAAAGATGAATATACACTAATGCTAAGGACAATGGACTGGCACAAGTTCTTTCACTACGATCCCAATGTCTGGACCATTGAAAATACCCTGTATAAGCTGGGCAAGTCTGCGCAGCGCAAGTGGCCACTGAATGATGAGGAAGAACTGCGCGTGTGCCGGCAGTTGGCTTTTCAGAACTCCTTTGATGTAAAATACCGGACCAAGGCCACAAGAGAGTTCTCCTGCACCTTGGGACTGGAGGTAGCCGCCTGGGGCATGTTCATCAACGGAACCGGCTTGGACGTAAGCATTTTTACGATCCATGAGCAGGCGCGATTTGAGATCAAAGCGAACAGTTTGGAAATGATGCCCAAACTCAGGAGTGCATTCAGAATTGATGTGACCTTCGAGCAAGGCTGGATCTCCTCAGCTCCGATTTCTTTGGAAGATTTTTCGCAAAAAACGGTTCAAAACGCCGGACGATCAATGTCTCTGCGATGCAATTCATTTGTGGATATAGTAATTGTGGAAAGGGAAGAGGTGCTGCGTCTGGTACTGGAATACCGAAAGGAAGCCGATGGACGTCGTCTGTTCAAATTGCGATCCAAATTCGTGCTGGCCAACTTTACGGATGTAGCTCTGAATGTCCTACCTTTGGCCATGGATCACAAGGAGACTTCGACACGGGAAGAAGTAGAGGCTTATACCATTTCCAAAACAGCCCGTAGTCTTTTATCAGCGGATTCGACCAAGAACTGGTAGGTTTCTTTAACGCTGTACAAACTATTTTAATTAATTTCCTTTGTTCTTGCAGCATTGGTACCGCGATGGACGTTTTCTACGATCTTAATGTGCATAAGGCCAAGCACAACTGTGATACGGCATTCGTGTATTTTGTTTGCTTTAGCGTGGGTGGTAATCGGGAGATTTCCATACCAATTCCCTTGTCCATACCCTTTACCAGACGCTGTTTCAGCTTGCAAGCGGGACACGAATCCATTCCGTTGATGATCACCCTAGTTGAGAAGGACAATGTGCACTACTTAAACGTATTTTGGGACACGGCGCCTGCGATTGTCATTAGTAACAACACGAATGTCAAGTTTATTGTGGCCCAAACAAGTGCATCGGAGAATAGCAATGTGTCCTGCACAAATTCCGAGTTCGTGGGAAGACACTTCGAGTGGAACCAGTTGGTGCTGCCCCACAGCAAATGCTATTACACCCCTCCGCAGATGTACGCCAACTTTCCGGATGTGGAGTTTACAATGTGCAATCTATCCTTGGCGGTATATAAAGGTGAGAAGTTCTCCAACCTTTTATATTGAAGATACTTTAAAGTTTGGTTTTCAGATAAGCCCTGTGCGAAGAACAAAATTGCCTGGTCGAAACCCGTTCGCACTGACAAGTCCTGGCAAAAATTCCTGCATGTTCCAAACCACGGCGATGTGAAGGTCGTTGTCTGTGACAAGCATCGTGCTATTCGTCTGAACATCTACTATATAGCTCAGCAGCTGGAGTTTTCGGTAAAAGACTTGCGATCACGCCTGACAAAGCCAGAGAAGAGTTTGATGCCATCGGAGGAGCAGAAACTTCTGGAATCCGATGAAAAGTTGACACAAGATTCGACCACACCTAAGGAGCCTTTGCCGGATATGGTTGCCTGCGCCCACTTTAGCGAGGAGTGCGAGACCAAACGGCAGACGAGGATCAAAGTGTTCATCAAGAGTTTTGTGTTCAGCCTGCAGACGGATAGCCGAGAAAATGACTTTCTGAAGACGGAAGTGTGTAATATCTACGCCGATGACACGGTGATAATCTACGACGACGACGACGAGCAGCGGGAACTGCGCTTGCAGTTGCCAAATCTCCAGGTGGACAACCAGTTGTACTCCAGTGGAAAGTACGATTTTCCGGTGCTGCTCTGTGCAGAGAAGCTGTACAAGCGCAACTGCAGTCTGCCGCAGGTCTACGATTTGGACTCTGTGTACCGGCAGCAAGCTCAGCGAACTCCCGTCTCTCTATTCACATTTGTATTCTACCAAGATGAAATGCAGCTGCAGAATGTGCGGTGCCAGATTCCCCCTTTTCGGGTCTACATCGAAGATGCCTACCTGAATCAGCTGCTGGAAGCACTGGTGGAGTGCGAACCGTCCCATTGTGTGTATAGTCCGCCTGTGGAACAGGATCAAATCCTGCTGCCTGTCGGAGCGACCCTTCTACCCGACCAAGTTGTGGCCCAGTCATTGTACATATCGGAACCCTTGCGTCTGAATAGTTTTACGGTGGAGCCGCTGAGTCTACTGCTATCCGTCCACACTTCCTCGAGGCTCTACATAGCCCTAGATCACTCTCCCCTCTCCTTCTCCCGCTATGAGCGCCAGCAAATCCTTACCGTTCCCCTCCGCTTCGGACAATCTCTGGGTCTGCACTATCTCAGTGGGGCCATCTTCGGAGCCGGCTGGGTCGTTGGATCCCTAGAGATTTTGGGCAGCCCCAGTGGGCTGGCCCGCTCGTTCAGCACTGGTCTTCGGGACTTTGTCTCCATGCCCGTCCAGGGTCTCTTCCGTGGACCTTGGGGCTTCCTGGTGGGCGTGACCCAAGGGTCTGCCTCTCTGCTGCGCAACGTGACTGCAGGAACCGTGAATTCAGTGACCAAATTGGCCGGTTCCGTGGCCCGGAATCTGGACAGGCTGACCCTGGACGCAGAGCACATCGAACTGACCGAGGCCAGACGTAGGGCCAGACCCCAGGGATTCGCCGATGGGCTGACACAGGGTCTGACTGGCCTGGGTATTAGTTTACTCGGCGCCGTCGGAGGATTGGCCCATCACACACTGGAGGCACGCAGTTCGGTTGGAGTCATCGCCGGGCTGACCAAGGGCATTGTTGGAGCCTTCACGAAACCCATCAGTGGAGCTGCTGAAATGCTAGCTCTAACGGGCCAAGGAGTCCTCCACACGGTGGGCTTCAATGCCATGCCTCAACAGGTGGAGCCCAGTTTCATGCGCAACGTGGCCCTGCACGGCAGTTCCCATCGCATTTGGAGTTATCTGCCCGAGGAGTTGAGCCGCGACCAGATGCTGTTCTTTTGTGAAATCACCCTGTTGGTCGGCACGCAATTACGTCCAGCTTTGGTATTCCTAACTTCGTCAGTATTGGCCATCTTACAATCGGACAGCGAGGAACTGGCCTTCGCTTCCCCCGTTTCCAAGGTGGATGCCGTGGCGGATCGCGAAGATCCCTCAAAACTCTACTTGAGCCTCAAATCCGAGCGAAGCAATGATCTTGAGGGAGTGAGTATTTTATTAGTGTTTACTTGTATTTCAATTGTAACCCATTTTATTTTTAGCAACTGAACTATACCAATGAGCGCATAATGAAGTTCCTGAATGCATCGCGACTTCAGAGCATAGCCAACGATTCGCTGAATGATCTGCTCCAGCTGCAGGAACAGGATGTCGACGATCGAATCCAGCGGCAATCGCAGTGCATCTTCTATATTAAACCCAATATAGGTGAACACCTGATCCACTACCTAAAGGTCATAGGTCGGATACAGCATTGATAGTAAGCCTGCATCTTTGTGTTTGTCGGTGTAGTCTAAAGTATTCCTAGAATCCTTTGTATTTTATACCAAAAATCAAAAGACATTTTTTGTTACATTTTTGCAATAAAAATTTAAAAAGTATGAGACATTTTAAAAATAATTTTATTAGAATGCAGTTGTAGTTAAGTTAATAAGTTTTAGTAAGAAGCATTTGCTGAATTGTTGGCCTTGATTTGGTCGTACTTTGTGTTGCGCTTCTACACAAAAAGTCCAATTTAATACAATTGGTTTTAGCTAAAGCCGCCGAGACCAGCCAAGGACTAAACTTTAAACTTGCAGCTAGAACACGGGTGCATTTTAATAAGGGCCAGATAAATCCAGCTAAGGCAAAGCCCTTGGAATTGGAAGAAACTTGTACAAAATTAACCTGTCGCCCACAAAACCGTCGAACCAAAGTGCTTCTTGTTTTTCGAGTTAAATATAATTTTCTTAGTCGTTGAGGCACTAAAAAAAAAGCATACCTATTAAGTTTCATATTGATTGATTTGATATGGTAAAGCAAATTATAGTTGTAAGATATACCATTGTTATATTTAAAGATGTCAAAACCATTTTTAAATTATTCCGCATTAATATACATAAGTATTTCATAGAAATGTCAGAACAGTAAAAAGGTTCAAAATCTTTAACTATTTTATATTTTATACATATTTGATACATTTTTATGTGATGTCGACATGAAGGACATGTTGATATTTCTCTGTGTGTGCTCGCAATCCTTCCTGGTTGGATGCCTGGATTTTGCCTTGTGTGTGCGCCAGTGCGCGACCAAAAGATTCAATTATGTTTGGTTGGTAGTCGGTGGTCGGCTCACCGCATCCGCAAGTTGGCCCGTGGAAGTCGCTTATTGGGGCCCCCGGATCCCAGTTGGCCTTCTTTATGTGTTTGACGTGCCTCGGGGGGGGAAGGGCTCATGCCCTACCAGCACAGATTTGCACACCGTTTCCGTGGGCCAAATGTACGTCTATTGTTTTATGTTTATAAAAGGTGGGCATTTAACGACTCTACTGTTCCTCGCCCTAAAGTTGAGCCTATTGTGTCCGCTTCCGCCTTTTGTCTGAGCTCGCATATTTATGCGACAGACACACATTAGCATCATGTGTTGTGTGTTGTGTTGTGTGGTCGTTGCTTGTGATTTGCTCTGAAAACTGGGCTACGACTTCTTGGGGAATGTTTTTCCTCCATTTGGGCATCTGATGATCTTCGTTAATGAGCCCTGACCAATATAACCCATCTGGATTCGATTGAGCCCCTGCTAACGACCTGCATTTAAAAGGCTTTTGAACTAACTTTCCTGAATATAACGCATACGCACATGTGCAGCGGCGGCAACAAGGCCATCAAGCAATGCATTATGACGGCGTCTACTTCCATTTTGTTTTGTTCGTGGCCTTGGAAGCACGGGCTTAGAAAGGGGGGAGCAAAGTAAGTTTGTGCCATTAAGATAAGTCAATAGTTAGTGGTCATCAAACGGAAGTTTAAACACCACATTGCTCGGCTTAAAACTAATATAAAAATGTTATGCCCTTCCATTTTGAACACACTTAAAAACTTTAATACACCATTAGAAAGGGAGCCCAATACCTAATTAAAATAAGCTGCAAAACTGAGAACATTACGGATATGCTTTTTTTAAGCCCATATTGAACTTTTGAGAATCGTAATGACAAGGACTTATTTGTATATTTCTCTGTTATTTATTTGTCAACTTTTCTATACTCACTTATATGTTTATTATATGCCAATCAAGTTAAAATAACTTTTTGGGATCCATATGTGTAAAGAAAACTTGTCCCCCCGATTGAGTTCTCCCACTGACGCCTATGGCCTGGAAACCCTTTAGCAGGTTCCTGTTGCCATCAAAAGAGGCCATACTTAAAACCTTTTCAAGAAATATAAATATATGGAAACAGAAAAGCAAGTATATCTGGTCATAGTAGGAAATCGTATGACTTTCGCTAATGCAAATATTGTGAAAACAATCTTCTGGTGATTTAAAAACATTCTATTGTGGGATTTGACAAAAAAAAATAAAATAATAATAAGGATTATGCACGACTTGGAAATACCCTGTTCTGTGCTTGAGCTTACAAGTAATTACATTAGCATTTCGGGTAAGTCTACCATTTGTCAGCCCGTAAAAAACCTAAAATTCTACAACTGAAGCCTTTGAGAAATTTGAAGAAACATTTACCCTTGTTCCTTTTTTACACTTCACAATTCTGTAAGACCCTTGTTCGCCAGCTTGATAGGTATGAAAAACAACCGAATTATTCATAACTTATAGGAATAAAGCGATGTGGAATTAAGTGAGTTGAAGACTTTACCCCCTGTACTCCAAATATATGTTTATGCTCTGCTGGTTCGGGAAAGTGCCTACATGGAGCACATAAAGCAGAAAAAATCAAATGCAATTTTCTCTAAAATGGTTACTGATAAAAAATTGATACGCCAGCCGGCAAAGATGGCTTGTGGGCATAACTCGCTTAGACACAGGCACATGTGCATTCAAATACGCCCGTATTCAGACCTTTATTCAGTCGCCCTAGGCACTTGGATTATTCATATTTAAATTTGTCTTACACCCTCGCTGGAGGTTCCACCCTGGCTAGATTCGCAAGAGTGTTTGCCACTCCTGTCAGCTCGCATTTTACCATTGCCCATTCCAGATTCACACTCCGAATATAAAATGGATGGAATAGCTGAATAAACAGAGTCGCTGCCGTACTCATTCTAGGCCGTTGACAGTCCGGAAACCCAATACATCTAAGAACAACTCGGTGATGGAGAAAGTCGCTTTATTCGCAATAACATTTAAATTCATACATTTATATTTACACGTACATTCACATTCGTAGTCATTTGTTTATTTGTTACAACTTAAGCAAGCAGCCGTAAAGCGTTGAGAAGAATTAAAAACACACAGTTTGTAGGAACCAATCCGAATATTTACAGTGACACAAATGGATCAGTTAGCTTAATGGGAAACCCACTTCTTGGCTCAAAAGATGTAGCAGTTTAATTTCGATTTACCTTGTCCCAACAACCATTTGCACTGAAGTACAACAGAGTATTGGGTTTCTTGCAACCTATTTTTGATTGAAAATTCCCAATTAGTGGGTTACGGTCTGTAATCCAGCTATATCTGATATGTTCGAGGGGCAAGGACGATATCCTAACTTAGCTTTGGTTTCTTCAAGAATGAATTGTAATATAGTCTAATTGGCTACCAGGCTTCTGGCCTTCTAGGCTTCCAATTAACTCCAATGACCTTTGTAAAAGTATAAATTCGAGACCTTAAATTAGCTTAGAGCCAGGTTTTGTCATTTTCAGACGAGTCCCTTTCGCCCATTCCAGGATTGGTGCGTCGGTAGTTGTTGTTGTAGGGCGAGGAGCAGACGATCTGGGTCTGCATCTCCAGGCTCTCCGGCGGCACCACCTGGATGGCGATGGCCGGCTGTCAGGAGAGCAGTTGTGTGGTATTGGCCGTACTGCTGCCACCATTGTTGGTGGCACTATTCGTACCCGACCATCGCTGCTGCAGCTCCTGCTGATAGGACATCCTCTTCCTGTGTCCTCCGCCAGTTGATTTCGACTCCGCCGGTAGACTACTCCTCAGCGTCGCATTGCGATTTATTCCTGTGAGTTAGATTAGTGAAGAAAAATTAGATACCACCCTTTTTTATCCAATTATCGTGGGTCCAGGGTCCGAACTCACCGCTGTGCGAAATTCGATGCGATTTCGGTGAGCTTGGGCAGGTATAAAGTATGGATTTCTGGGTATCTATCAATGCAAAAAACTCATTAGCGTACCATCCTTTTGTCATGCCAATTGCCAGCGGCCAAACCTACCATTGCGCTTGATACGGTTGTGATCCGGAGAACCGGAGCAGGAGTACCGGGATGTCAGGTTCTCCCGCCGACTGAAGGGCTCCGTGCCCACACGCACAAAGAGGCACCAGCGGAAAACCATCTTGAAACCATAGCGAAAGCTAAGACAATACATAATATTAGAGTCATATTGCAAGCTACTTTAATATCTTAATCATTATTTCTACAAAAGTTTAAGCTTTAATTTTGTTATGTTTTGTTAGAAGAGAACATTTCTTTAATATCTACCCAGAAAAAACCTTGCAAAGAGTGCTTGCTTAATTGAAGATTTATGGATTGCCATTGTGACAAACCCTGAAACACCTCAACTTGTTTTATTTATGAGCAGCTTTTTCTGTTGGCTTCGTTCGATACCCCTTTATCTACACACAATGCTAGTATATCGACCTGGACACCGCTTACTCATATAATCTATAGTGTAACAGGAGTGTCTTTTACGGGCCATCGCGGCAACTTAATATCTCCATGTTCCCCATGGGTAGTAAATATAAAGGAAGACCTTCGTTGTCGTTGTCGTCATCATTTGCATATGGGGCGCCATCAATTGACTGGAGCTACCAGAATGATCCAGGGCAGCCAGTCTCACGTGCCGGCCGGAATGTTTTTTTTTTTTTGGCACGTAGAAGACCCATTATCCGACTTCGTTCCAGTCCGGCGTTTCCCCATCAGTCAAATATCCGCTGACTGAGCGGAATTAATTGCAACCCGCTACGTTTTTCCGGACACGGACGCGCGAACACCGACTGCCAATTTGTACGGCTATATATGTAGGAGCCACGTCTTTTGTTTCGCACCCACAACTGCGGTTGAATAAATATGACGGTGGCTTTTGTTGTTTTACAAATTTCATTTCATTTAAAATTATTTCTCAAAAATGATTGCTCAGTAAAATTGATTTGTTGGCTAAAGGATAATTGCTTAAAGACTTAGACAACTTGCATAAAATGAAGTAAATGCAAAAATAATAAATAAAAAAAACTTTTTAAAATTTGAATACTTTTTGGAAGGCTTGAATTTAATTGCTTAAAATTGTGCTGCATAAATTTAAGGAAAATACATTTCAATGCATTTTTATGTACATTTTAATGAGCCTTAAAATCAGCTTAAATTAAGGCTCAGTTAATTATATATCGATAATAAATATTTAAACCATTCTTAAGCATAACCAATCCGAATTTTATACATATGTAAACATGTCTGCTTTCATTTCGACCGCAGTTGTATGTTGGTTCGCCGGAATCATGTTGCCACATATATACAAACTACATTCAAAGAGCGAGACAGTGACAACAACTAACCGCGGGAACATTGAGCCTGCCTTCTCTGTGGTAATGATGACGGGCACATTAATTTCCGGGGAGTCGGTTAACCAATCAACTAATCTGTCGACGGGTCTCTTGCCGAGATGTGGGTGTCCTGAGTGGCAATGCACTTTGTACCCTAATCGTGCTAATTCAACCGCAAATTACCCAATTTGTTGTGGGCTAAGGCGACCACATGGACATGGCACTCAAGTGGCAATCGATTCAGCTACTTACCGCGAATTCATCCAGCAGTATATAATGGGGTTGTACATGGAGTTGCTCATGGCCAGCCAGTAGATGGCCAGGTAGAGTTCCTGGATGAAGGGTGCCTCGGTGATGGCCGGATAGCAGGATGTGATGATGAAGTAGCTGTGGAACGGCAGCCAGCAGATGGCGAATATCAGGACGACCACAATCATCATCTTCACCACCTGGGGAAAGTTTACGTTTATTTATTAAAGAGCTAAATGACATTAGTCTATTTTGAAGCAAATTAATATAGCAATTTGTGCACAATATAATTTGACTTCAACAGAATGTTCCTTTTGCTAATCAATATTTCTAATTCGTTCATCTTTAAAAATTCCATTTAAACTAAATCCGAAAACATAATAATTCAACAGAAGTCTTTTTCATAATTGTTCAAGAGAACTCTTTACTTTCAGAGACTGCTGGTAAATTCAACGAAAACACTAAGCATCAACACAAGTTGCCAAACTAAACAGAAGTTTCCGGAAAAGCAACAAACATTGAGTTACAACTGAAGCCACTACAAAAACATTACTTACAAAAACAGGTCAAAATTAACTACAAATAATTTGAAGCTTGGAGAAATTTAGGCAATTCATTTGAAATTTATTTAAAATGTCTTGTTTGAAAAAACTGTCACATAATTCAGGGTGTACAAAATAATGTGTCATAAGTATATACCATAAAAAATAAACAAATATAAAATAAACAACAGTTAGTTAGAAATTAAGAATGAAAAGATTTATCAATTTCTTTTAAATCAAGCCATTTTAAAACAGACCGCAACCAAGTGCTAATAATAGTAGCAAAATGAAAGCAGGGAATCGGGAATTTAGGAATCAGGAATGGGGACTTACCCTCCGTTTACTGCGCACATTCTCCACCTGACGGGGCGTGCACTCGCCAATGGTCTTGGATCCCCAGAGCTCGATGCCCACACGTGAATAGGTGACCGTCATCGAAACGATGGGCAGGAAGTAGGTTAAAATGATGATGAGGATGTTGTAGCTAAACGACGACAAAGCCGCACAAATAGTAGATCAGACACTGTGTTTACAAGCCCTACAGTTAGTCGAGCAATGCTTTTAAAATCCCCTATCATACTATCGCTCCATCGGACATTGTTGCTGCTATGGCTTGTTTTGGCTTTTGTTTTATTTTTTATCGAGCAAGTAGCAATTTGGAATGAATCTAAAATTAATGGCCTTGCATGTGGGACACAATGCATAACACTGGGTACTGGGTACGCAGAAAGCAGGACGTAGGACGTAGGACGCGCAACACCCGCTGCTACCAAATTGCCATACAAAATGGCTGTAAAAAGCAACACGTTTTATTTGCCCCTCTTCCTGATTTTTGGCCCCCAGGCAAAACAAAAAACAACCCACCACCCAATCACCCACTCTGCCATTCGTTTTTTATGCGAACTTATCGGTTCAGTTTTGTCTCCGAATGTCCGCTTTTACGACCCCATCCCCGATAATCCCATACCATCCCATCCCATCACCATGTCCCAGCTTCAGATCCTGATGGTCGCTGCATGTGCAACCTCAAACTTGGATGACGCTGTGATTTTTGATTTACACCTTCATCGCGATGGCGTTCTTCTATGAACGTTTTTTCTATGCACCGGACACAATTTCAAGTTCCTTTGAAAATCTTCAAAACTCAAAGCATGTCCACAAAAATTGTTACATACAGAAGTATGCCTTTAAACCAGTTTTTAATTTCAAAAGTCACAAAAGAACGATAAAGTTAGTATAGTAAAGTGATACTCTAATATCTATACTCTAATACCATTTTAAAAAGTAATGTTAGAAAAAATAGTAAAAATCTGTATGATTTTTTTTATTTATTACAAATTCTAACATTTCGAGTGAATAAAATGTATAAAGAATTGCTAAAATATTTTATGGTTAAAATCTAATCTTTTTTAGCCCTTTAACTGTACCCCTTAATCTCTTCAGCAAATTGTTTGCAGTGTACAATCGAATAGGTTTTCTCGTTCTAACTGTAGTGGAATTGGCTAACAAGCTCTGACAGATTCGACTCGCATAAATTCGACTGAGCTCAGCTGAGCACTCGATGTTCTCGCCGCGGATGGACGAAGGATACTCACATGGACTCCAGCCTCGAATGATTTGTCATGCCATCGGGCCACTCCGGATAGCAGACGGTCCGGGGACTCTGGCCCTTGACGGGCACCTCCTCCGTCCGGTAGATGATCATCATGGGGCAGGAGATGAGCGTGGAGGCCAGCCAGATGATTGCCGCAATGGCCAAATTGCATCGCTTGCTCATCCGCGGCTGCAGCGGCCTGATGATGGCCACGTACCTGCGAAACAGAGGTGAGGTGCCATTTTAAAACAATTTCCAGCAATGCAAGCGCTCTCTGCGGAAAACTTTTTGCCGAAGAGGCACCTGACCATAAGCTGATTATCGAAATGCACGAGGTCATCCACAAAAAAAAAAGGCTTCATAAAATGTTATTAAAATGGGAACGCCACTGCAAGAGCGTGCTATTACTGAAGAGTAATTTAATCTGCTGAATTTTTGGCCTGCGTGGTGGGGTTTCATCGGATCACGGCATGCCATTAAAAGTTGGAGTCATTAAGGAAGTTTATATAGAAACCTAATAGCTCACCAAATGGAATTATGTGTCGTTTTTTGCTGTCTTTTGTATTTATGCGTTAAGGATTTAGTAGACAATTCCGTGGACTTTAAACGGATTACATTTCAATGGCTTTTTCTGCGTAAAAAATCATTAAATGAGGCTGTTTCGTTGACTAGGCATTAATTTAATTTATGAGCTCAAAGGAAACATTATTTATGTGCTGTACTTTGCAGCATTGGTAAACAATTTGTTTTAGTAGACTAAAACATTATTTATTTGTCCAGGATTTCCAATACATAAGTTTTCACTTATTGTTTTGGCCCAAGCAGCTGACACATAATGTATTAACTTGTTTTTTCTTAAGACTTTTTCCGAAGCTATTCTCTTGATTTATTTGTTCACGAGATTCAATACAAAAATCTTTGCTAAATGTTTAAATGGAGCTTTTGACAGTATGTTTTAATTTATATGAATGCATTCGATTTTGAACCAATAAATCGTCAATAAATATTTGGGACACAGTAAATAGGGAATTATTTATAAACAGTTCAGCATTCATGTTTGTATGCCAACTGTTTTGTTTACTAGACAATATAATTTGATGAAAACGCTTTTAACAAGAAAGGGATTACGCTTTCTTAGCAAACCGAGCGTTGGAAAAAAATATTTATAATATTTTAGGTAATTTGTCGGTTATTTTGTTTACTTGAGAGAATGATTTGATTTAACCTCTCAATATTACAAGTAAGTAGCTAGAACATTGCTTATTAATGTACTTTGGAGAACATGAACACGTATTTTGATGGGTTTTTATTCTGAGCATTGTGACAGGCAATCGAATTGCGTTTCATGTCTGCAACCCTATGAAATCCTATTAAAACGAATGGGTTATTTGGCCTGTGTTTTTGAGCTTGATTGATAAGGGTCTCGGTAGGTCGGATATGCATATGAAGATGAGTTTAGGTTAAGCATTCGCTCATAATCCCTCAATCCACTCACCTGTCGATGGAGATGGCCATTAGGGTGAACACGGAGGCGCAGATGCTCAGCATGGAGATGAACTGGGACAACTTGCAGTAGAACTCCCCGAAGGGCCAGTCGCTGTCCAGCATGTAGTAGTAGCTGAAGGTGACGTTCAGACTGGACACCATGGCGTCCGCGATGGAGAGATTCACTGAATAACCGGAAAAGACAGAGACGAGCAATCACTTGTATCTGGTCGAGTGGCAGAAGCAACAAATTATGCAAAACAAACAACAAAGAATTTTTATAATTACAACCTTCGCGGGGCGAAATAAAACAATAAAACATCCACAATCCCGACAGCCGACTTACCTTTTACTTATTCGCAGTACATTTATAATTAGAGAGGAATAAAGTGCACTTTCACCCGCATATTTGTATAAAATTCAACAGAAAACAGGAAACGAAAGTATATAGGTATATGTTGTATACATGTCAACGTAGCCATGAATTCGTTTCGCGATACACTTTTATTGTATTTCATTTGCATTGAGCGATTTACATGCCAATGAATCAGCAGCCATAGACAATAACAGGGGCCAAGAAAAGAAAATGGAATCGCTGGAAAGGAAAAGTCTGCCGGCTGGCCCCGCCATTGTTTATTTTTCATTATCTACTGGAGATAAGGCGACGAAGTGCCGGAGAATAAAAAGCATCACGAAACAGCACAACAGCACCTACAATGAAACAAATGTCCTTTGCCGAACATTAGCCCGTGTTCAGATGTTATTCTCGGCTCCTGCGAGTCCTGCGAGTTCTGTGTCCTGTGACGCCTACAACATGACACGAGGCGACGTGTCGCATCCTAACAATCGACCTGGCTCCCGGGGCCGTTGACTATGACTATATAGTATAGCTATCTGGCCACCATTTTCCCCGGGGCTCGGTCCTGTCAGCCACGTACCCAAATATCGATTCAGGCCCATTTTAATTAATAACAAAATGTTTCTTTTTAGGCGCTTAGTCTTCACGGGGGGCACACTCACTCGCGGATACAGAGGAAAATATTTATGAAATTAAACAAAAACCCATTTAAACTGTTATAACATTATTTAGAGCTAACAACAACCTGATTTAAAACTCAAGGTACTGTGTCTCATATTTTTCCAAAATAAACCAAACAATAAACCTATTAAAATTGCTTAAAAAATATAAAATTAATATGCGTTTTAATTAAAATTTTCACCTTTTCTCTTTCAACACTCAAAAAGCTAAAAAAAAAATCAAATTGATCAAAAAGTATCAAAATGACCCATATTTTAGGATTAATGAACTAAAATATATAAGTTTCATAAAGGGTTGCCCATTCTGGCAGTATATACATATATATAGAAAACAAAATCCGCTCTAAAACCTTAATTACTTTTTACTTTTTAAATCCCTTCATTACTTTTGTCTAAAAATGTACAAGGAAATACGTAACGTTACATGAATTTTCCTTTGACAATCCAAATAAAAATATGAAAAGACTCTTGGAAGAAGCGATACTCTAACCAACAAACTTAAACAAAAGATGCAAATACGCATTGATAATGAACCCAAAGAAGATTATCATCCGGTGACTGGCTTTCCCCCACAAACTCAACCACCTCGATGGGCGGACAAAATGCTTCTCCAGATGGCTGTGATGTGAATTTGAAATTTGTGTGCCCCAAAAATGATTAAAACGTCAGAACTTGTTACTCATAATGATGGCCAATGCGTATTTATAAATGCAAATTCGAAATGCCTTTGCCAAAGCCTTGCGAGCTCAACGGGCATTTAGTTTACGTAATAATAATAATCATTACCAAGTCAGACGAAAGAAAGGAAAGTGGAGGACACGGTGCCTTCCCCATTGTTATTCATTATATAGTATTTTACTGGGTCCCGTCGAACAGAAGAGCTGGATTAGTAGTAAGCTGGCAAAACGGAATCAATTCCAGGTTCGTTTTATTGCCTCCCATCCTTAGTTGCTTGGGTATTATACTAAAATAATTGCGCATACATAAAGCCGGCAATCAGGTATCCAAGCGGTTATTCCAAAGTGGCTGAACTACTCATCCCTTGAACAAAATGTCGGCATTGTCATTACGATGAGAAACTTTGTGTAAACTTTCGCTAACTTTTGACGAGTTTGGTCTGTCTTATTATTAAAAGTGTGATTAGTGTGTGCATGAGATTTGCCAGATTTCAAATTTAATGCACTCTAGAACGTGACTAAAAGCATATTCAATTAATGGAAGCCGAGCTTAGACTTTAGACGGCAAACTTCGTAAATGAACTTGATGCCAAAAGCTGGGGAAATTATAATAAATGCCATCCGGACGGTGCTTCTCCCTCGCTTACAAACAAAATTGGCGACGGTGGAAGATTGAAGGGTTGTAAAGTTAATATCTGCTAGGTGCAACAGGGCGCATGAAAAATGCAGTCGAGGGAAGGCCAGTTGCTCTTTAAGTGCTCTACGGTGCAGTAGCCATAAATGGGTAATCCAGCCTTCTTCTCCTCGGGAGAATATTAAAAAATACCCTACGTTCCTGTTAAAAGCGTCGACCTTAACTGGACACACCAAAGTGGAAATATGAAGTTTCTAGTTTGAGAAAAATGTGTAAATTAAATAAGAGTAGTGTTCAGAAGTAAATTTAGTCTTTAGCGTCTGGTGATAACTGACTAAGAAAGACGAACTGTTTAACTTTCAGAAAATATTGGTTAAGGGCTGGTGCTTTTAAAATGTTTAGTTTAGAAGCCAAGTCCACACGGCTAACATGCCGTATGAGTGATTTTTATCGCGTATACGCAAAGGACACCAGACAAGCAGGTAAATATGCCTATGCACTCACCTATAAAATAGTTGGTTACCGTCCGCATCCGCTTGGTCGTCATCACAATCCAGACTACAATCAGGTTGCCACCAGTCGCCACAATGACCATGCCGCCGAAGAGTATGCTCCAGAGCACCTGGCGCCACCATGGGACCACAAATGCAAACGAGCCCGTCTCCATGGACGCTGCCGCATCCTCCACGTCGACGGTGGTGGGCAAGTCTGTGGATAGGCTGTGGATAAGGATGTGGATACGAATGTAAATGGGTAAATGGGGGTTCAGTGGGGAATTAGTGACATCGAGATTAAGTGTGTGTGTTATGTTTCACGGTTATAAACGAGTGCCAAGTGGGTGATGTGTGTCTATGTAAGCAGGCGAATGGGTGCTTTCAGCTTACAAGCATATGTACACTGGCAGAAAATATCACAACAACTGCTTAGGCAAGACCATACTATTAAAGGCTTGTCAAATCTAAATTTTCTGGTTTCAATTTTATAATTACAATATAAATTTATCTTTTTTTATATTTCTATTAGTTTTAGTCAATTTTTTTTTTTAGTCTTGATTTAAATTAAATTAACTTTAGTTTTGAATGTCATTTATATTTAGAACCGAACTACTTTATTAACATTTACATCTTATTTATCACAAATGTTTAAACAAAGGTTAAAATTATTATAAATTTCTGAATATTAAACACCGTTTATATCAAAAAACCTAATTATTAACTTTTGGCAAAATGGTATGGTTTATGGTAATTTGCGTACTATAAGAATTCTTTGTAAATTATTTCTCTTTGTGTATCTATATGTGCGACTCCAGGATGTTGTCGCTATTAAGCGTGTGTAATTGTGCGTGCGTTGACAAATCCGTGTTTTTCTGCAGCGCCGTCTGCCACATAAAACATCGGGTTCAGCCGGAGGGCAAGGGACTCCACTCACTCATCGTCGATTGTCGTCATCTTTTTAATATTTCGTGAGTCCCGACTTGTTTATTTAGGTTCGCATCTAGGCGAGTGTTTAAATAGAGGGTCTGGGCACCCCGAGACTCGCTCCAGCGGATTTGTGACGCCCCAGCCCGGTTAGTTTGCTATTGGACACACACACACACAAACTTGGGGGCAGGATAACAGCCATGTCATTTAATATGCACGCTGTGTGCTGGAGATGGCACTAAATTGGCTAGGCAGTCATTAATGCTGTGTTTATTCACTCTTCAGAGCAATTAAAAAGATGCCCACATAGGTAATTCTCACTTTACAACAACCCCATTTTCGCATGACAAACGGCGGGGATTTACATAAAATCTCCTTTGTTCGAGGACCTAATGCAAGGAGGATTATTGATTTGTTTTGTGGGGCTCAGATAGGCCTACGGAAAACGAAAAACGGAATGAGAAGTGCCAGGGTAGGAAAACAGAGAATAGCTGAAAATTCAGGCAGCCTCGGGCCAAAGAAAATGCCATGACAAAAAGTACAAAAAATGTTTGCTACTATTCTGATGTCTTCTGCTCCCAGAGCTGCCAGGCTTGTTGATATTGATGTTGCGGTTTAAATAGTGCACATCTACTGGAAAAATGGGTATACTGGTTCGGAGTGTTTTCATTTTTCATTTATTTTTATTGGCATACTGTAAAGTCAGGATTGTTGTTGAAAGAATATAAAGAAGAAATAAATAATATACTCAACAAAGTAAAAACAAACTTTCCATCTTGACAACTTGTAGTAGAAAGTAGAAAAGATTTTAAAATTGTTCAACAAAAGTTGCTATTGTTCCATTGTTATAGTATTACTCTCCCTTAAATATATATTTTTCATAAGGACATTCTCTTTTCAAAATAGCCTGAGACTGCTTTTCTGAGAGCAATTAACCTATGTCAGTTTTATGAGTTGTTATGGGAATATGGACAGTTTGAGCAAATAAAATTGTTATAGTGCCACTTCAGTGAAATGTGTACAAATATGTTTTTGCTTTGATGCACGAAATCTTTTGTGCAAAAATTCTCCCAATTTTAGGCAACTTGGTTGCCCTTTATTTGCACATAAATCGGACGTAGTGTCTGCGCACACAAATAGACAACTCAGAAGCAAATGGCAGTGGTAAAGGCAGTAGCAGCCAATGATACTGGCCACTGTTGTCACAGGATTGAGTGTTGAGCACTGCCTGAAGGATATATAGCAGTTTCGGGTCGCAAAAAAAGCAGAGTCATTCGCCAAATGTATTTTCGATGCGTCAGACGCAGCCATATCCCAATAATTATCCGACTTCGACTGTCGCACAACCCCATTTGTTGCTGCTGGTACGGCAGTAAATTTGGGACATGTCTGCCAAAAAAGTGCCGACGCTTCTTCAGCCAGCAAAGAATGGGATTGAATGGCATAGAGCCCGAAGTTTCTTGTGTATATACACTAAGTATCTCCGCATTAAATGTGTTTGCTTTCCGCGAACCCCGCCCTACGCCGTAATATGTATTCGAAACGGAAGTGACGAACCAACGGACTAAACGGAAATGCCGGAGTGAATGACTGAATGGCGGAATAACTGAACGGAGGCGTCATTAGAGATGCAAGTTAGTGTGGGCATAAAACAGATGCGGAGGCGAACTCAACAGGACTCATCAAAAAGCCACGAAATCTAGGAGCTAGAGCGCCCCTTTACACTTTCAAAGAGCAGTGGTGTAAGCTGGAATTTTTAGGGGCTCGGGTCTCTCTTGCAAGAACGTTTAACTTAAACTGTGATTTGGTACTTAGGATGTAAGAAAACTTAAGATCTGAATTATTTTATTTGACTTGCACTATGATTTTGTACTAAGAAAAGTGCAGAAGTGTTGTTATGAATTAATTAACCTTTTCAGTTATGGTATTTAGATAGCCTTATGATTTATTGTAACATATATACGTTCCTAAAAGTCCTTCATATTTTTACTTAAATAGTTTAGGGGCAATATTTCATAACAATGTATATTATTCGATTAAGTTCTCTTTTCTGGTAATTTATCATTGAAATATTTGTATTATTTTATCAAAAAAAGACCCCCAATTCGAAATTGCTGCGACTGCCACTGCCACTGCTATGATAACCGTGCTTGTGCGTGAATTCGGACATTAATTGAGTCTGTGTCATAATTAGGCATTAGATGGGATCCGAGCTTAACTCACGTTTGGCTGTGATTGAAGGAGCTGGTGGACAGGCCGAGGTCCTGGCCAAAATCGGGAAACGGCGTTGTGTTGGTGGCCACGAGGACACTGCTCATGGCCGAGTGGAGAGCGGCCGCGGGGGTGCTCCAGTTGCTCCAGCTGCTCCAGCTGAGGTCGGAGTAGTCATCCGTCTGAAAGTCACTGCGATTCTCCATGGCTGATGTCATTTTCCGCACCCCGGAGTACCTACTTTCGCTTTGTCTTTAACCTGACTGTGGGATTTCCGAGTTAATGTTGCGTATCGCGTTTGCTTTTCCTTATTTGCTTTCCATTTGCCAACTGCTCGACCTGAAAAATGCAATGAAAGCGGTAACAAGACCATCTAATTTCATTTCTAGAATGTTTTATTTTATTTTGTGATCTTTGTTGCCCTCGTGTTCTGTTGTTTGAAAACAAAGCTTTTGATGCTCATTTAAAGTAGAAAGTTTTCACATTCCCCCTACGTGCTTAAGAAGGTATTCGGTATCGATTTTGATTTCTTCTTGACTTTGTTTCATTTTTCGGTACGTGACTGACTCATTTGCACCCTATCCCCTGCTCTTCAAAAGAAGTTTTCTGTGGTTTGTTTCTAGTTCTTTGAATAATCTGACTTAGGACTTTCCTCACGGCAAAGTTCCTTAAGTGTGCCTTGATGAGATTGAGAAGTGGTGGCCATTAGTGAATCCGGATGCCTTGGAAACGTCCGGAGCTGTAAATACCGGCAATTTGTCCAATAATAATATTGAATGTGGTCTTTGCTAATTTATGACTCTAAACGCTAATGAACAGGAATCGGCATGGGAACCTAAGCTTCTTAATTAAAAATATTTTTGTAAGGTATAAAAAATTTGTCAATGCTTCTATTTCTCTAATATATTGCATTTTATTAATTATATTTGCTATAAATAAATAGGCTCTTAAGCTTTCAATTGAAATTGAGTTATTTTTGTGCACATAATGATACTCGAGGCTAAGGACATTATTATTTGTGTTTAAATTGTTTATTAAAAAGAAAAATTAATGTCCTTAGCCTCGTGCATCATTATGCGGACAAAAATAGCTCAAATCCAATTGAAAAAACCCAGTGAAGCAGTATCTTTTTATGCGTCCCTAGAGCTAGATTTACCTACCTTTCGAGTATCTGATGACTCGCAAACAATTGTCTCTCGTCTCTACTTTTGGCCGATTATGAAAGGCCACGACGAATGGATGTCCCTTCCACAGGAGCGACCTGTTCGTCCTTCAATTATGACTGAGCTCTGTCCTTGGCAGTTCGAGATAATAGCGACGGTCAGTCGCTTCACTTGAAGTTTAACAAAACTATAATCCTAGCATCCTTAAAAGCGTTTATGTTACGTGGCTTATACTTTGTTTCTACCAAGCAGTGAGGAAAAAATTGTAACCTGTTAGAGTACAAGTTCTCAACTTATATTCGAAGGCAAAGAATAATGTAGGTACACAAACTTGATTTCCATAATATTGCTTGGGAAAGTATGGTTGAAGTAAAGTAAAGTTTTTTAACATTAAAAATAAAATATTGCCATAATTAAGTGAAATCTTTATATATCTTCTTGATATTCATTTAGGAAACATAACCTTTGAGACAAATATTATTTTGCTTCTGATAATAATATCAACTATTTAAGTGATAGACATTTCTGATCCGGTTATATCAAAGGATACCTTTTTTCTCCGCGTGTACTATTTAATGTAGCGGAATAACAATTTATCAGCCAAGTCAATAGGTTGCATCGATACCCCCCGGAAACAAAGCTGCAACCCGCTCTCCAAAGACGAAAGCTATTAAACAAACAGTGCGGTGGGCAAAAATCAATTGCCGGCAGCTTGTCTGCCGAGAAAATGATTACAAATAATGACTACAAATAGACAAAACAAAGAATATGCCACAAGCAAATTGATAAGTTGGTTCTGGTTCTGGTTTTGTCTGGAATCTGGAAACTGGCAACTGGGCACTAAAGTGCAGCAGGCGATGAGTCTTAATGAAAGGCAAACAATCTTCAAAAGGAATGTTCACCATAATTGGCAGATCGTTTCACGCCCCCAAAATAAACGTACGATGTGAGCAAATATTTGCCAAAATAGCAAAATGCTTAACCAACTTTGGGTCGACCATTTCTGTTTTTTAAAAGTTTGTTTTTAGTTCGTGGCATCTTTTGACTGATGTCCGTTCAAATTGCGTTTTCTGCAATAATCGCAAAAAATTAGATTCGCATTTTTGTGCTCGGAATTTCAGTGAACTTGAAAAATGGCCAAACTGTCACGTTCCATGGCCAGCCACCGAAAGTGATGGAAAGTGCTGATACAGTGGAAATTCGCGTGGGTTGCGTATACGCCGTGTTGTGCCATCACACAGAGCGCAAAGTTTAAATAAATTTGTTCCACTGACCCGCGCGATTGTTTCGCATTCATCCACCGATGTCTTTGTTAATGAAATCAGCCCCAGCTAGACACGGCAACAGTAGAGATCTAGAGGCATTTTGAAAACCTCATGGTAAACACTTATAAGCCAAGTCTGCCGAACTCTGGACCAGCTTGTTGAAATGGGGAAAATGTAAATATTCTAGATTCCACATAGAGCCCACTTTAGTTTCACCACTCAAAACTTATAAATATTTTCCCTTATTCTCAAAATAGTTTCGAGTTGTTAGTGGTTTTGTTTGTAAATTAACTTTATTTCTGCAGTGCCTGATTTGCAATTTTAAAATATTAAATTTAATATAGCAAAATTGGCCTGTTTGGTATTGATTATGTGTAAATTCGTAGCTGGCCCTTTTTTTTTGCCTGCTAGAACAAAGCAATTCCCGGTGGACCTTCGACTCGCCACAGCCGCTTACAACATTCCACATATTTTTCAGCAGCGTGGAAAGCACATGCAGCGTTCATTACGACCGAGAATAAAAGGTTCAGTTTCTCCCGCTCCCTCGGCAGTTTTTCTTTTTTGTGTTTGACAAGTCAAGTACAGGGTGGCGTAGTCACAGGCGCACAACGCCGAGAAATAAAGACGAGTTTAGTCGGTGGGTCTTTGTAAGTTGGGTCAATGGGAGTGGGAGTGTGTGGCTGCAGTAAAACAGTGCGGGTCTATGTGGACAGCCCAGTCCCTTGGGTGAGCACTGGGAGAAAAGTCACTTAAATTGGTCCGCAATTAAGTATATTCATTTGTAGAAATAGCTTATATAATAGTTAATAGACTAGAATTCGGTGAATAATATGTCTTATATTTTATTCTTTGCATAATTATGTAATGGCTAAATCTATTTTTGAATATTTGCTTGAATTTAATTTCGTTAAAGCTAAATATATCTATGCATTTTTGAATATTTTTGTGAATTGAATGCTTAATTAAAAATACAACTCGAAAAATTAAACTTAAAAATCAGAGATAATCCTTTTCATCTAAGCTGTATATTCACTAAAAATGTGATAGTGTATTGGTAAGCACTCCAGATATTTTAAGGTTTTATACGAATTTCCTGAAAGGTGTTTCATTATTTCTAACTTTATTATCGTTCTCCAATAAATTTGTTTTTTGACTACATTTCATATTTTATTGATATTGTACAATAGCTTGGTCTTTAACGTTGATCCTAAATAAGTTATCTTAATAAAATATAGTTATACCCGCAACTATTGATGGTAGTTTTTCATATTAATAAAAATAAGAAACTAGCGTTAATATTTTTTTTCCCCTGCATAGGATTGTGTATGTGCCACTACATATGTATGTCAATAAGAGTTGGGGCGCTGTCCTAGTGCCCTGTCCTGCCCTCCCCCCTTTCTCCCAACCCCGCATCCTGGCATGTTGGTCCACATTCACAGTACATTCACTTCCTGCCGCCCGGCCTGTATATTTCTAAAACAATTTATTAAAAAACAAAAATACGGGCTGGGGCAGTAACGTAGGCCTCCAAAAGTAGGACCAAAACGAAACGTAATAAGCACATTTTTGGGGGTAGTGGAAGTGAACTTGAATTGTAATTACCAACGCCTTTTCCCGACTTAAACGAGCGTTTTTAATTTGCCCACAAGCACACAGGAACACACTGGCACTGGCGAAACAATTAAGCACAAAATGAGCATTAAATATATGGTAAGGGGCTGCAAATTGGCCACATGCGTTGGCAAACTCCTCCGGACCTCCGGATCCCCGAGTCTCGGCAGGCGGATAAAATTCATCAAAATGATTGTTTAATGAGCTCCGCACAATGCTGCCAGCAAGAATTCATTTGCGAGCTGGATTCATCTTTCACACCTTCCGAAAAGCAGCCAGAACAATAACGTTCACAAAAATTAAACAATCCCCCTTAATATATAAATAAACGGAGGTGATAAAAACGCTGAAATACTATATAAACATCGGATATATGTGTACTTGGAGAACTTGCCGATATATGGGTGTGTTGAGGCAGGACAAGTTGCTTCTGCGAATTTAATTGTTCAAGCGATTCGGGTTTATTTGCCTTTAAAGTGGGATGGGCAATAACAGATAACAGGCATTAGAAATGTTTACAAATTAATCGCACTGGCTCAAATATGTTGAAATTAAATTTGTGCTGGATTTCTCTGATTTCGTTGTGCACAGAGCTTAACGGAATTTAAGGTGGCCCGTGCGTGTTCTAAGTATTATGTGCCATTTAAGGCCATTTTCCTGGCATACAGAGAAACCACAAAAGCCATGGCAGTAATTGCAAGAAATACTTTCAGCCCTTATGCGACTCACACCACTCATACGCCCTGTTGTGCGGCCAATCGCCCTTGTTCTACCATTCGCAATTCCCAATCACCAGCAGTGGACATAAACCAGAGCAAACAGGTGAAATGTGGAGCGGAGAAGTCGGGTATTTCAATGTCTTATCTTATCAGCCGGAGTCTATCAGTGTGCTCCCTGCTCCATAGCAATCCAAGAACCGAGTGGAGAAGACAAATAACCGGGTGCAGTTCCGCCCAAATGTCTGGAGCTCTGGACTGCGGCTACAATAAATTTTACACCCCGGCACCCACTTAGTCAATTTATTGCAATTATGTGTAAATTGAGGAACAAAGCGGAGACAGGCGTTGGCTCTTTGGCGGAGCAAGTGCAGAAAGGCAAACTACATTCCCCCCCTCTTTGAGTCGCATAGTCCCCACTCCCATTTCACTTAACTCTCATTCGTTGTATTTTCCGTCAGATCTCTGCTCGGTGTGGAAAGATGAGAACGAGCACCAGTGGCCATGCCATGGGGAATTTGAGTACACTTAATTTGTGATTTGAATTGCTTTCCCTTATTGAATGACTCCAGAACTGAGGCTATTGTAATTTACTTATTTTAAAATTGATTTCTGTACTGAGCGGTTTTTGTCAAGCTATCAAAGTCCTCCAGTATTGTCATATATAATCTTTCAATAGTAGTTATGTTAGGTTAACTAAGTGAATATTAACTTTTCCTTAAACAAACCTATGTCCCAAGTCCTTAAGTATTTTCAGTTTTTATTGCAAAAATTGTCCAAATCCTAAATTAAATTTGTAAACCTGATCACTTGTAAATTTTAAAATGACTAATAAATTGAGTCGGCTATCTTAGCTTTTACAAAATCATAAATAACAACCTGAAATATTTGCCTCTTGCCAAGTTGTGTAACAAAAGTTTAAATTAGATATACAAAGTTGCAAGACCAATAAATTGGGCATTTGTGTTTTGGATATGTTATTTTATGACCTTTCAAATGAACAATACCTTCAATTTAAGCCATTCATCTTAAGGGAAGCCCCTGTGGCAATATGTCCTGCCTTTTGTGAGAAAGGCAGTGCATAGTTCACTGGAGCTGCATAAAAGAAGGACGAACTTAACTGAGCACCGCTAAAATATGTACATGATTCACTGACTTGTTTAGGACTGGCACTGCCCTCATTTAAATTCATATAGGGCGGAGATAGTGAACTGGTGTCCAGCTGAAAGCTGAGAGCCGAAGTTACACACGTCTCCGGCGCCACAGGACCTGATTTCCCGCGCTCCATCCCCAATGCCCACACCCCTTCCACATCCTCCGATGTCCTGGAAAAGACGTCAGCAGTGGGGCGGATGCCGCATCGGTTTCAATTTAATTAAATGTTTTGATGCATGACAGCACTGTGGACCAGGACCACTGGACATCCGAAGCATACGGAGCATACGGCATTCGCTTATTACTTATTCTCATTTTCATTCGCATTCGCTTAAGGATCCCTGCCTTCGTTCACGCCTGCCTGGACCTTTAAAGGCCGATTTTTGGGGGTGCCAACTAATGGCCTTCGGCCCACAAACGGCTTACAGAACTAATGCGGAAAGTGGGATCCTCCTGCTTCTCCAATAGTAATTCGCGTTGAAAGGATTTTGGTTTGCTCAGCTGACCGTCGGTGCGGCTTTTGTGGTGCGTCCATTACGGACAGGTCAAGATTCCAATACGGATGCGTCCATTTGCTCCAGCAAAGCAGCCATTTATCCGGTTAACCACTGAGAGAGTGGTCGTCCTCGACCTCGTCCACGTACACGTCCTCCAACCACATCCGACATTTCACAACATTTTGCGGCTTCACTAATCATAGTTGACATTAAATATTTAGGAGCGGCAAAAGTTTTGGCAGCCTCTGATTGAGTTAGATGGCTCGGGGCTCAGAGGACCAATTAAGTGAGCTATTTGCTATTTGCCAAACGGATTCACTTCAAAGTGCTTTACTTCGATTTCGTTACTCCTAAATTCCAATGAAATTTGAAGTGGACACATTAAATGAATCAAATGGCAATAGTATAATTATTTGGCTCTTAATCAAAGAGCCAATTAATTCATTAATCCACAAAGCAAGTTGTTTGGCTTTGAACTGCTATTTGTTTTTAAAACATTTGCAATTGTATGCAAATCTTAATTAAATTAATTAATTTGCCTTTGATTGAAACGTCAATTGATTTAAAGTGATTCTTGAAAGCTAATAAATTAAATAAAATTGCTTACAAAAAAAAAAATTGTTTATTGATATTGATTCATTTACCATAAAAAAAAGCGTACCGTTTATTTTAAAATTTATGCTAAATTTTATTTCAACAAACGGTTGCTTCTTAAATTTAAACGGCTTGAAACTCAAGGTTGAAATAAGTTGAATCCGAAAATAAATACATTTTGTTTATTTGCATTATAAACATCAGAAATGTGCACATGTGAGAATCTCAAAGGGATAATCCAATGCGCGCAGTTCTTATTTTATTGCACAGGATGTTAACTAAATGATGCATAATTTAAAAACATTATATGCTTTCGGGGGCTTTAAACATATAAAAAACGAACGCATTCAACTTAATTGCCAAATAAACGAATTTTGTTTCTCCCACGCGATTTCCCAAATCTGGCCAATTGGCCGTGTTGATTTTTGGCTATCCGTTAACTATTTTTCGCTAGACTGGATTTGTGGCACTCGATGCTCAAATTGAGTGGAAAATTAGGAATGTAGAGGGATGCCCTGCAGTTTGATCTTTCAAATTTGGTTTACTCGCTTGATTAAGCGATTGAAGTAATTAAATTTCTGGAAAAGTTTTCGGGGCAGCCGAAAGTTGTCCACAAATAGCAGTTTTGTAATTACTTTGGCTACTCAAATTTGCATAAACTTTGAATTCAGCTGGACCCTAAAACAATTTCAATTTTGGCTATGAGTATACTTTGCAATTAATCCCCCCTCCGAAAACATTGTTTGTTTAATATGGAAAAACAATGAAAAGGCCAAAAAATACTTGAGGCAATGGGAGACCGCTTACCAGGAACTATGCTGCTATATTCCCCTTTCTCGCAGCACCAACGCGGCGTATGAGCAATGTCAGCCAATTGCAAGCACCGAAACACAAAGAAATTGTATTTAAAATTAAATTCCGCTTGTGCTTTGCCTGCTACTCTGCGGTTCGGTTCCAGTGTTTATGTTTATTAGTTTTAATCAAAACACCAATTTGTATATTCAATTTAACGACTAGTTTATCGTTTTGCTATTTGTTTGGCACGAAATTCAATTTTATTTTCAATCCACTGCCCCGAATTCAATTACGTTACCGATCGAATGCCGGCGGCTTTTTCGCCTACCCTAAGCTGATTTTCCAGCATTTTTTCAACACTTTCCACAAGCAGCGAAAAGTCTGGTCGATCCAGCGGAACCGTCGTTTGTTCCGCTTTTTCCGCTTTTTTTTTGTTCGAACCGTACGCGCGCGAGTCTGCCGTTGAACTAAACGTTGGAATACTGAATGGCATGCCAGAATTTTTCTGAGGCTGTGCGCGCCATATCAGCGGGGCTATGAAGGGCTTCGGTGGGGTTTTTCGGACCTTTTGGGACTCTAGCCGCTTGTTGCATATGTTGCAATGTTACCCCGGGGACAGGGGCTCACATAACCCCTTGACTCCAACGCAGGGGGGCACTTCCCGTTTTAATTTCCTCCGTGAAAAAGGGAAAATTTCGATTTAAGCCGTTGAATTCAGTGGGAAAATCAAAATTATGCCCGCCCGAATTGGCCAGTGTTGCCGAGTTTTTGTTTTTACGCCTGCGCCCTGTTTTTTGCTCATTGGTCTGCACTTCATTCGCTCTCTGTTGTCATACGTCTATTCGTAAACAATCCGGATTTCAGAGATTCTGGCACGTGCACGCTACGGAATCTCAGGAAAAAAATCAACTACATATTTGCTCAAATATCTTTGCTTTTAAAATTCACTCATATGATTTTATTTAAAATTTTTAAATCAATTTTATCGGTGGAATTCCAAAAAAGTCCCAATTAAAATACAATATAATATGTATAGAAATATTTTAGTGATTTTTATTCTTATCTTAAAAAAAAAATAAGTAAGTTAACAAATTTTAATTTCATACTAAAAACCTCTAAACGTAGAATGAAACCAACCGCATTATTTTGTAATTAAAGAAAATTTGTTTTCAGTGCAACGCGTCTGTTTGTTGGTTTTGGCCAAATGAGTTGGCTCTTTCACACCAGACAGCCGCAGGTGTTGGTGGCTGATTCGGCCAAATATGCCTTAAGTAAGCAATGAATCTTAGGTGGCTTGCAAGGCACCAGAATTTGACGTCTTCATTTGCTAGCGGATATGGAATTCCGCAACTTCATTCGCCACAAATGCATCAACTTCCAATCAATCACTGTGTTTAGCTGCAACAAAACTGCGGTGGTAACACGTAACAAAACTACTAAAAATATCATGATAAATTTGTTGTCATTTCTTATCAGGGTTCCATGTGGTCAATCTGATTTTATTGTTAAAAAATACTTATCGATAAATTTAAAAAACTTTATAAGGTTTTAAGTTTCTAATAGTTAAGATCAGCCATTATTTTAATATTCTTTAAAACGTTACAATTTTCTTTTTTAATTTCACTAAACCGATAAAATATACTAACATTCAAACATTTTTAATCATTTTGACAATAAAATTAAGAATGGTTTGAATAAAAACAAAATGACATCGAACTAAAGTTTAAATTTTAATTACAGAAGGTAATTATAAAATTCAGTCATAATACTTTGCAAAATAATACAGAACTTGGGGTCAATCATAATTTAATTTCTTTATCTTTTGCTCCCATGCAGTCCATTGAACACATCCATAATGATTATGATGGACTTGGTTGGGGGAGTGGAGCTTGCAATGTCCAGCAATATCCAGAGCAGCTGGGCATCATTAACTATCTGCAAGGAACGCTCGTTACCAGTGCCTTGCCCTGCTGATGACCCTATTTAATCAACGCTAAGCTCGTCTCGTCCTGCACCTCATCGCCCTCAGCTCCTCAGCTGCTCATCTCCTTAACTTTCCCCCGACAGCCAGCAAAATGATAATTTGTTTGTCAACATTATGCTGGCAAAATGTATATTTGGCTAAATACCAGTCCGCCGACAGCATGTGACAAGTGGTTTGATTGATGACCACGGCTGTCAAGGCTGCACGGCCGCTGAAAATTAAATTTTCCCCAGGATATCTATATCTTGTTGCGTGTCCTGCTGTTTTTAAGTGCATGTCATTTGGCCAGGGTGCTGTCATTGTGAAAGTGATGGATAAATTGAAAAAAAATCCGCCGGACATTGGACAGGAGGGTCAACCCAAATGAACATTAGACGGAATTCACTTAGGAAAAGGCAACACTAAACCAGATTCTGAAATCAGTTTGTATACATACATAGAGGCATAATTAGCAAACATTTTACACTCATTTAATTTGTTGGATAAACTATAATTATAGTCACAATTACCTTATTAGTGTCCTAATGAAAAGTATTTAGATTTGCAAAAAGATAAATTATTGTAATGTTTAGAACATTTAAAATTTAAAAGTTTTCGTCAAAATAGTTTAAACAATATTAAGCGTCTAAGAGAGAATATTCTAAGCCATGAGTTGAACAATTTAATACCATCGCTATTCGCTAATGAAATTTCTAAGCTAAGTGCCCACCCAAGCTAATTAGTTTTGGGCAGTGCACAATTAGATTTCAAAAGTTCGTGCCACCCAGAGCTTGTGTCAATCGGGAAAGGTCAGTGAATTATGCCCCATAAAATATGCACCAAAGTTCACCTGTGGTTTTGGCCAGTTTATGCATGAGTGTTTTAGGGCAATTAGCGGATGCAGCGCTGACCAGCAAAATGGTCAGCACACACGAGTTTGTTGGCCAGTGAAAGCTGAAAGCCGCTTTGAAATTGAATTTTTTCCGAGCTGAGTGAAACATTTGGTTGTTTTAATTTCCACTTAGGCTGCCACATTTTCCCAATTATCCCTTGCCGTTGCGAAAAAGCCAACCACAATTCCGAGGAAAAAAGGAAAAGAATTCGCGAAATGCTTTGCATACTTCCAGTGGCGAAACCTGAAGGAGGTGGAGGGGCCTTCACCATCCAAGGTCGGGCCATAAAATTTCATTGGGCTCAGGTGTCACTTGGCAAAGTCACCGCCCAGGATTCGGGGTGTGGGTGTTGCCGCTCAAAATTTATGGCCAACAAAATGCAAACATAAGTTTCATAAAGCCAAAACTTTATTAAAATATGCGACTCGTTGGGACCCGGTTTCTTACGGTGGCTTTTTTTCTGCCACTGCTTCATTAGGGCAAGTTAAATCTCCATAAAGCACAGAGCACTGCCTTCTTTGTTTTCGTTCGGCTACATTAGACAGCTGCTCGTAGGGGAGAAAAAACCCTACGAAAGAGCAGCAAATCAACTACGAAACGGGCAAAAGCTGGAGCAGATTGGTCTCAAACTTTTTCGTTCGCATGTGTGCGCGCGATCCGATGAAATATGAAGGTATCGCCATCTAGGTCGTCAATTTTTCAGATTCTATCCGCACGCACGAATCCTCCCTTTTGAAAGCAAAAACTTGGATAATAATCACACTCTAAAATAAAATAATGAAAGAAATAATGATTAAAATAAAAAAAAAACTAAAGAAAGATATTGTTATAAATTAATTAATTAATTAATTAAACTTATTTGAATATTGTGTTTTGTTTTTGTTAATATTATTCTTTATCTTATATTCCTCTTTTCCAGAAATAAGTAATTATGACTAAATCTTTAAAATTGTTATATTGAATATATGTTTATCAGATCTAATTAACAAAAAAAAAAAACACTTATCAAAAAACTTTTTTTTTTTTTTTTTTTTCCTGCCTCGATTTGATTTCTGAATCAATATTAATTATGCGTCTGGCTGTACGCCTAAATTTGTCATCCGGCCAGAGAGAAATTTCACTTGTTGCTTCGATGGACATCCGATTCCAGACCCTGGCAATTGAACTTTGAACTCTTAAATCATACAAGTGCCAGACAGAGTCGACTTTAAACTGCCGCCATATATCAAGGACCCCGCCAGCTAAGCATCTAATCAACGTCCCCAGGACCATGTGCCTGCCCGCCAAATCAATGAGAATTGGCTTTAGCCTGAGCCTTCGGCAACTGGGACTACACAAAACGAAAAGCTTTCCCAATAATAAATAATTTTTTCAACGTTATTAAATTAACAAAAAGGTAGTAACTTTTAACAAAAATCTGTTGTTCTTTTTTAACAAAAGATTTTACAATTTAGTATATATTTTAGACAATATTTATCATAAACTCCTTATTTTTTTTTGTGTGTTCTCCAATTGAGCAGCGAGTACCTGATGTAGTCAAAGTTTAAGTAAATTTCATGCTTCCCACCCCAAAAAAAATGTAGTCCCAGGAGTTGGATACGTGAGGAAAGACACCTTCAGACAGGCGCTCGTTATTTGCATGCATGTTCACAAATTGAAGTGCAAAGTTTGGGAATTCGGAATACGAAACAACCGTTCGCCAGGAGACCAATGGAAATCAAAATGGGAGTTCCAACGACATGCGGAGAACAATTCGACAGTCAAACTTATAAATATATACAATATTATTTTATTTATTATTTTTTTTAGAAGTGTTAAAAGAGTCTATAGATATTTCGAATTGCAAAATAGAGCGTCGAAAACTTTGTTAATTTTTATAATAAGAATCAAATTTCCTTCGGCTTCATGATATATGCAATTTGTAATGTACTATATACTTTCAAACATTATTTTAAATTTTAAAGTTACATTTCCTTCCTCATCGAAATTGTTTTATTCCTAAACAATAGATTTAATATGTTTATTATTTAAGAGAGATTCTTTTCAATAAAATAATATAATTATAATGATTATTATAAAAAAAAATAAATAAATAAGATAAGATCAAATCAGTGGCTTGTTCATTTTACCAAACATTTTAGTACGTTTTTTAAAGTGTTCCAGATACCAAAGGCTCTCTGTGTTTGTAAAACAACGCGAACACTAGATTTATTGTTGCGAAAAACTTTGATTTGAGTCTAGATTGTGTGCAGAAAAGGCGAAACCAACTTGAATGGAAGTGCCTGTGTGCGATGTTTGTAATCTAGTAAAGAGAATCCCAAAACAAGCTGAAGTTTGTTTACAACATCAGTTAAGCTGAAATGTATCCCTTTTTGGCTTACTCTTTTATTAGTCCCTGCTTAGGCTGTAATTTAATTTAACTGCTGGGTGCACTTAACAAAGCACTTGACCCATTTAATTTTCCATTTCTATGGAAGGCCTGCAAAAAGATTGGGACTTAAATTGGCCCTTGGCCAGGTTTAAAGTAAGGGTAGTTTCGGAATGTTGATATAAATATTTGTGCGCCATAAAAATCAGCTTTTCAATAAAAG